GGCTGAGCATGGGTCTGACCACACTATCTCTTCATATGCTGTCGTCACAGGTGAACTTTACACCTACCCAACACTACTTCACCTGCCTAGTGTTCCGCCAAGTCTCAGACAACATGTTTTATCTTTAGAAAAAAAGATTCCGGCCGAGCATGGCTCTGACCACACTATCCACAGCGATTTCTTTCTAAATTATTTACGAGCTCGATCAACATTTATGTATTTTTTATTTCAATTTACGAAAAAAAGTCCCCCCCCCCCCCGGAAAAAGTTGATCGCCCCTCCCCCCCCCCCTCAAATATCAAGTGCCCCCCCCCCCCCCCCCGGAGAAAAAAGCCTGGAAGAAACACTGGCGCGAATTGGCGGCTAAAATTCAGTTTCTAACATTATTGTGATGTCACACTCTCTGAACATTTAGATATTCGTGTGTTGTCATCTGAGATGTACCAATAAGAAAAAATGCTCCATTAAAACCTTTTGGTTTTGACTGTTTCATGTAGACGTTCCCTTTGATGTTTTCAACCAAACTTTTGATCGTTATTTGTTTTACCATTTCATTTTGAATGTTGTTTAACCATTCCCTTACAATCAGAGTTTCTTCCAGGCATCTCTTCGGGGGGGGGGGGGGCGAAGCCCCCCCGAAAAATTTTTACCGCCCCCCCGAACGAAATGAAATTTATATAATTTATATAGAAAATATACTTTTAACAGTGTCCGCCCCCCCCCCGAAGAAAGTTTACCGCCCCCCCGAAGATTTCAAGTGCCCCCCCGGAGAAAAAAGTCTGGAAGAAACACTGCTTACAATGCTTAAAAAACTATTTCCTTCCCTTATAAAAAAAAAACAAAAACAAGACGTCTAGTACCTCCGCGACCCGCCTACTAAAGTTTCATTAAGTGATGGTCGTCTGCCGCGCCCAAGGGGGGATCACTCACACACTTCCGCTCGTCCTCGCGGGCCGGTATGATGGAGAGGACACCACACTGGAACGAGCCGATTAGGAATTGGAACATTTCGTAAATTGACTCAAACAAGCATGCCGTACATGGAGGGTGGGTGGGGTGGGAAAACAGAGAGTACCACAGGAGTTTGGGGGTGGTTGGGACTATAGTACAGAGCATCAATCATGTTCTGGAGTCATAACGCTCCCAGAATTCACAGTCAGACACTGCTACTTCTGAGCGTTCGCTGAACAATATCTTAGAAAAAATATATTGATAATTTTTAAATTACAAATGCAAGAAAAGAAATACTTTTAAAGATGTCTAACTATCTAATTATCTAAAAATGGACTGCAAAAATGCAACATTTAAAAGTGTTGTTTAAAGGAATACTCTTGGCTAAGCGAGCCTGATTTATCCCTCCCGAACGAAATGAGCGAGGTCTATTTGTAAAATTCATATAACCTTGTAAAAGACTTTTAGAACACTGTGCACACAAGATTTTAGAGAAATATCGCTGTTTTAAGAAAAATTCAACTGCAATTTTGAGGGGGTTGTAGGCTGAGGTGTGACGTCATTTTAGGGGGGGGGGGGGTCTGGCTTTTTGTGATGATGTGTAACGGAGGGGGGAGGTAAAAAGCGTCATAAAAAGCGTGACCCCTATACACACTTCTAGATTTTTCCTTTTAGAGGGATCGTTCTCTCCCCCCCCCCCCCCCGAAAAAATTTAACCCTGGAAAAAATATCTGAAAGAAACACTGGTTATATGTGGTAATGATGGGTAAACAAGGTGCTATTTTTGTATTTCTATAACACGTTCTCGATCCCCCTCAACTATTAGCTGATTTCTTCTGAGGAGGTCCAACCGATCGCAGTATAAAGAAAAAAATGGCATTGGAATTTAAGAGTAGTTTGTTACCGTTAAGGATTAGCCACTCCTAGCAATAACCACCCCGGCCCCGCGCGGTGGGATCCACGTGCAGTGGGTTGTGGGTGGCGCTTGAGGAAGTCCAGGCTGTCATTTTGTCAGGAAATAATCAGACAAAGTAGCGTGGAATGGCCTCCCTCGTTCCCGCTAGCCCACGGCAGGGTCAGAGGTCACCTGGATTATGGATGAGCCAGCTAACTTGGATTCATACAAGACGGGAGAACTTGCTTGCGAACACGGCGCCCCACGGGAGTCGGGCAGCCGCACACGCGTAGCCCCCGGGTGTCCGGGACGCCGCCAAAAGACGGGGGTATAGGTTTTTAATGCGCGAGCGACACGCGTAAAGTGATAGCTGCGGAGTTCCCGCGGGAAACGCGCTAAGACAACACGAGCTCCGAGCGTCCGTATTTACAATGCTGAACTCTGACCCGCACTTCCCGTCTTGTTTCGCTTTCGTTATTTTTTTAATGTTGTGGTTTCAATCAAGCTGGGCATTTCACAATTGCGTTATACTTCACTTGAACCAATGGCAGTGCGTTTAGATAACCAACTTTTAAAAATAAAAAAGTGAAAAAAAAGAAACTAAACAAAATGTGAAAACGAGATATTTCAAACAAGACAAATAAACAAATAAACAATATCCATAACTTGAAAAAATAAGGCGAATGATGATGATTACACGTTAGGATAGAAAACAAGCGAAAAAGAAAAAAAACCATTGTGTTTAATCACATTACAAACGAAGCCATTTTTGAGCTGCTGATGTAATACTCAGACATTGAGTGAAATTGTGATACAGACACTATTTATACAGGCCTAGTTTAATAATTCTCTCCAGTCTGTTTGTGCATAATAATAATTCCCCCCCCCCCCTTCCTATTTCAAGATGGGTGGGGTGCATCATTAAATGACGTCATTATATTTAGGAAGACCCTCCCCGTCTCCTCATATCTTGTCAAAGCTGTAGACCTGTCATAAATATGGAGCCTACCTCAAACCTACTGACAGACAGCCAAATTTTGAGACATAGTTACCAATTGTTGTCGAGGAGATATGTTTTAAAAAGAGATTTCTGATTAGAAAAACAAGCAGATGCTTGGAGTTAAATAAAACCTTCAATTACTCGGTTGATAAAACGAAAAGTCACGAGTTCGAACCCCTAGGTAGGTAAAGAGCGATAGCCGAGGACAGCTAGGAGAGAAAACTTCAAAAATCAAACAACTGCTGCCTTTATTAATTGCTCTTTGTTGGATAATGGAGACTCATATATTTTTTTAAAATTTACAATAAGAAAGCGAATGATATGAAAAAAAATCTTAAAAATGACGTCATGAGATTTGAGCCGGTATGTACCGTCACCCCAAAACGTCACAAAACGTCAGACCCCCCTCCCCTGTTGTCACTAAACGTCATACTTCTCCTCAGCCCCCCCCCCTCTCCTCCCCTTAACCGTAGTTACGCACCGTCACCACTACCCCTCTTTCCTTAAGGAGTTTAATAAAACCTTCAGTTACTCCAGGGGTCTCCAAACTTTTCAATCCGAGGGCCGCATTAACTATCAAATTTCAGTTCGGGGGCCAGTTTCTCCCAGGCATGTCTTTGGTTTTTCTGGGCAAAGTTCCTTGGACAAAAAGATCTCCGCGGGCCGGATGAGAGGACTTCGCGGGCCGTAGTTTGGAAACCCCTGAGCCTGAGCTACTCGGTTGCTAAACCGAAAAGTCACCTTAAGGAACTGAAGTTAAACGGGTCTAATTCAAGTAACGTTTCATTTGATCAAGCTCTTACGAGATAATGCACGCATTATATTACACTAGAATATTGTAGATACACTACATAACTACATATAGATCTGGCTCATTCTTCTTTCTTTCTTAGTTGTAAGATTGGAGAGAATTTCGTCCTCCACAATTAAGTATTGACTCTTATTTCAGCCTGCAATTCTGTCTAGGTTTGCTTCGATAGGCCTCGGCTATCCAAGAGCGAACTTCAATAACATATAACACCAGTGGCGTAGGCAGGGGGGGGTTAGGGGGGTCATAACGGGAAAGTTTGAGGAGGGGTGCAATTCGAAAGTTTGAGGGGGGTGCAAATCGAAAGTTAAATCGAAAGAGTTTGAGGTGGGGGTGCAAATCGAAAGTTTGAGGGGGGGGGGGGGGTGCAAATCGAAAGTTTGTCCCCGGGTAAAAATTGGAACACCCCCCCCCCCCCCCTTGATACGATCCTGGCTACGCCACTGTATAACACTATAGAACATTTTTCTTAGACCACCCACCATATTTTATAACAACACGCCAGCTCCCACATCAGTGTTTCTTCCAGACTTTTTTCTCCGGGGGGGGGGGGGGCACTTGAAATTTTCGGGGGGGGGGGCGGTAGACTTTCTTCGGGGGCGGGGGGGCGGACACTGTTAAAAGTATATATTTTCTATATAAATTATATAAATTTCATTTCGTTCGGGGGGGGGGGGGGCGGTAAGAAACTCTGTCCCACATGTTTCCGACAAAATAACAAACGTTACTTTTTCTGATTTTCGCTAATCCAACAATGGCCACGAAAATTAAAAGGCAGGTGTGTTGATGGCTGAACAAGGGATTTACTTGATATATTGTAATATTATTAAATTGAATCATTAACACAACTCACTCTCATCTTCGTTACTGTGGGTAAAGATTCATTTGGCCGAAAAAGAAATCCGGAAGATTGTCGATATAGGGCCTAGTAAAAAATGACAATAATATGTAGGCCTATATAAACGGGTTATCATAAACATTGCTTTTTAAAATTGATTTTCTTCCATTTAACTTCAATGCATTAACATTTTAGATTTTAACCAAATTATTATTTTCCGACCAAAGGGAAGCAATCATAAAAATTATATTATGGGTTATGTACTGGGCTTTTTCACGCGCATGTTAATTTTGTAATTCGATCTAGATCTAGAAGTCAATCTGATGAGCTCATATAGACATAGACTAGAGTATATATAATTATTTAAAAGTGCTGATTTTGATTTTTCCCCAACCTTACGATGAAGTGTTTCACGGAACTTTTATTTTTAGTTAAATAGAGTTTTGTTCCGTTAGTCGAAAATATAGATTATGCTTTTTATTCCTGCAACCAAAGTTGTTTACAAAAATGGCGGCATCCGCGACTTGCAAGTAGCTGCTTGAAAGTCTTGTCCATGAACCATAGATGCATGATGCATTTATTTACTATTTTATACAGCGTTTTTTAAATAATATATAAATATAAGCATTGACGTCTTAACAATGTCGGCAAATTTGAGAAGAGACGTTGACTTCAATGGTCTATTTCGTAAATTAGGTGAGTGTCGGAGTCTCTCACTCAGGCAGTCTCAGCCGCTCAGATCAGACCTCAACTCTCCTCACTCCTCACCAGTGTTGACTGTTGATTATTGACAAGAGATAGTCACAATGCTGTGACAATCTGTTTGATAATGTATAGTCTTGACTCATGAGCAGGCAGACTGCCTGACCTGTGATAAAACTTGATAAATTTATTAAAGTTGATTAGATTTGATTGATGGAATACAATTACTAATTACTAAATTAGACTCAACTGGTAAACGGCCTTAGCAGGGGGGGGGGGCACTTATCCTATTTCAAAGACCGCTCAGGCTAACTTCATGAATGATGTAATGAGCACAAAAATACATCAGAAAGAAATTAGGCGTCAAGATTTTGTCTCTAATTCTTATAAATTACTTTAATTTCAGGGCATCCGCTGGAAGAGATTCGTGTTAGAGCCTTATCAAATATCCAGTCTAAATTGGAACATAAGCTCATTTGCTATGCCGACATTGTGCATGAAAAACAGCTATATGTTCGTCTGCTTGAGTGGTTTAACATACCAGATTGTACTCATAAAACTGAAGTTTTGAGTCTTCTAAATCAGTTGGCGCAGGTGAATTAATTTTTGTTTAACCAGTGTTTAATTTTAAAAATTATTTATTATTTCTACGTCATTAAACAGAATAAAATGCTATTTACAACTAGCTAGTCAAAATTAAGAAAATCAATTACATCTACATTAGAAATGCATACATTTTTTCTATTAGTTTAAAATTACCAAATATTGGTTAAATGAGATGTTTTGTATTTTAGCATTCCCCCGGAGCACAACTGCTGCAGGATATAGGCGGCATTGAGTTCTTGTCACAGCTGAGGTGCGACATTGAGCCCTGTCACAGACCAATCATTGATCAGATTCTAGAGAGCACCATGCACCTGCCAGATCAAGAGTCGCACGTCCATGCACCTGAGTGTATCTATCACAAGCTGAGGGACAGTGGTAATTTTAACCTCAGTTTTTAAATAATAGGGACAGTGGTAATTTTAACACCAGCTTTTTAAATAATAGGGACAGTGGTAATTTTAACAGCTTTTTAAATAATAGGGACAGTGGTAATTTCAACACCAGCTTTTAAATAATAGGGACAATAACGTCAGCTCTTTTTGATAGATTGACATTTTTTTACAAGGATTAAGAGTAATTAAGCTGTACACTTAAAACTAGTTGTAACAAAGCTGTACACTTAAAACTAGTTGTAACGGGTTCTAAAAATGAAGGTATATGATCTTCATATACATTTTAGTGTTGCTTCCTAAATAGAAGTTTTAATTTAACTATTTTATGTTTCTTTGCTCACAAAATTTAGCAGAACAAATTTTCTAGCATCTTGTTTTGATAATTTGGCCAATGTGTTTTTATTAAAGTACGTGTTTAGCTGTGACTCATTTTAACAATATCTTTGGGTTTTTTTTTTTAATTTTATATTAAACTTGCATTCTTTATTTAACATTTTCTTCATCCAGTTACATTTTAAAATACATTTTCAAAAAACCATTCAGCTCCAGGTAATTATTAATTGACATATTATTAAAATGTTCAGCTGTGTGGGGAGCAAGTACACTGACAACAGAAGACAAATCCCACATGTCAGAGTCCCTGGGCTCACGTCTGACGACCAACTTAGACAGACTGAGTCAGTACGTACCAGGTGGGCCCAGCTATTTCACAAACGGCGCTACCCAGAGGGTCCCCCCTCAACACAGGGAGGAGAATGTGGGGACAGAACAAAGTTTATTCAACACGAAGGGTGAGTTCAGTATTTTAATGAAAATTAAAACTACACAAGAAAGCAACTTAAATTTGACTTTGAGTTAATCATTATTGTATTGTTTCTACTGTTGCAGATTACAATGCAAATATCTTTCGTTTGTCAACATTTCCTTGGTTACCGTTGACAGGAATAGATCAGCAAGTCATAACATCAACCAACAAGTGAGTTGAAATGCTGATCATTTTATCACAGTGCTGTTAAATGATTTTGGTTTCAAACATTAGAACTGAAGGCACTTAAAATTTGTACTGACGGAAAGATATGTCATTAACAAAAGTTGGGCAGAAACATTTTATTCTTTATATTTTGTAAATATTATATAGTTATCAATCTAATATGTAAATATTTCTAGATTTTTTCAAACAGTTATAATTATCAATGTATTATCTCCCCTTATAATCTACGCTTTGTTCCAGCTCGCTCCAAACCAAGGATTCTGCCATGCTCATTGGGGCTTGTGAGTTTTTGGCTGATGTCGTCTTCCAAGATTTTCCTGCAGAACTTTTTCTTCAGAGGCCAGGCATTCTTAAAGTAAATATATCATGTCAATAATAATTAATAGTTTTACTGTAATGATAAATAGCCAACTCAACACTCATACATCATAAATTATAATGCAGTCTCTTATAAAACTAATATCTAAATGAAGCACTTTCAAAATATGTAGATGTTTCCCAGAAAGATTATATTTTTGAAATTTATTTTATAGGTAGGTGTCTCTTAAATCCGTATATAAAGTAAATATTTTTTACTTCTGTATACGCTTTAATCCATACATGATTTTTGAACTAATTTTTACAAAAATTGTTTCCGCAGAACCTTCTCTCCCTGCTGTCTTTACCTACTGCATCAAGCCAGCCAGTTGTGACACAGTCATGCCAAACTCTCACCATATTTATCAAATGTCTGCAGGCTCGGATACGCTATTTCCAAGATTCCTCCATGTACATATCTAAACATGGTAAGAAACAACTGTTTAATATTTTTTCACTTTAAAATAATGGTGGTTCGTTTAATACTGATGTATAAATTTCTTGTTTATTTTATGAAAATAAAGCCAATATTTTGACCTAGCATTTAAAGAATTTTGCTGCAAATTCCTTTACATTGGGTATTTTGTAAATTTGATACAAAACTGAGTAAATTCATATATATATATAAAGGATAATTGCAGAATAATTTCTAGTTTATTTTATGAAAATAAAACAAATACTTTGACCAAGCATTTAAAAAAAAAATCTGCTGCAAATTCCTTTACATATAAATTCCTTTATAAATTTGATACAAATTAGATATAAAAAGATAATAGCAGAATAATCATTCCTAGCATTTAAAAAAATTTAGCTGTAAATTTCTTTGTTTCAAATGTATTATTAAGATAAAGAACTGATGAACCTTTTCAGATTTCACCTCCAGCAACTCAACCATTTCCTCGTCCTCCAGTAGTCGTGGGGACGGCCCTCTCTTGCCCCAGGGTCAGCAGTTCAGTTGGTGTGACCGGCGGCATAGAGGGGATGGACAGGATGGTGACAGCTCCTCTTCAGCAAGCGGGTCTGTCATTTTTTTTTCAACAAAAATATTTTTCTCTCTAAATCTCTCTCACTTATTCACACATAAATAGTATCTAGCACGAATGCTCTCAAGCAGGCTTCAGCAAGAAGATGTTTCCTCTCACGCTTCATCAAACTATTTATACAACTATTCTAATACTAAATGACCCTTACCACAAATACTCCATGACCAAATGACCAATAGTACAACTAACTATTCTAAGATTAAATGGATCCACCTAGCTCTGAATGGTACCTGACTCGATTGGAGGAAAGTTAAGGCAATAATTCTCTGCATATGGATATTAACACTCAGACATTACCCCACACGTGACTACTACCCACACTATCACTTTATTTACAGGGGTTAAAGAATAAGATGAACTCTATCTACCCCCCACCTGTCCTGAAGGGAGGGGGGGGGTGGTTTACCACACCAAACTTATATCAAATGCTCTGTGTTCTGATGAGTCCATATGACAAGGCCAATTTTTGCATGTCAAATCTCGTCATTTGCAGTGGTTGTATAACATCATGCACATCACAGATCAACATCTCTCTTCCCAGAGCTTCCAGTGTTGTCCCTGACCCAGACACTGACCTTGACCTGGAGGAAGGGACACGCCTGCAGCACCAACAGCTGACCCTGCCCCAGTTCTGTGTGGCCTTGCTGCAGAGGATCCTGCCGCAGTTGAAGACAGATGATGAGGCCCTGGGTGTGAGGCTGCTGGAGCTTCTGGCGGAGGTTGTCACAGTTCTCTCTTCTGTGCTGGACGCAAGCTTCTGGGCTGATGATGAGAGCTCAGCTAAAGATATGGTCAGTTTTATGCTTTGATTTACTTCACCTTGTGTTTTATTTTATTCTTCTATTAGAAGATTTTTTTTTTAAGTGTTAAAATTTTATTTTTTATTTTAACAAATATTTTATTAATCAAAGTTTCAAAATTAAAAATAATTTTTACTATATATTTTTTATTGCTAAATATTTATTTTATATAATTCTGTTTTGAATAATTGGACCAAGTGTTTTATTTTGACTTAACAGTTTTTGTAGTTTATTTGAATTTGAAAAAAAAAATAGATCTGTTAGTAAGAATAAAATGATGTATTTTAAAACTTGAAGAAGGAAGATTTGTTTTATCTCAAAACTTTTGTAGATCAAGTGTTAAGATAATTCCCAACTATAATTAAATGTCCATTTTTATTTTAAACTAATCAGAGTAATAGGAGATTAAGGCCATCTTGCCACTCTTGCTTGTCTGATATGGATATTTTTAAGAATTTTGTTTTTAAACCAATAAAGTTGTTGTGTTGAAATATCACTTGTTGTAGTATTTAATACTTAATGTGACATTAACCATGAGTTGGATACCTGTAATATAACTATTGAAGAGAACAGGGATGTCTTGGGAAAGCTGCAAATTCAATAGCTGGGGACTGGACAAAATGGACTGGTATGGCTGAGGCTGTATGCTCCACAAGGAGTAAAGAGGATTAAGTCACATAAGTCAAGTCAATATAAGTATTTGGTTTGTTTCAGGTGGACAGGCTGACAGATTGCATGGAGGTGATGGCGGAGCTGATGGAGTCTCACCACCACCACCACACCCAGTCACTGCCTGCTGATGCCAGAAGTTTGAGCAGGGAAGACCTGGCTACTCACAGGGTCCTGTTCATGGGTCTGGTGACCGTCGTCACCAAATTTTTGACCATGATTCCTCTAGAAAAGGTGTGTACAACAACTTTTTTTTTGTTGTGTCATGTAAAATGAAACATTGCTGTGCCATAGAAAATAGTTTTATGTTTGTGAATTCATGTATGTATTGTACGTTAAATTAACTACTGTAAAACAAAATACCTTTTCATACCTATATCTTTAGAGTAGATACAGTAGAGTTTCTGTTTCTTTGACCCCAGTATATGTAGAGGTTGTGTGTTCATCACTGCATCCAACTATTTTACTTTCCCCAACTAGAGTAAGGTATCCATCAGAGCTGGGTGGACTCAGTGGATATCCTATGGATTTGAGCCTTTGAAAAGCATTGATTTTTTTGTATGTCCTCATGTGCTCTACCACCTGACCATGCCATCCCATTGTGTTTTACCTAATTGGAGTTAATTTCTCTTTCTATTCAGTTCAACTTTATATAACTGTTTTAGTTTTTTTTTTTAATTTAAACAGTAGGCTCTATTTGAAGTATAAATGTTTTTGAACAGATGGACAGAGTCCTTCCAGAAAAGCTCAAGTCCTGCTTGTACACAATCATTTACGACGAGCCTCTTGCTGTGGTGTATCCTCGATGTCGAGCTGTCTGTTTAACCATTGGCCAGACCCTGGGCCTGTCTGTACCACTGGACTATCAGCATGCTGTGGATATCTGTCACTCAATGGCCAACACCTGTTTGTTTTGTTTACAAGTGGAGGATAAACAGGTTCGGGTTTGTTTGTTTTTTAAATTTTATCTTAGATGTTTGACGCAAGAATTAATATTACTGTTTTAAAGTAAATAAAATAACATACCTTTTAACTAAAATAATTAATTTTAAAACAATGAAGTCCCCTCATCAAATTTTGTTTTTTTAATGAGATCCTAGTCAGCTCATGCAAACTATGCAATTTAGAATATGCAAACTATTCAATTCAAAATAGATTTAAAATTGCTTAGCTTTATTATCCTTGTAACATAAACAACACTGTAGTGAAGGCATACTTAATTAGTTACATAGGTATATTACATGTGAATGTATTTTACAATTCATTTAAAATTTTAAATGATTTTTAATTAAAGAATTTTAAATTGTTGAATAATTTAAAGAAGAAACACACTTAGAATTGGTTTGGAAAACGGATACAATATTAGTGGTATCTTATGATTCTCCAAAATTAAGTACATAATATTTTATTGTTTTGAAGCTAACATTATTTTTGTTCAAATTTGCTAGCGTCCTACATCCGAATTGGCCAGATTGGCTTGTGATGGGATCCGCAGTCTGAACTATCATCTGTACTTCCCATTTGTGTCCAAGTTTGTCAAGTTTATTTCTACGATGTAAGCTTTTTTTAACTTTTACTTTAAGAGATAAGGAGCCTCTTAAAGAGCCAGCTTGAACTAGATTTACTTTTTTAACAGGATTTTTGCAAATTCTAAAAATGTAAAAAAAAAATATTGAATATAGATGATATATTTTATTTCTCCAATATCAATGTTAACTTTTGTTACTATGTTTTGTTTTTTAAGCAAGCTGACAGAAATAATTGTCTACATTTGGCTTAGTTATTAACACTTTTAAAAATATTGTGCTAAACACATCTTTGTGACTGCTAAAAGAAGAGTGCCTTTGTCACCAGTTGCAGCAGTAAAAAAACAGACCAAGGTGTCATCACCCAATGTACTGGTGTTTTACTTCAACTAATGTCCTATCCTGTAGATTCTGTTAGGGAAGTGTGTTACGCAACCATCCTGGATACTATCAAGGTCAGCTTAATTTTTTTTTTTTTAGTTTTTAGTTTTAGAATAAATTATCACATGTTCACACTCCAAATTTTTACATCATGGTTTACTGTCATTTTTCATAATGTAATTACAAAGTTTAAAATTTATACTGTAAGAGACATGACAAATTATTGTTCTGTTAAAAAATGGATGTTTTTTTAAACTACCAAGTCCAATAATCTATTCTAGAGTTGCCTTCAAGTGAGCTATGCTGTGATGCCAGAGTCTAAAGCAAGTTTCCAGGCCAAATTTATAATGAACCCCGACATCCTCTATGAACTGGTTTCTTTTGGATTATCTGACACACTGGAAAAGGTCATTTCATAATTAACTGGATTTACCGTACTATAATACTAAGATTTTTAAAAATTGCTTGTATAAATTGGGTTTAGAAACATTTAAATATTTTTTTGTGCTTCATTATTTAACTGTTTTTACATTCCTTTAAATAAATTTTGTTAATTTTTTTATTGTGTTCATTATTAAAATTCAATTAATTTTTATTTAATTAAGTTATTATTATTATAATCATTTAAAAGTCAAAAACTTAATTCCGCTTAATGTTATTGTAATATGCAATCAAGGTATTTAAATGAAAAATGTTTTGTCTGATAACTGTTGTCATGTGACCAGGTTCGGACGTCCTCTTGTGAGACCCTCCACCGTCTGCTCCAGTCCCAGCTGCTGATGTCTGAAGGTCTGTGGCAGGAGTTCATCTTGTCACTGACCAAATCCCTGCCAGTTTTACAGGTCAGCTCTTGTAGTTCTAGTCTAGTTAACCAGATAGACATGGCTTGCTAAATGTAGTTTACATTGTACTTTAAGGCTAGTATTATTCTTGGTTTATTAAATGTAGTTTACACTTAAACTTTGATTGGTCTGAATAATGCCAAACTTTTTATTTGTTCCAGTCCTACACTGACCAGAGTACATCATTAGGACGTGGTCTGTGGTACATGCTGGACCCCACCACCACCACACTTAAACTTTGATTGGTCTGAATAATGCCAAACTTTTTATTTGTTCCAGTCCTACACTGACCAGAGTACATCATTAGGACGTGGTCTGTGGTACATGCTTGACCCCACCACCACCACACTTAAACTTTGATTGGTCTGAATAATGGCAAACTTTTTATTTGTTCCAGTCCTACACTGACCAGAGTACATCATTAGGACGTGGTACATGCTTGACCCCACCACCATCACACTTAAACTTTGATTGGTCTGAATAATGGCAAACTTTTTATTTGTTCCAGTCCTACACTGACCAGAGTACATCATTAGGACGTGGTCTGTGGTACATGCTTGACCCCACCACCACCACACTTAAACTTTGATTGGTCTGAATAATGGCAAACTTTTTATTTGTTCCAGTCCTACACTGACCAGAGTACATCATTAGGACGTGGTCTGTGGTACATGCTTGACCCCACCACCACCACACTTAAACTTTGATTGGTCTGAATAATGCCAAACTTTTTATTTGTTCCAGTCCTACACTGACCAGAGTACATCATTAGGACGTGGTCTGTGGTACATGCTTGACCCCACCACCACCACACTTAAACTTTGACTGGTCTGAATAATGCCAAACTTTTTATTTGTTCTAGTCCTACACTGACCAGAGTACATCATTAGGACGTGGTCTGTGGTACATGCTTGACCCCACCACCACCACACTTAAACTTTGACTGGTCTGAATAATGCCAAACTTTTTATTTGTTCTAGTCCTACACTGACCAGAGTACATCATTAGGACGTGGTCTGTGGTACATGCTTGACCCCACCACCACCACACTTAAACTTTGACTGGTCTGAATAATGCCAAACTTTTTATTTGTTCCAGTCCTACACTGACCAGAGTACATCACTAGGTCGTGGTCTGTGGTACATGCTGGACCCCACTACCACCACACACAACCTCTCCCTTCTTGACAAGCTGCGAGGGGTTCTACGCCTCTTCTTCCTGGCTGACAAGAAGTTAGTAAAAACCTAATAACAAGTTGAATCAGACATTTTGACATCTATAATCTCTTTTCTAATTTAGGCTGTTAAAATTTTAGTGATACTATGGTAAATAAATATGTTCATGTATTAGTGTAGACCAGATCAATTTTTGTTCATTAAGATTTTTTACTTTTAATAAATTATCAACATACAACACGATAGAATTGTATTAGTTGGCTACAGAAAAAAAGTAAAGTTTAAAATATGTCGATTTATTACTGTCTATTAGACTTTTATCTTTCTACTCAAAAATATTTGTAAAGAAGACATTAGATTTGAATTTTAAAAGAATATAAAATCTATTGCTCATTATGTAAATGGCAAATTTATCAAATTAGTCCTGGATTTGGGATGTTTTGAAATCATCTTTGTTTTCAAGTAAAAAAAAAAAACTGATGGGTTTGGCCATGTTGGACTAGTAGAGTAGCAAATTGGCAGCATGGGTTGAAATTTTCAGATGTATCCTGTTGTTTATTAAATGAATTAACCTAAGGAAACTGCTGCTTGATTTTAAACTTTTAAATTTGATTATGTACAGATACAAATATTTTAAAAAACAAAACTTTCAGACTGAGGCTGGAGGCTGCCAAACATCTGAAGTGGTTTTTGTGTAACGAGCAGAATGTGGAGAACAAACTACCCAGTGCTTTTGACCTTGACCCTTCCAGCTTGTCATGTGACCTTGTGACACTGACCACCCAGCTGGTGGAGGAGGACACCAGCAGATCTGTATTTAAGGTCAGTTTTTGTCACCACTGATGGACCAGTGATCCTCAGGCCTTTAGACATTCATTAATGGTTCTGTGGTTGATGGTTCTGAATCGTTTTGACTTTGACCAATGGTCCTAAATTCTTTAGGCTTTGACCAGTGGTCCTAAATTCTTTAGACTTTAATCAATGGTCCTAAATTCTTTAGACTTTTACCAATGGTCCTAAATTCTTTAGACTTTTACCAATGGTCCTAAATTCTTTAGACTTTAATCAATGGTCCTAAATTCTTTAGACTTTTACCAATGGTCCTAAATTCTTTAGACTTTAATCAATGGTCCTAAATTCTTTAGACTTTTACCAATGGTCCTAAATTCTTTAGACTTTTACCAATGGTATTAAATTCTTTAGACTTTAATCAATGGTCCTAAATTCTTTAGACTTTTACCAATGGTCCTAAATTCTTTAGACTTTAATCAATGGTCCTAAATTCTTTAGACTTTTACCAATGGTCCTAAATTCTTTAGACTTTTACCAATGGTCCTAAATTCTTTAGACTTTAACCAATGGTCCCAAATTCTTTAGACTTTTACCAATGGTCCTAAATTCTTTAGACTTTAACCAATGGTCCTAAATTCTTTAGACTTTTACCAATGGTCCTAAATTCTTTAGACTTTTACCAATGGTCCTAAATTCTTTAGACTTTAATCAATGGTCCTAAATTCTTTAGACTTTTACCAATGGTCCTAAATTCTTTAGACTTTAATCAATGGTCCTAAATTCTTTAGACTTTTACCAATGGTCCTAAATTCTTTAGACTTTTACCAATGGTCCTAAATTCTTTAGACTTTAATCAATGGTCCTAAATTCTTTAGACTTTTTACCAATGGTCCTAAATTCTTTAGACTTTTACCAATGGTCCTAAATTCTTTAGACTTTTACCAATGGTCCTAAATTCTTTAGACTTTAACCAATGGTCCTAAATTCTTTAGACTTTAATCAATGGTCCTAAATTCTTTAGACTTTTACCAATGGTCCTAAATTCTTTAGACTTTTACCAATGGTCCTAAATTCTTTAGACTTTAATCAATGGTCCTAAATTCTTTAGACTTTTTACCAATGGTCCTAAATTCTTTAGACTTTAATCAATGGTCCTAAATTCTTTAGACTTTTACCAATGGTCCTAAATTCTTTAGACTTTTACCAATGGTCCTAAATTCTTTAGACTTTAACCAATGGTCCTAAATTCTTTAGACTTTTACCAATGGTCCTAAATTCTTTAGACTTTGACCAATGGTCCTAAATTCTTTAGACTTTGACCAATGGTCCTAAATTCTTTAGACTTTGACCAATGGTCCTAAATTCTTTAGACTTTGACCAGTGGTCCTAAATTCTTTAGACTTTGACCAATGGTCCTAAATTCTTTAGACTTTGACCAATGGTCCTAAATTCTTTAGACTTTGACCAATGGTCCTAAATTCTTTAGACTTTGACCAGTGGTCCTAAATTCTTTAGACTTTGACCAATGGTCCTAAATTCTTTAGACTTTGACCAATGGTCCTAAATTCTTTAGACTTTGACCAGTGGTCCTAAATTCTTTAGACTTTAATCAATGTTCCTAAATTCTTTAGACTTTTACCAATGGTCCTAAATTCTTTAGACTTTAACCAATGGTCCTAAATTCTTTAGACTTTAACCAATAGTCCTAAATTCTTTAGACTTTGACCAATGGTCCTAAATTCTTTAGGCTTTGACCAGTGGTCCTAAATTCTTTAGACTTTAATCAATGTTCCTAAATTCTTTAGACTTTGACCAATGGTCCTAAATTCTTTAGGCTTTGACCAGTGGTCCTAAATTCTTTAGACTTTAATCAATGGTCCTGAATTCTTTAGACTTTAACCAATGGTCCTAAATTCTTTAGACTTTGACCAGTGGTCCTAAATTCTTTAGACTTTGACCAATGATTCTTGACCTTTTAAACTCCGACCAAAGTTTTATAATTGTTGTTTCACAAACCTCAATCAACTACTTTATAGGACTTAAACTACTTTACTCTTTAACTATATTCTCACTCATTATTGATAATGATAATAATTCTCCTGATTCTTACTGTAAACTGATTTTATTTAATCTGGTATTGCTCTTAAAAGCTTTACAGCCATGATTTTTGTTTTTAGTTTAATGATCTTTCTGATTCATGGTTATCATAGACCAAAATTAACTCATGCATGCATAATTTTTAAAAAAAACCCCGTCATTTCATGAATAGGAGGAGGGCATGGTTCAAGTGTATGACATCTTTACCTCTGACCCAGTTGACCCAGGGGTCAAAAAGTCTGCAGGTGACCAACTGGCCATCATGATGAAAGGTAATTTTATATAACAAATGTACAGTGTTAAACTGTGTAAGATATTGTGGTAATGAAAATGTGGAAGTTAAGTATTTTGAGAATTAAAATGGTGAAGTTAAATATATTGTGATAATGATAATGTGGAAGTTAAATATTGTGAGAATTAAAATGTGGAAGTTAAATATTGTGAGAATTAAAATGTGGAAGTTAAATATTGTGAGAATTAAAATGTCGAAGTTAAATATTGTGAGAATTAAAATGTGGAAGTTAAATATTGTGAGAATTAAAATGTGGAAGTTAAATATTGTGAGAATTGAAATGTGGAATGTGAATGCTTGTAGTCAATAATTGGGTCTATTTCATTTTTTTTTAAATCTTTCCAGATCCTTATTTACATGCCAAGTTTAAATCAAAAGGTGGGGCAGAGATGGTGTGTTCTATAATCCAACAGGCAGTGAACAAGGTGGACACTGAGTCCAAGAAGGTGGGGGTCATGCTCTCTTTCTTTTTTATAGTTCTATTTTCTATCAGAGATGTTCTGAAATTTGGGACAAAACAAAAAAATAAATAGGTGCATCATTTCAGTTGGTTAGTTGTTTTTAAATTTTGGTTTTTGTTATTTTGGCTGCTCTTTGCTGTCTAGTGCTCTACCGCTAGACCACACCATCCCATTTATGTGCTGATAAATGTGTTAAATTCTTCTTCAAGAACATGTGTAACATATCTGTCCCCAGGACTTGACCCCCTACCTGCCAGCATGCCTGTCTATCCTGCGCTGCCTGACCCACCATGATTACTCACTCCGCCACAGCCTGGCTAGAGACAGTGACCTCTACTATGCTTTAATCAGAGGTAACTTTCATAGCACTGAGACCAAAGACTTCATCATCTTTTCCTGTTGTGCCAAGGACGCATGGGGCAGATGAAGTAGAGTTCATCTGTTTCAATGACCTCTACAAGGGGATAGTATGGTCAGCACTATGCTCAGCTGCCTTGTTTTCACTAACCGTACTCAGGTACTTATTAGAGCTGGGTGGACTCAGGGAAGTCCCAGACTACAGCCCAGGATCTGAACTTGAGACTTGGCGAAATTTTTGTAACAGTATTCAATAGATAGTATAGTGACCCATGCTTTTCTTTTTAGTTATTTAAATATTAGTTCCTATTTTTAAAAAAATCATTTATTTTCTTATTTTTAGTGCATAATTATGTAAAAGTTTGTCATTAAAACCTCTTTTATTTAATTTTTTTAATACAATAGTATTTCATGACTAAAAACAACAGGGCACCAAATGAATGCAATGTGCTTTGTGATGTGGTTGTCAAAAATGAATTGTGTAGGCTAGGAGACAGAGAGAGAGTGTGTGTGTGATAGTGCCCTCCCCTTGAAAGTTGTGTGCTAGGGAGCGGAAGTGTGGGAACACGAGAGTGTGTGGAGGAATGTTGTATTTTTTGTAATAGCATGTAAAAAAAAGTACTTTATATAGGAAATTTTCATTAGTTCATAAAAAATTTAAGTATCCAATTTAATCAATTTTGATGTCACATTACATTGTCATCGGATCTTGACCCACATGCCAAGTTTCAAAGAAATTGCTCTGTTTGAAGTCGACGAAATTTTGCTTGCTAGTTTTGATCCATGCCTAAAGTCCAATGCACGACTAAAGAGCGATGAAGCAAAGTAAAAGAAAAGCTTGTAAAAAAAAGGATTCAAAAGAAAAATTTTGCCTTTTTTCAGTTTCCCTCCTTCATCCCAAACAAGATTCCATCAAGATGGATGTGTCACATATTTTAACTCTCCTGCTCTTTGATGAGGTCTCTAAGTTTGATGTTGGGTGAGTAGCTCAAACATTTTCATGCACTAATTGCTAAAATAGAGTGGCTGAAATTTTAGAATACACTCAACTATCATTTTAGCATAAACTAAAAGAATTTAAAGGATTACTTTATAACATTATTATATTTTATAACTTTTAAATTTATTAAGATATTTACACATAAAAGAATATAGTATAACAAAAAAGCTGATTTTAATTTGAAAACTTCTTGGTTTTGGAATTGAGGTTAGCTTACATTTTTTGTCACAATATTACCTAATCTTGTAAACCCCAATTAGGATTTTTTTTTAAAGCATCTTTTTGAATACATCAAATCAGCAAGAGAAATATTTATAAGACATTCAGTGTTGTATTTTTTGCTGTAGTTTACCTTTATCCTGCCAATCTTCCTCCAGGTTTGGGGAGTCTCAGGTTCCTGGCACCAAGTTCAGTCTACCTGCCCAGGTGATTCAAAGGTTAGCTTAAAAGATATAACCATTTAGAAAAAAGTACTTATCTAAATCAGCTTGGGATTTTTCACCACATTTTTTTTCACTTACAAAAATGTAAACAAAATGTTACTTATCATTGCTCTTTGTCGGACTAAAGTCTATGGAAAAAAATCCAAATAGAAAAGCAGGCTGTAATTGGATTCAATGGCCTTTATGGTGTATAGTTGACACATTATACGTAATACTTAATTGTGTTTTAGGAAATTTCATCCAACATTACAATTAAGAATGAAAAAGAAGTTACTTATCCTAATTTATTATGTTTAAAAAGTTTTTTATATATTAAAATAATTTTTGTGTTGTTTTTTTCTGTAACAAATCATTTAACAAAGACGTGCTAACAATGTCTCAGGTACCGCCTGCCATTCCTGCCCCAAAGTCACCACACCTACAGCCCCAGCAGTCTGACACTGCCAGATGACAGCAGTGACATCATGACGACCAGGGGACCAAAGGAAATGATGAAGGTTGCCTGGAATGTGGCCTGGCACGGTGGCCTTGACCCACTTGTTGATTCCTTCGGTACACAGCTCTTTACTGAGACAAATAAGGAGTGAGTACACATGTCAGGCTTTGTATTTACCTGTTATGATCACCTGTGTCTAGTACTGTATTCACCTGTGTCTATTTACCTGTTATGATCACCTGTGTCAAGAACTGGAAAGTAAAGTTCCCTATTTGAACCTCATGGTCCATGGGGCAGATGAAGTAGAGTTCATCTGTTTTACTGTCCTCTGCATTTGAAGGGATAATGTGGTTAGCATTATGCCCAGCCGCCTTTACTTTCCCTAACGTGAGTTAGATACCCATCAGAGCTTAGTCAACTCTGGAACATTCTACTGGCTACTGCTATATTGTAGCCATGTGCTTTATTCCCAGCTTCAGCCCCGCCCTGACCCTAACCCCAGTAGAGCAGGTGGTGCTGGAGACCTCCAACATCCAATGGCTGCTCAGGTCGAGGGTGGAGTCTATCAGACAAGCCACCTCCCACCAGGCGGTGACCTCAGCCATCAACCATATGATGTCCTACACAGCCATCTTCAAGATTCCAGCCCTCAGCAACTTCTTCACTGGGCAGGATTGGTTCTCAGTGCTAGACAAGTAATTTTTTTAAACACATTGTTTGTTCTGTTAAAATATTGGATTAGTTTTGTGATAACTTCATTATTTTTTTTAGATTTGTTCTCAGTTCCAGCCAAGTAAACTTTTATAACATTGTTTGTTCTGTTAAAATTTTATTTTTATATAAGAAACAAATAATAGAAATATCATAAAGAGCAAGAAAAACCTGCATTCAAAGATGACAATCCACTAAAAATATTAATATAATTTGAGTCTCGTTCTCTTCAAAAAATGTTTATTTCTAAATCTCAAAGTTGATTGTCATCTGATGTTCGTTTTTTTTTAAAAACAATGATGTGACTAATTATAAATTTTAATGTAGCCACCATGCCTGCTAAAATTTTTGTGTGTGACAGTTTAAAAAACTTCTGCCCCAGGTTCCTGACTGTCACGCCCACCTCCAGCTCAGACCAGTCCCTCCTCCTGCATGTCCTAAAGTTCATTAGCTCCGTCCTACCATTTCCTAAAGGACAAAGTCCTGTGCTGACTTGGCTCCTGGACAAACTCTACTGTCCATCTGGTCCACTGATTAGTTTGTTAAGTCAGTCAGTGGCTGCTGAGCAGGGGACCATTCACAGGTAGATTAAAAAGTAGAATTTTGTTTCAGATTTAATTAAAATTATTTTATGTTGAGCGGAGTACCATTCACAGGTAGATTAAAATTATAATTTTGTTTCACATTTAATTAAAAAAATTTTATGTTGAGTAGATTAATAAGTAGAAATTTATTGAATTTTAATTGAATTTGTTTTTAGCAAGGAAACATTCACAAGTATATTAAAAACTAGAATTGTATATTAAAATTTAATAAAATTATTTTATGTTGAGCAGGTAGATTAGAATATAAAATTTTATTTACGATTAATGGACGTTTCAGAGGTAAATTTCAAAATTATTTTTTTTGAGGATTTGATGTTACATCTTGCAAAAAAATGGGAATCTGGAAGTAACCCTGCATAACAAATGCTGCAGTTATAATCTTTATCACCTAATCAAAAAGTAAAGAAAAAATAAAAATAAATAACCAAAAAATTATATATAAAATGTTTAAATAACTAGTGCAGTTTATTAGGTAAATAAATAGACTTGATAGAGATGGACAAAATTTTACCTTCATTTTCATGATTCTCATTGAGTTCTCTGTAGCATTACAGTGTAGTTTTGTGTAACAATACTAAGCTGTGCTAATATCTCATGTCACAGAGCACTGACCAAGGTACTCCTGCAGTATGTCACCACCATCAACCTTTCACTGCCCTACCAGCTTCAACAGAGGTGAACACCCCTTTTTTGGTTAATAGAACTTTGGTCTGTATTCTCAAAGTGTTTCTGATAAAAGTAAAGTTTCCGTATCAAACCTGGCGGTCTATAGGGCAAGTGAAGTAGAGTTCTCTTGCTTCTGTGACCTCGGCATATGAAGAGATAGTGTGGTCAGCATTATGCCAAGCTGCCTTTACTTTCCCTAACGTGAGTTAGGTACCCATCAGAGTTGGGTGGTGGACTCAAGGACGGTCTTCTGACTTGAACCCGGATTCGAACTCGAGACTTACGGGTTAGCAGTCCAGCTCTCTACCGCTAGACCACTCCGTCCCTGTTTCTGATAACCTGTAAGAAATCTGCTAAGTACAAGTCCTTGGCTATATATTTTAGCATTTTTACTTTATCTACACAGGTACAAGTCTGTGCGGATGAGAGGTGATCTGGTGCGCACCTTACAGCGCGGTCTCAATGTTACAGATGCTCCTCACTTTTACAACCTGGCATCACTGGAGGGCACACTGACCTGCCTTCTGCACATCACTGCCAGGTTCTGTTTCCTGTTGTTTTACTTGGATTGGAATAAATATTGTTAATTATCTCAAAATTATAACAATTTTATAAAATAAATACAGGCTAAGAACTGTTTCTGTTTAATGTTTAGTTTTACTTGGATTTAAAACATTTTAAATTATTTTTTAAACGTATTTTACAAAATATTTTATTATAAGTGGTGGAAATAAAATGTATCAATGGTGTTTTAATTTTAAAAATAAATTTTCATTAATTACGACATACTATAATTAAAAAGTTAATTGAAAGTTTATTATCTCATTAGGCCAGGATGGAGTGCTGAAACATCTGACTGCGAGGCTCTGGTGTTATGTAACCAGCTGCTCAAAAATTTGTTGGAGGTAAATGAGATATGGTTAAAGAGATAGGGGGTCAGGTCAAAAGCTTGGGTTTTGAAGGTCATTACTACAATGGATGGGTCTTTAGGGTTGGGTCATGGGCAAGGTTATAAGGTTAAGTCACAAGGGTAATTCATAAGGGTCAGGTTTTAAACTTGGATGGTTCAGATAATAAGGTGTGGATCACAATGCTAGGTCATAGAGGTCAGTTCCTAAGCTTTGGGTCAGGGATCAGTTAATAAGTTGTGGGTCATAAGGGTCATGTCAAGAGCTTTGAGTCACAGGGGTCAGACCATAAGGTGTGGGTCATGGGTTAAGTCCTAAGGGTCAGGTCATAGGTTTTGGATTATGGATCAGGTCGTAAGGTATGGGGCATGTCAAAAGCTTTGGGTCACAGGGGTCAGAACAGAAGGTGTGGATCAGAAGGGTTGGACTAGCTAAGATATGCATGTTGTAATGAGGCTCCTGAAGCATTAAGGCTGATAGGATGTATTACTGTAACTCAAAGCTGCCCCATAGTTTGTGCTGTGGTTCACGCTTGACTTCTCGCCCTGTCTAGGTCGTCTGGTCTTTTCACGTTGGCCGCGGAGGGGCGTCCCAGTCCTACATGGGTCGCGGGGTCACAAAGTCTGGCAGCCTGTGTCTGCTGCACCTGGTCTTTGAGATGAGCTCTGTGGCTGAAGATGAGGTTTGTACCAAGGTCAAGGTCATAGACTTGTATTAATGTCAATGTTGCATGTTTGACCAGTGTCAAGGTCAATCATTTGTTTCAAATGTGGGTTATCTTCAATTAGGCAGATTATTGCTTATTATGAAGCAGAGTACATCTGTTTTGTTTGTTATAGTATTAGAATGTATATGGCCATTTTATCTTGCTAATCTTATGGAAGGTAGCCGCCATTTGAGCTGGGTAGACTCTCATAATAAAAAATTGAACATTAAAAAAAATTGAGTTTTCAAACTCATCTCCTTTTCATAATTGGACACAGACCCATTTGTTTCACTCACTCTATTAAATATTTCTATTGTTTTTTTAGTACTTGTGACTTTATTCCTGTTTATTTGTCCATTTATTCTTGTTTATCTGTCTGTTTATTCCTGTTTATTTAAGTTTATTTATTCCTGTTTATTCCTATGTCCAGAACTGGGTGAAGAGTTGGCTGTACAGGAAACAGAATGATGGCACGGAGAACGGCTTTAACTGGCTGCTGACACTGTGGGCTTATAGGGACTCAGAGGTGAGCAGGTTTTGGATAGGTCATCTTGTATTTTTCTGTATAGTAATAGTTTGACCCTCCCATCTCCATACTCTTGGACTGAGATAATTGACCTTCACTGTGCTGAGATAACTGACCTGCTGTTGGACTGAGATAACTGACCTGTTGTTGGACTGAGATAATTGACCTGTTGACCTTTTGTTTTATCCTCAGGTGCGGGCAGCTGGCCTTGGTATTGCAGCAGGCTTGACCTCTACTGAAGCAGGTCGTCTACTGATGACAGCTAACTGTAAACACATCCCAGGTGGCCTGTGGGGGGCAGCATTCAGCGTCCTCCTGGACCCTCAGGAGTGCTGCATGGTTCGCCAGCAGGCGGGGTACATTTTAATTAACCTGACGTCACAGGCCATGCCCAGTGGTCAGGTGGAGACAACTGAGGGGACCTGGCACGGCCCTCTGGTCATTGACCCTGATTGCCAGGTAGGTTTTTATATAACCTTGTTTTGTGCTTCTTTGTTCTTGATTGTAATGTTGAATGAGATTTCGTCCAACGCAATTAATTTATGACAACATGTTATGCCTCAAATGGTCAGTTGAGTTTGGTAAGTGATTATCAATTGACTAGCAGTTTTTCTATAGTAGGTTCAGGGTCAGTGTGTTAAGGGCTTTGGCCAAAGTTGTAAGGGCAGTTTGGTGGAGGTCAAGATAATTAGTAGAGTTTGGTTTAGGGGCATTGTGCTATGGGGGGGGGGGGGGTTAGGTCTGAACCATGTTGGTGGAGGGGTGGTAGGGCTACACTGTTTAGGTTTGTAATCTGACAATGTTGACAATGTCAGCTGATGTTGACCTTTACATTACACTTTGTCAGCTAATGTTTACATTACACTTTGTCAGCTAATGTTTACATTACACTTTGTCAACTGATGTTTACATTACACTTTGTCAACTGATGTTGACCTTTACATTACACTTTGTCAACTGATGTTGACCTTTACATTACACTTTGTCAGCTAATGTTTACATTACACTTTGTCAACTGATGTTGACCTTTACATTACACTTTGTCAGCTAATGTTTACATTACACTTTGTCAACTGATGTTTACATTACGCTTTGTCAACTGATGTTGACCTTTACATTACACTTTGTCAGCTAATGTTTACATTACACTTTGTCAACTGATGTTTACATTACGCTTTGTCAACTGATGTTGACCTTTACATTACACTTTGTCAACTGATGTTGACCTTTACATTACACTTTGTCAACTGATGTTGACCTTTACATTACACTTCATCAGCTGATGTTGACCTTTACATTACACTTCATCAGCTGATGTTGACCTTTACATTACACTTCATCAGCTGATCTTGACCTTTACATTATACTTCATCAGCTGATGTTGACCTTTACATTACACTTCATCAGCTGATGTTGACCTTTACATTACACTTCATCAGCTGATGTTGACCTTTACATTACACTTCATCAGCTGATCTTGACCTTTACATTATACTTCATCAGCTGATGTTGACCTTTACATTACACTTCATCAGCTGATGTTGACCTTTACATTACACTTCATCAGCTGATGTTGACCTTTACATTACACTTCATCAGCTGATGTTGACCTTTACATTACACTTCATCAGCTGATCTTGACCTTTACATTACACTTCATCAGCTGATCTTGAGCTTTACATTACACTTCATCAGCTGATGTTGACCTTTACATTACACTTCATCAGCTGATGTTGACCTTTACATTACACTTCATCAGCTGATCTTGACCTTTACATTATACTTCATCAGCTGATGTTGACCTTTACATTACACTTCATCAGCTGATGTTGACCTTTACATTACACTTCATCAGCTGATGTTGACCTTTACATTACACTTCATCAGCTGATCTTGACCTTTACATTATACTTCATCAGCTGATGTTGACCTTTACATTACACTTCATCAGCTGATGTTGACCTTTACATTACACTTCATCAGCTGATGTTGACCTTTACATTACACTTCATCAGCTGATGTTGACCTTTACATTACACTTCATCAGCTGATGTTGACCTTTACATTATACTTCATCCGCTGATGTTGACCTTTACATTACACTTCATCAGCTAATGTTGACCTTTACATTACACTTTGTCAGCTGATGTTGACCTTTACATTACACTTCATCAGCTGATGTTGACCTTTACATTACACTTCATCAGCTGATGTTGACCTTTACATTACACTTCATCAGCTAATGTTGACCTTTACATTACACTTCATCAGCTGGTGTTGACTTTTACATTACACTTCGTCAGCTAATGTTGACCTTTACATTATACTTCATCAGCTAATGTTGACCTTTACATTACACTTCGTCAGCTAATGTTGACCTTTACATTACACTTCATCAGCTAATGTTGACCATTATATTACACTTCGTCAGCTGATGTTGACCTTTACATTACACTTTGTCAGCTAATGTTGACCATTATATTACACTTCATCAGCTGATGTTGACCTTTACATTACACTTTGTCAGCTAATGTTGACCTTTACATTACACTTCATCAGCTGATGTTAACCTTTACATTACACTTCATCAGCTAATGTTGACCTTTACATTACACTTCATCAGCTGATGTTAACCTTTACATTACACTTCATCAGCTGATGTTGACCTTTACATTACACTTCATCAGCTGATGTTGACCTTTACATTATACTTCATCCGCTGATGTTGACCTTTACATTACACTTCATCAGCTAATGTTGACCTTTACATTACACTTTGTCAGCTGATGTTGACCTTTACATTACACTTCATCAGCTGATGTTGACCTTTACATTACACTTCATCAGCTGATGTTGACCTTTACATTACACTTCATCAGCTAATGTTGACCTTTACATTACACTTCATCAGCTGGTGTTGACTTTTACATTACACTTCGTCAGCTAATGTTGACCTTTACATTATACTTCATCAGCTAATGTTGACCTTTACATTACACTTCGTCAGCTAATGTTGACCTTTACATTACACTTCATCAGCTAATGTTGACCATTATATTACACTTCGTCAGCTGATGTTGACCTTTACATTACACTTTGTCAGCTAATGTTGACCATTATATTACACTTCATCAGCTGATGTTGACCTTTACATTACACTTTGTCAGCTAATGTTGACCTTTACATTACACTTCATCAGCTGATGTTAACCTTTACATTACACTTCATCAGCTAATGTTGACCTTTACATTACACTTCATCAGCTGATGTTAACCTTTACATTACACTTCATCAGCTGATGTTGACCTTTACATTATACTTCATCCGCTGATCTTGACCTTTACATTACACTTCATCAGCTAATGTTGACCTTTACATTACACTTTGTCAGCTGATGTTGACCTTTACATTACACTTCATCAGCTGATGTTGACCTTTACATTACACTTCATCAGCTAATGTTGACCTTTACATTACACTTCATCAGCTGGTGTTGACTTTTACATTACACTTCGTCAGCTAATGTTGACCTTTACATTATACTTCATCAGCTAATGTTGACCTTTACATTACACTTCGTCAGCTAATGTTGACCTTTACATTACACTTCATCAGCTAATGTTGACCATTATATTACACTTTATCAGCTGATGTTGACCTTTACATTACACTTTGTCAGCTAATGTTGACCATTATATTACACTTCATCAGCTGATGTTGACCTTTACATTACACTTTGTCAGCTAATGTTGACCTTTACATTACACTTCATCAGCTGATGTTAACCTTTACATTACACTTCATCAGCTAATGTTGACCTTTACATTACACTTCATCAGCTGATGTTGACCGGTACAGAAGCACTGAGGGCTCTCCTAGAACACACCAGCCTGTTTGCCTGTGTGGCCCAGCTGCTTGACTCCCTCTACACCTCGTCCCTGATACAACCTGTGCTGGTCTCTACAGACCTGGAGGACACAGACTCTACATTCAGTACCACTGGTCAGTTGCTGCATGTCAAAGTTGTCTAGTAGGTTATCCACTTGTCCAAGAGAAAGTGAATGCTGCTATACATAGTGCTAATCATGAAGTCCCTTCATATACCGAGTTCTTAGAACCAGTTGAACTCTACTTAACCTGCCCAACAGATCATCAGGGAATTTTTTTTTCTGGAGAAATTTTTTCAGAAATAAAAAAAGAATTACACTAATCACTTAAACTCCCTTACCTTACCCAGAATACCTGACAGAGCTTTTTATGGTATCCCAGAGACTTAAAGGTATCCCATCTTATCCTATGGGATTTTTGTAGTTCACTAAGAGAATGTTACCCCATATTTTGTTACCCCTGTTTGTTTGTTTGTTTGTTTGTTTGTTTAGACAGCAGAAGTGATGCCCCAACAGGGAGAACAGCGCAGACGACGGTGTTAAGTTTATCAGCTAGTCTCACGCCCAACCTCACACCCAGGTCTAAAGTAAGTGGTTTATGGTCATAACGTTAATTTTTAAAAAAATTTTATGCACAATTTTAAAACTATTTTAGTTACCTATTGGGACTTCAATTTTCTTATTATTACTAAAGAAAATGTATTAAATTTAAAAAAAAAAGAATTTCCATAAAAGGTGTAGTCCATAAATGACGTCACTAGTAGGGAGGAGATGATTTGTGATATGTAGAGGGAGAGGGGGGTTCAGATAGTGTTGCATCATATTTATTAATGGTTAATATAAAATATGTTGACTAAACTCAGTCAATATTTTAGAAGGAAATCAATTAAAAAAAAAAATTTAACTGCAATTTTGAGGGGGTTGTAGGCTGAGTTGTGACGTCATTTTAGGGGTAGGGTCTGGCTTTTTGTGACTATGTGTGATGGAAGGTTTGAGGGGGGGGGGGGTTAAAATCATTCAATAAATACGGCATCATTTATGGATGATCACACAGTTAACATAATATTTATAGATTTGTGCTTAAAAATTGAAATCTCTTTAAACAATTGTCTCGCAACTTTTTTTTCCCGTTGGCAGCAAACAACATCAACAGACAGGAGCAAAGTGTCCACGCTGGACAGCACGCTGACCAACACTCTGTCCACAAATACTGAGGCGTCAGTCAACTCACAAAGTTTGTACATTTTTTTTATTTCAAACACTTGATTTGTTTTTAAATAGGAACAACTGATATGAGAATATACAAATTTGATAAAGAAATTCAAAAAGATAATTTAAAAATACTAACTGTTGATATTACATTACAAGAAGTTGATATAAAAATATAAACAGCTATTATAAAAGACACAAACAGTTGATATAAAAATAGAAATAGTTGATATAAAAATTCAAACTTTTGAGAAATACATACAAACAGTTAATATAAAAAAAAATCTAAACATAGTGAACACATTGTATTAAGCTCAGTTGTCACAGTTTTCTACGTTTGAGAGAAATGACATTTTGTGTTTGACATCTATTGTTGTTCTGTTATGACATGTTTTTAAAATCCAAAATATTGTGGGCATTGGGGTGGTTCTACGTTTCAGTATCAGTTTATGTGACAAATATCTACTAGTATCACATGAATAAGGCAATAACTCCAACAAGTGGACATCTTAGTTTTTTTTCCTGTGTGGTCTTAATTTGAAAAACCAAATTGTAAATAATGAAATATTTCTGGTTCCTAGATATCGTGGGATTCCACACCTATTATTTTTCACTAAAACTTAAAATAATTAAATTTTCCCTTTTAATTTGTTACCAAGTTCACTTATCACTTTACGCCATCAGATTAGTATTGGAATGCACACCGTTATTTTATCACTTGTTGCATCAAGTTGAACTGTACGTCACATATCACTTGTTGCATCAAGTTGATCTGTGTCACATATCACTTGTTGCATCAAGTTGATCTGTGTCACATATCACTTGTTGCATCAAGTTGAACTGTACGTCACATATCACTTGTTGCATCAAGTTGATCTGTGTCACATATCACTTTTTGCATCAAGTTGATCTGTGTCACATATCACTTGTTGCATCAAGTTGAACTGTACGTCACATATCACTTGTTGCATCAAGTTGAACTGTACGTCACATATCACTTGTTGCATCAAGTTGATCTGTGTCACATATCACTTGTTGCATCAAGTTGATCTGTGTCACATATCACTTGTTGCATCAAGTTGAACTGTACGTCACATATCACTTGTTGCATCAAGTTGATCTGTACGTCACATGATGTGTTGTATGCTGGATTTCACTTCATGCCAGGCATAGGCATGGCTAAGATGGCAGCCATCTTGTTTCTAATTTTCATAATTTTTTTTTTTCAAGCTCTGAATTAAAGATGGAAATTTTTAATTTTCTGTTAACCAAATGTACATTTTGTACAAGTAAACAAATGCATCCACTTTTCATGTTTCCTTAGCCACAGCTGCTACACCTTGAGACAAATTTCTGAGTTAACATATGACATAGGCCTACACACTTTATCTCACTTTATCAGTTGACTATCATGAAGTTTATCTCTTGACTATCACAAACTTAATCTCTTGACTATACTAACAATTGTCAACATTGAAAAGTGAGGACTTATTTACAGCTTTAATTTATCAATGCGTACATGCTGTAGCATTTAGAATTAGTGACAGAATTTCAAAGTTGAAATTTTATAATTAAGAACAACATAAATTTCTGAAATTAAGCAATAAGGTAGGTGTGGTCATTCTCAAGTGTAGGACATCCCTGGGTCCACCCAACTTTGATGGGCAACTGACTCATGTAAGAAAACCTAGGCAGCTGGGCATAGTTCTGACCACACTATCCCTCTTGTATACTGTGGCCATTGAAACAGATGAACTCCTACTTCATCTGCCCCATGAGTCTTGGGCACATAACGGGAAGAAACTGTGATGAAGAAAACATATCCAATACACTAAAACATGACATATTTTAATCATTTAATAATTCATATTATTCATGTTGAAAAATTATAATTGTTTTACATTGGATATTAATTTATGTCATTTACTTCCCCATTGTACAATTCAAAGAACAAAGGGAGACAACTTGCATATATGTTCCCAAAAGCAGTTAAAAATATATAAAAATTCTATATTACCAAAATCAAAAGTGAGAATCATTGTTTATTCCTTTACTAAACATGAATGTTGAAATCTTTCTACGACTATTTGTCTACTCCTTATTCTTCCTAGATTTTAGAACTATTATTGGATTATAGTTTAAATAGAAAGCCCTTAGTACTATTAGACACTTAATTTGTAGATATGTGAAAGTTCATAATTAACAATGGTACTGCCCATAGTGAGATGTTCCATAATAATACTCTTATTCCACAAGATAAATGGCTTTTTCAGGGAGAATTATAACAGGCGAATTTTAACCAGATTTTACCTTGATCTACACATAGTGACTTCCCCTTTATACTAAATATAGTTGTAGTCATACCCCTAAAACTTGCACCTAAGCTCAAACTTGACAAAAAATTGCATCCAGAGTTTCTTTCAGTCAACTTTTCGGGGTAGTGGGGGGGGGGGGGGGGCAAAATAGAATTTATATAGAAAATATACTTTTACCAGTGTCCATCCCCTCATGTAGAATGATGAGCATAGTCAGAGAGGTAGCGAGGGGGGGCGAAGGGTGCGAGCCGCACCGGGTGACACCATTTACGGTGGTGACACCAAGGCAAAAAATAGCAAAATATATAAAGAAAAATGATAATTTCACTTAATTAAATGATTAATTAATGTGAATTAAATAGTCTTTTAAAAGCAAAGTGGACAAATCCCGACACAGGTGGAGGGGGGGGGGGCGGTGACACAATGACGTAAACCTGCTAGTGATAAAGAAAACATGCAACATCCTGCTTAATTTATAACTGAATATAGATACAAATCGTTAGTATTATCTGAGCACAGTTTAAAGCAATCACTGTGAGGGTGATGGGGGGGGGGATGGAATATATATATATTCTTACGGGGGGGGGTGACACCATTAGGTGCCTACCGGGTGACACCCTACCTCGCTACGTCACTGAGCATAGTAATGCATTAGCCGAATAATTCAGGACAAGGATAATATATGCCACCAAAATTTCATGTCTGTGGCCAAAAAAAAAAGTATTCCTAAAAGTACTGACAATGGTGACCTCTGACATTCAAAGGATAACTGTCCACCTGTAAAAGAAAGTAAAATGAATCACTGTGACACTAAGCCCCTGTTCTAATGAGAAATAAGGCTAACTACTGCTATTATCCACTAAGTCTTGACATTTCTTTTTTGCAGCTGAAGAATCTCAAAGCATAGCCACACCAGGTCTTGTTTGCTCCATGGTCAAGCTTCTATCTAATGTCCTTCACCTGACGCCCCAGTATTGCCTGGAACAGATGAGGCAACACTCGTTAATGACAGCCCTCGTTAGGTTGGTCTTTTCTCTGTCCACAGTGGTTAGGTGTTAGGGCTACTGTGTGAATTTCCTTGTTAATAGTTGATAAAAGTATAAAGGAGAAATGATCAGCTTCATGTAATGCTAGGTTAATATTGCCAGATTTGTTAGCTACATGTATTGCCAGATATGTCAGCCATATGTATTGCCAGATATGTCAGCTACATGTATTGCCAGATATGTCAGCCATATGTATTGCCAGATATGTCAGCTACATGTATTGCTAGATATGTCAGCTACATGTATTGCCAGATATGTCAGCTACATGTATTGCCAGATATGTCAGCCATATGTATTGCCAGATATGTCAGCTACATGTATTGCTAGATATGTCAGCTACATGTATTGCCAGATATGTCAGCTACATGTATTGCCAGATTTGTTAGCTATGTGTATTGCCAGATTTGTTAGCTACATGTATTGCCAGATATGTCAGCTACATGTATTGCCAGATATGTCAGCTACATGTATTGCCAGATATGTCAGCTACATGTGTTGCCAAATTTGTCAGCTACATGTATTGCCAGATATGTCAGCTACATGTATTGCCAGATATGTCAGCTACATGTGTTGCCAAATTTGTCAGCTACATGTATTGCCAGATATGTCAGCTACATGTATTGCCAGATATGTCAGCTACATGTGTTGCCAAATTTGTCAGCTACATGTATTGCCAGATATGTCAGCTACATGTATTGCCAGATATGTCAGCTACATGTATTGCCAGATATGTCAGCTACATGTATTGCTAGATTTGTCAGCTATGTATATTGCCAGATATGTTAGCTACATGTATTGCCAGATATGTCAGCTACATGTGTTACCAAATTTGTCAGCTACATGTGTTGCCAGATATGTCAGCTACATGTATTGCCAGATATGTCAGCTACATGTATTTCCAGATATGTCAGCTACATGTGTTGCCAGATATGTCAGCTACATGTATTGCCAGCTATGTGTATTCCCAGATTAGTCTTTTACATGTATTTCCAGATGTGTCTTCTACAAGTATTGCAGTATCAGTCTTTGTATTGCCAGATGTTTCAGCTACACATATTGCCAGATCAATATTACCATATATTTCCCTCCCCAGCCTAGTGACCACAGACAAAATTCAATCTTTGTGTAATGAATTATCCAGTCGTGTGACCGGGTCATCTAGTGCATTGACCCTGCTGGACATTCTACAGATGTTTGAATCCATTGTTGATTTATTATCCGCTTTGGTTACCATGGATACCAATTCGAGGATTGAGCTGTTGGGAAAGAAGACAGCTCTCACATCTTTGGCTTCACTTCTGCTGTTACAGTGGCCAGGTAGCTGAACAATTTTCAGTTTAAAAAAAAAAAAAATTCTGAAAGTTATTTTTAAGCATATACTAGTTAACCCTGTTTTTTATTGGAAAATGACAGCCATTTAAAAAAAAACAATGCGCACAAATACAAACCACCCACCTGGTGTCTCCCCCCCCCCCCCCCAAAAAAAAGCTTTTATTTACAAGCCTTTTATAAATCTGTTATTATTTATAACAAGACTTTATTGTATGTTTAAAAGCTGGTTTATTCAGTTATTAATTATCATGTTTTAAGTTGTACTAACATCGTTTTATGAGAAAAAAAATTCTAAAACTGTTATTCTTAAAAATGGAAAAAAAAAAACTTAATTAAAAAGTATGAAGTAATAGTGGAAACATTTATTACATTTTTGGCCCAAAGAATGAAAGGTGAATAATTTTTATAAAATAACAATTTTTCTTTTGTCAGCACAAGATGATGTGGGCGACATGTTTGCCAGCTTGGCCAATAGTGTGCTCAAACTTCTGTGTAGGCTGCTACAGCACCGTGACCCCATGGCCTTGCATACATTGACAGCCATTTTGGGACCTATTTGGTCTCCTTTAATTGGTATGGTTAGAAATTAGCTTTCTTTGCATCTCATTACATTTTTCTGCTACATGTTTACCATGTTTACAGAGAAGGGGTAGGTAGTGTTTCTGTGACAACTGTTAGTTACTTTCTCCCTCCTAAAATGGCTACCTTAACTTCCTTTTATGTGGGATCATTCCAAGATTACAAATAGCTTATTTACAGTGTTTTTGGGGGCTGGATCTCTGACAATTTTTATCACTTTTTATCACTAGCATTAATTGGTCCGATGTATGTATGACAAAAATTCCTGTCATTTATTACAATCCCTGTGTTTGTTGTATGTCTGATAAAGTTCTGTCAGTCGCTAGAATCGCAGTATGATGTAGGTCTAAAAAAATCTGTCACGAGAATCCCTGTATGATGTATGTCCAACAAATTTCTATCTGTCACTAGAATCCCAGTATGATGTAGGTCTAACAAATTCCTATCTGTCACGAGAATCCCTGTATGATGTATGTCTAACAAATTTCTATCTGTCACTAGAATCCCTGTATGATGTATGTCTAACAAATTCCTATCTGTCACTAGAATCCCAGTATGATGTAGGTCTAACAAATTCCTATCTGTCACTAGAATCCCTGTATGATGTATGTCCAACAAATTCCTATCATTAGAATCCCTGTATGATGTATGTCTAACAAATTCCTATCTGTCACTAGAATCCCTGTATGATGTATATCTAACAAATTCCTGTCACTAGAATCCCTGTATGATGTATATCTAACAAATTCCTATCTGTCACTAGAATCCCTTTATGATGTATGTCTAACATTCCTATGTCACTAGAATCCCTGTATGAAGTATGTCCAACAAATTCCTATCTATCGCTAGAATCCCTGTGCCTGATGCTGGATGACAGTAGCTCTGACCGCCAGAGCCTGCAGGCCTCATGCCTAGACTTCCTGGCCCTGCTCCTGTGTGAGGAGAGCCGCTCTCTGGTCAAAACTCCAAACAAACTGCTGGACATTGCCTCAGTGGCGGAGCTGCTGGACGCCTCATTAAATAATGGTGACATCTTTTGGTTCTTTCTATAACTTTTACCATTTAACACAACTCTTATAGTAGATACATAAAATAAAAGAACAGGGTGGTCAAGTGATAGCCAACTCAGTTCTAATTAGTAACTGACTCAGGTTAATGAAAGGATAGATGGCAGATGGCTAAGCAAAGTGCTGACTATGTAATTCCTTCTTATGCCACAATTAAGGAAATAAAAGAAATCTTATTTATTTGATGGTCTGAAAGAATACTTTTTTATACATGCCATATAAATTATTTCAGTTGAATTAAAAAGGGTTGTATCTTATACATTTGATAGAGCCTTATTTCAGTTGAATTAAAAAGGGTTGTATCTTATACATTTGATAGAGCCTTATTTCAGTTGAATTAAAAAGGGTTGTATCTTAAACATTTGATATAACCTCCTATCAGTTGGATTAAAAAGGGTCTGAACCTTATAAATTGGATATAAACGTATTTATATATTTGACAAGCCCCATTTCATTGCCTTTTCACTGATCTGTTCTTTGTGTTGCAGAGGAGAGCGGGGAGGTTTGTAAAGATGTGAGGACCACTGGTCAGATGCTCTCAAAAGTTTTCCTGCATCTCTTTGACGTGGCCACCAAGGTTGAGATAGAGGAGAAAGTCCTTCAGGACGTGAGCAGAACGTTGAAGGTCATCAGTGCTTTCAAGGTTCTGCTCAGTGTGTCACAGTCTGCTAAATTATACGCTCTGGAAGGTAAACTAATTAGAGATAATTAGCCAGTCAGCTTTCACACACACACCATATTACATTAACCTTAATGGGTAAATTTTTTTAATACTTGTTATTAACACAGCAACACAAATGTTATTGACTGGTAAAGCTTCTCTTTAGATTTTCATTTTTTAATTTATTTTTTAATGAGGTATGTTAAGGAATTTAAAAATACAAAACTTTTTATGATTAATAGGAAACAAAACTTCTTTCTCCTCGAATGAGTCATGTCTATTTTTGTGTGTGTTTATTTTTATTTTTTGATGTGATTTTTTTTACCAGCTGGTTGAGACATTACTTCCCTTGGTTTATTCAAAACTGTTAAAATGAAAGTTGAAATGAAATATGTTGTTTTATTATTAGGTGGTCTGGTAGAGTTGACCATAGAGCATATCAAAACAACCCATGCTCAGCTGAACCTCAACACTCTGAATATGCTGAGGACAGGAGGCAAAAGGGTAAAGTTTTTTTTTTAGTGATCTCCACTCAATGCTAGCTAGCATGCTTGTTCCGGTGTACGACTTGCTTTTCATTAAATTAAAAATTGTACCCAATAAATTCCTTATAAAAGCATTTAAATCTTAGCAGCTCACATATTTCATGTCATATAGTCTAGTTATTTTTTTATTTTTTTTTTCACTCAATTATCTCTTTTATTTTCCACTCAATTATCTCTTTTATTCCAAATTATTCTGGTAATAAACAGGAAGAAGTGTTGATCCAAGAGCTGATCCTAGTTTTTGATTTTCTGCGTAACTTTATGTACAACAACACTAGTGTCAAGGTGAGTTAAGTAAAGTTTTGTGCAATGTATTGTAATTATTACTTATAAAATAACTTCACGTTTTATAAAACAAGTTAATTAAAAAGTCTAGTGACAATTTTAGCGCAATTTCCTTATGTTATCTAAAAATAGCTCTGTCGTAGCGTAAATCAAGAGCAGGGTTAGTAAAACTATTGGTTAGTTATTAAAACGTTTTTTATTTAAAAAAATTTCAGTATTTTACATGTTTTATTTACAATAGAGTTACATGACTAAAAACCATTGCGCGCCTAGCTACTGAACGTGATGACGAAGCCATAGAACGTGATGGTGCAGCTATTGAACGTGATGACGCGTGTGGTGTGGTTGGAAAAAATGCCTACTAATTCGGTCCAAATTTTAATTAATTCAAAAAAATTTTTGTGACCGAACGAAAGGATATTATTGAAAACTTTCTTCGGCAATATTGTTCTAAATTATGGCAGGAATCGATTGGTACATGTTTCAAGTCGCTAAGTGGTCTGGTTGCCAAGATATGGGCCAAAAACTGCTTTTTTTCGAGGTTTTTTGGCTTTTCCAGGAAATCCATGAAAGAAACCCGGAATTTTTATAGCCTATGTTCATCCTCGTAACTTGCTTAACATAATTGCTTTTGGAACTAGTCATCGATATTGCTTCGTTGAGGAGGAGATACGACTTAAAGCTGCGGACACACATCCATCCATCCATTCATACATTCATACATTCATACATCCAGAAATGACGGGTTAATAAACGCAATTCTCCAGAATGGAAATTGCGCTAAAAAATGTTATTGTTTGTGGCATTTATTAAATTATTATTACAGACTCATTTTTCTTCTTATTTAACACTTGGCCAGATTTTTTTTTTTTAAATTTCAGAAAATTTTTAAACTGTCATGTAGAGTTCACTTTTTTTAAACTATAGGATATATTGATATGATTGCGAATTCTGAAATAACTTAACCTGCAGCCTTGAGCAGCCCTATTGTAATTTTCAAAGTGTACTCTATCATGTACTTGCCACAGGTTGCTTGCTACCACAGTGGTCTGACAGTGGTGGTCCAGAAGATGTGGTCCTGGTGCCAGTTAGAAGGGGAGCTACTCACATCAGTTTTATCTCTGCTGGCCTGCTACACTGCCCATTGTAACTCAGGTACTCATTTCTTGAGTGATAACTCAGGTACTCATTTCTTGAGTGATAACTCAGGTACTCATTTCTTGAGTGATAACTCAGGTACTCATTTCTTGAGTGATAACTCAGGTACTCATTTCTTGAGTGATAACTCAGGTACTCATTTCTTGAGTGATAACTCAGGGACACATTTCTTGAGTGATAACTCAGGTACTCATTTCTTGAGTGATAACTCAGGGACACGTAAAATACATAAATCAGCTGGTACCAAGTATTTTCACATTTTAACTTGGGTGCACACATTTTTCACATTATAACTGAGGTACACGGTATTTTCACATAATAATTAGGCATACTTTTTCACATGAAAATTCAGGAACACATTTGTTCTTATGATAACTCAGAACATCATATCCTATATTGATCCAACCACTGGACCTCTAGCCCCTACCATATTGATCCAACCACTGGACCTCTAGCCCCTACCATATTGATCCAACCACTGGACCTCTAGCCCCTACCATATTGATCCAACCACTGGACCTCTAGCCCCTACCATATTGATCCAACCACTGGACCTCTAGCCCCTACCATATTGATCCAACCACTGGACCTCTAGCCCCTACCATATTGATCCAACCACTGGACCTATTGCCCCTACCATATTGATCCAACCACTGGACCTCTAGCCCCTACCATATTGATCTAACCACTGGACCTCTAGCCCCTACCATATTGATCTAACCACTGGACCTCTAGCCCCTACCATGTCCACCCAACCACTGGACCTCTAGCCCCTACCATGTCCACCCAACCACTGGACCTCTAGCCCCTACCATGTCCACCCAACCACTGGACCTCTAGCCCCTACCATGTCCACCCAACCACTGGACCTCTAGCCCCTACCATGTCCACCCAACCACTTGACCTCTTGCCCCTACCATGTCCACCTAACCACTGGACCTCTTGCCCCTACCATGTCCACCCAACCACTGGACCTCTAGCCCCTACCATGTTGATCCAACCACTGGACCACTAGCCCCAATGACCCAACCACTGGACCTCTAGCCCCTATGATCCAACCACTGGACCTCTAGCCCCAATGACCCAACCACTGGACCTCTAGCCCCTACCATATTGATCCAACCACTGGACCTCTTGCCCCTACCATGTCCACCCAACCACTTGACCTCTAGCCCCTACCATATTGATCCAACCACTGGACCTCTAGCCCCAATGACCCAACCACTGGACCTCTAGCCCCTACTAAATCTTCTGTTTACTTTCCCCACCCAGCTGCTGCCTCCATAGCAAGCCCCACCTCTGTGCTGACCACAGGGAAGCAGGCCCAGGGCACCATATTCCACTCCATTCTCAAGCTGGCCCAGAGGGAGCTGGACAGGGAGGAATGTTCCCCTGTGCTGCAGTTGACTTTTTCTTTACTCACAACCCTTGTCATCAACTCAGACTGTAGAAATCTGCTATGGAAGGTAACTAGGAAAATAGTTGTTTTTTTTAGTTACTGCCCTTTGTACTGGTAAAAATTATTTTTTCTTCATTTTTTTTTATTTCTCTAATTTTATTTTGACATCTATTTTAATAATCTTTATTATATATATATCCATTTTTGAAAGTGCCTTGCAAAGTAGCGAAACAGGTCTATTTTTTTTATTAGCCTGTAGTTAACACCTATAAAAATTTAACCAATTTACCATTTTAAATCTGTTGATGTAGCTTCAGTAATTTTTTAAAAATTATTGTGAAAGCTCTTGTAAACAAAAAATACAATTGTAAATTATAATTCATATTACCAGGCTGGGATAAAAAAAAATTGTAAATATTTTCTTTTCATTCCCAGAGTACCTTCCTGCATCAGTTTTCCCAGCTCAACCCACGCAAGAAACGTGTCAAGGTCAAAGTTGCCATAGACATTCTCTGGTGCCAGCTCCTAACTGCCTTGTCATTTAGTGTTGACGGGCAGCAGATCATTCTAAAAATACCAGGTCAGTGGCAGCCAGTTTAGCAGGCATGTTTGTTGATTGATTGGTAGGTAGTTGTCAGTGTATTTGAGTGGTGTGTAGTTGGTGGTGTGGTTGAGCAGTAAAGCACTTGGTTACTATGATAAGTGTCTCAGGTTCAAGTCCTAGATCTAAATAGATACAAATATGTCTACTCATCTCATGCGGGTACCTAATAAAAAATTAATGATGTTCCCATAAACTACCTTGGTTCTAATAGATAATAAATGATGTTCCCATAAACTACCTTGGTTCTAATAGAAAATAAATGATGTTCCCATAAACTAACTTGGTTCTAATAGAAAATAAATGATGTTCCCATAAACTACTTCAGTTCTAATAGAAAATAAGTGATGTTCCCATAAAGTACTTCAGTTCTAATAGAAAATAAATGATGTTCCCATAAACTATCTTGGTTCTAATAGAAAATAAATGATGTTCCCATAAACTACCTTGGTTCTAACAAAACACCATGTTTTCCCCAGAGGCTCTAACAGTGTTGATAGAGCTGATGGAAGCAGGATCCAAACAGTGCCAGCACAGTGCCACCCTGACCATCAGGAACTTGTGCTGCCACGCTGGCAACAAGCCCAAACTTCTGGCCTCAGGTAAACTTTGTTTAAAGGTGTGCTAGGTAAGGGAGAGACTTTAGGCCTCAGGTAAACTTTGTTTAAAGGTGTGCTAGGTAAGGGAGAGACTTTAGGCCTCAGGTAAACTTTGTTTAAATGTGTGCTAGGTAAGGGAGAGACTTTAGGCCTCAGGTAAACTTTGTTTAATGGTGTGCTAGGTAAGGGAGAGACTACTGGCCTCAGGTAAACTTTGTTTAATGGTGTGCTAGGTAAGGAAGAGACTTTAGGCCTCAGGTAAACTTTGTTTAATGGTGTGCTAGGTAAGGGAGAGACTACTGGCCTCAGGTAAACTTTGTTTAAAGGTGTGCTAGGTAAGGGAGAGACTACTGGCCCCAGGTAAACTTTGTTTAATGATGAGCTAGGTAAGGGAGAGACTTTAGGCCTCAGGTAAACTTTGTTTAAAGGTGTGCTAGGTAAGGGAGAGACTTTAGGCCTCAGGTAAACTTTGTTTAAATGTGTGCTAGGTAAGGGAGAGACTTTAGGCCTCAGGTAAACTTTGTTTAATGGTGTGCTAGGTAAGGGAGAGACTACTGGCCTCAGGTAAACTTTGTTTAATGGTGTGCTAGGTAAGGAAGAGACTTTAGGCCTCAGGTAAACTTTGTTTAATGGTGTGCTAGGTAAGGAAGAGACTACTGGCCTCAGGTAAACTTTGTTTAATGATGAGCTAGGTAAGGAAGAGACTACTGGCCTCAGGTAAACTTTGTTTGACTTTGTTTAATGAGCTAGGTAAGGGAGAGACTTGAGGCCTCAGGTAAACTTTGTTTGACTTTGTTAAATGGTGTGCTAGGTAAGGGAGAGACTTTAGGCCTCAGGTAAACTTTGCTTAATGATGAGCTAGGTAAGGGAGAGACTACTGGCCTCAGGTAAACTTTGTTTAAAGGTGTGCTAGGTAAGGGAGAGACTTTAGGCCTCAGGTAAACTTTGTTTAAAGGTGTGCTAGGTAAGGGAGAGACTACTGGCCTCAGGTAAACTTTGTTTAATGGTGTGCTAGTTAAGGGAGTTGGATTTATGAACTGTGACATTGCTTCACTTCATACATTTTGAATTCATTAAAATTGAATGGAACTCAACAAAAATTCACTGAACATATTTGAACTTAAATGCTACTTGATAATTTAGTATTACTCTCACTTAATGTTTGTGACTGCTTTTCTCTTGAGTGGTCTGTGCCTTTTTGTGCTGTGCACTTCACTTACTTTCACAAGTATGCTATTTAATTTTAAAACAAAACCTGTAAGGAGGTTTGTTTCTTCCTACATTTCAGAATGTTGCAAAAATGATTTAGATAAGTGTCAATTAATAGCCGTGACGTGAGTTAGATAAGTATCAATAAATAGCCGTGATGCGTGATCAGTTGCATCTTTTTTGTTCTTCTTTTCCATGAACTGGGAAATCAGCAGATCTGGTTCCTCAAATTTTGCTTGTACTTGTAACTCAAAGCAAAAAATTGCTTGCTGGACCACTTGTGTCTCAAAAATGTCATATGTCTGGGCACTCATATTTTGAGGTAGCACTCAATCAACTAGGGCCCAAAAAAATAGATAACCAGTTTTACAGTGCTTTTTTTCTTCACGCAGACAAACTTATTCCAGTACTGATGCAGCGGATAGAAAATTCATGTGATCACAGAACACAGCTGATTGCCACATCAGCTCTGTGGGCTCTCATCAACAACCATAAGGTAAGATAACTCAACAGCAACCACAAGATAGGATAACTCTTCATTAACAATCACAAAGTAAGATAACTCTTCAACAACCATAAGTAAGATAAATCTTCATCATCAACATTCACTGTGACTTTTATTTATTAACTTTTTAACAGGATAATTCATTTTCTTTTCTCATTTATTCTCAACACTTTCCCAATCATATAGAAGTTCATAAATTAAACACTGATGAAATTCCTGTAACTAATCTAATGTGTGATCATGACCATCAATGTGAAGACTATCTTCTCATCTTCCAGGCTCGCGTACAGGTCAAGTCTGCAAACATAGCTCTACGTCTGGTTGACCTTCTACAGAATCTTCAAAACTCTGGTAATGGCTCAGGTACCATAAAGAAAAGTTGTGAGAATATCAAGGCTATCATCTCCGCTATACGAACATAATGAATTGAATCCAGACACAGTTAAGATCAGATAGTTGAAATTTAATTTAACTTTTTTTATGTAATGTAAATAAACTTCTTCATATCTCAAGAAGTGCTTGTAAATAAAGTACTTAATTTATTTCACATTTCAATTAGATGATAAAGAATATAACTAAATTCTATACAATAATTGATGTTAATAAATCAGGTGTATAGTTTAATCTTTTTGAGACTTTACAGGCAATGTAAAAAAAAATTTTATGATTGAAAAAAAAAATAATCTTTATATTAATAATATTATAATAACTGAAACATTTCTTTGTTGAATGTTTTTAATTTTGTCAACTTTACAACACAAATGTTTCAACTGGTTCAATGTCAGTTTGAAACAAACAATTCAAAAACACAATTTAAAATGCTGCTCTTCTGTCTCCTACAAGGTTTATTGATTTATCTTATTCTATGTAGACCTAAAAGTAAAATGTGATTTATAAATTCCCAAAAAATTTAAAAATTTCTTGCGATTCACAATTCAGAAATTTCGTTTTAAATGAGTAGACAATATACTGCAAAGACCATAATGTTAAAACAATTAAAACAAAATTAATTTTTCTCACTTTTATTATTAGTTACCTTTTAAAAAGGACATTATGAATATGCATGTGTTAGCTTATATTGTGAGGTGGAGCTGATAGCAGAAGTCAAGGATGTCGAGGCTCGTCTGGAAAATTAAAGCATTTTATGTGAAGTTTTCAAAGACACCTTTAACCAAACAAAATTCATTTGCATGTAGAATTTTTTATTTTAAAATGGGTTTAGTTTAGATGGGAATATACCTATAAAATTAAAGCATGGTTAACTAATACTTAACCCAAACATAAAGTTGATCAATTATTCCTTAAAATAATTGACAAATTTTACACATGGTTTTTCTGACACCTGAGTTAGCTAATGTAAGTCTCTGAGCTGATCCTAATTCATTTGTTTTGAGACCCTGCATGTACCCTATTAAGTCCAAACTTTCTCTTTCCATTAACTATGTTATAAAATACATGTACACAAATATAACCAACATTTGAAATAAAATTTACATTCTCAGTTTGAACAAAAATTCAATCCAACAAGAAAATTTAAAAAAAAAAAAATTTTTTTTTAATTCAGAAAAGATAAAAACAAAAACTCTACTACCTTTCATTGGATGCCTGTATAAAATAAACATGCTTAAATTAAAACAAGTTAAATAAATATACAGGTTTATCTCTCAATAGTGCCACTTACAGCACTACAATCACCAGAACTATAACAAACACCTTTTGACTTCACTAAAATTTAATGCCAAGGTCACACTTTCTTTCACTCATTACAACTGTCCCACAAAAGAAAAATGTGTGTCCATTGTGTCCAGCATACATCTGGTTAAAAATAAAAATCAATGTTCCGATTCCAAGGTAATCTATAATTTATGTCTGTGATGTGTAACAAGTTTGATACATTCTGCATCTTGATTTCTTCCCATCACATTATAAACATACTTTAAAACATCAACATTGTAAGCTTTCAAACATGTTTTTTTAAGCATTTCTGGAAATGTATTTTGTTCTTGAAATAGAAAAAAAAAGAAGGGTATAAATAGAAGATTGTTTACAGCTTGTGGGTTAAAAGAACCCATCACATTTCAAACAATAATAAACTCCAATACAGTTTTGGATACACAACATTTCATCATTTCAGTTTCACCAAAACACAGTTATATCACAAGGCCTTCATTTTATTGGTTTCTTCATCAAACTCAATACATGACAAGGAGTTTCTTGGTCCCCGATAAATGCAATACAGAAACTGACATAATTAACTGCAAATTCATTAATAAATTAACTTAAAAAACCAAACTAACAAATGCAATATTAACTATAATCTCTAATAATGTTTTATGCAGAAAATATTTCTAATTAAGCACTTTGACAAAATTGTTTCAAAAACTTAAAAATAATGTTTAATATAGATCTAGTAGGCTTCTTAGTACTAAGTATTTCCTATTAAGGAGAGAACAGTTTCTGTAAATAAAGGGAGCTAATGCATTATATTTAGATTAAAAAGCACCTTGGTTGATGAAAACTAATTAAAAAATTGGATAAGTAATAAAATGTATTCATTGATTCAGTGAGAGAAAGCACAAAATCTCTACAACTCTCAACACTCTTTATTAGTGCAACTGGGGAAAAACAGCATTTTTACCATAAAAATGTATCATTAATTTAATTCAGGATTAAAGAAATAATGGCTGTCATTTTTAACAGGGTGCTCACTTAAAAGTCATTATTTCTAGGTGAACCAAGAAATTTTTTTTTTTAATTTTTGGCTTATAAAATAAATATTAAAACTCAAAACTGTTTTTAATAGCTTCATCCAGTTCATGTATTATCAGCATAAGTAGAATATTTTTAAAGAACAAATGGTTAGAGTAATATTAATATGAAAACAGCAGTGGCTTGATAAGGCAGGAGGAGTGGTGGGGGAGGGGGGGGGGGGAAGGGGCAGTGAGTGACACAGTGGGTACAAATAACATCTGCCACTGTACATAAAAAATACAAGTTTTGATGCATTCACCTTAAAGCTTTAAAACTAGCATTAGACAATATACAGCTGGTATAAAAAATGTCGGACAATGCAAAAATATTATCATCAGAAATTCTGACACTTAAAATAAAATTAAAATCAGTTTATAAACAGATTTTTTAGGGAGCCACATTGAATAAGAAATTAAAATATTAAATCTCAACCACAGCCGGTCTTATTTGCTAGTATTCAAATTGTTAGATTCAGAATAAATTCAGAGTCAAACCCAGACTTAGCAAGATTTGTTTAAAAAAGGAGACATGCAAATTTCAAGACATCAGCAAGTAAAGTATTCTAAGATGATTGTACAAGTCTCTACTACTCAATCATTCTCACAGCACACCAACCCCACACCACCCAATCATTCTCACAGTTCATCAAAGCATAACCAATCTTGTCATGTTGACAAATAAATACTTTTTACAATTAATATACAAGTAGAGCTATCCATTGATTCTATTTATTGCCTTAAGAAAAGTAAAAAAAATAAAATAAAGCAATATAATATTGTATAAGAAACAAAGATCTTCTGACAGGAAGTTAAAAATATACCAGCATAAATTATATGTTCAGACAGGCCACACTATATACAATTCTCATTTTGTACAACTTGAGTTCATTATTTTTATGACCCTCAAACAATAAATAAAAAATTTATTTCAACTAAAAAAAATAATTTGCCGTAAACAAGTTACCAGGCAATCAGCTAAAAATCGCCATTCAAATTTATAAAGCCCTGGCATAATACTTTACATCTGTTCAATAACTTATCAGTCGTCCACTTGCATAACTTGAGCCATTTAGTGGAGATGAGACGACCATGTTCATTTGATGCCATACAAAATAAAAAGGCATGCCAACATCAGGTTAGGTAAGCATCATTGACCATTCAATGTTGAAATTTGGCAATGCTGCACATTTGATTATAGATGTTAGAAACTACAACACACATAAACACACAATTTTGACCTCATACCACTTGTGTTGTAACAACGTACACAACAGCAGTAAGATAAACGTTATTACATTACAAATGAAAAAATAAATAATTTTTTTTAAACGCTTAAAAAATTAGGAGGTTACAAAATAAAATTGACGGAATGTAGTTGAGCCTTAAAAATATCTCCGTAGTATCTGTGCCAGTTAATTCTTTGCCAGATGACACACCTCTATAATTCTCAAAGGTCACACACAACATCACTAATTCTATTGCTCCAAAAAAGGGTGTAGATGAACATGAATTTATGAGTTCACACAAATGACCTTGACCCAGCCTAACCCAAGGTGAACTCTCTAGCAACATGAACAAAACAGTACAGGAAACTATTTGAATCACAAACCATGGCCAGCCACACTGTCCACACCACATGGTCAGAGGCAGTGAAATTTTCAACCAAATAAAACAACCTGTGCCAAAAACACCAAATACAAGGCATGCCATTGAAACAGCTTTGATGAAGAGGCCAGCCAATGAAATAACATCACAGGACATAAATAGTTACAGAGGTTATACCATGTTTTCTGAAAAAAATTCTCCCTGCTGGAAATGGAGCTTCCTGACTTCACTGCGGCGAATAAAATATTTTCTGATCTCAGAAAAAACAAAAACTGTTGAGGTCAGAGAAATCAGCAGTGCAAAGTCTGAAATTTAAAAAATAAAAATACATTTTCTGAAAATTTCTAAAACGTTTCTTTGCTTTTAGTGGAACAAATACTGTGCAATTTATTTTTTTCTGTTATTCTCTATACAATTCATAATATGAAATTACATATTTGTAATATTTCTTTATTTCCTTCAACTCTCAAAGTTAGAGATCCAGTTTTCTTTATTTTGTATTTTTAAATACTTAGGGGCTTAATGAGTCATAACTGCCAAATATTAACTCAATCTAGAGTCCCTGACAATAATTTAAAAAATGTAACCTCAGCTTATGGTGCAGTGGAGGGGGGGATGTGTGTGTGTGACATTCAAGAGAATTGAAGCATTAATATTTCAGGACAATGGTTAGGGAGGGGAGAGTGTAGTAAAACCTGCCTAAACCTGCATGACTTATGTGAGAGATGCCTATCAGACCAAAATGGGGTCAGTGTGGTCGAGTCGATAAAAGCTCATGGTTGCTAAACCGAAAAGTATTGAGTTCGAATGCTCGGGCAGATGAGACTCGTTAGCTGGGAACAGCAACTCTTCTAAGCAAGACAACTCCAAAATCAAACCACTGCTGCATTGTAGTTTGTTCTTGGTTGGACAAAGGCTATGGAAGCAAATCCAAAAAGAAAAGCAGTCTGAAATCAGAGTCAATTGCCTCAATGGCGCATAACCAGTTGACACATATACTTGATTGTGTTGGAGGAGATCCCTTCCAACACTAAAATTTAAGAACACAGAAGAAGACCAAAATGAAAACACAAGCAACAAACATACCTGAAAGAAAGAGAGCTTCAGTCTGAAATATTTTCTGCAGAGGTGGAAGGTAAATCACTAGAAGCTGTCCCACTAGAGAGCCACCCACAGCATAAAGAAACATTTTGTTGGTCGTCAACCCTATTGTGAAGATTGATTTACTCTGAAATAAAAACAGTTCAAAAAGATTTGTAAAAAACGTTTTAAACATTTTTTTTTTCTCTATCACTGCTTGTAATAAAATAAATTTAACATTGAAATTTAATTAGCAAAATAACAACAAAAATTATTTTTTTAGTACAATATGAGAAACTTTGGTTGCTTGGAAATCTCTACAGTGTTATCCACCAAAACTTTTCATCTATCTACCTCAATTAAGAATTATTCTTAAAATTTATCTTATTTTCCATGTCTTTAATAATTTATTCAAAATAAAATCATTAAAAAAATTAGATTTCTGTGCAGTCGTAGGAAATTAATTTTATCTTAACTAACAAATTACTTCATAGATAGGTGAAAATTTATTTCTAAGATTTGCCCGCATTTCCACATCATCTCTATTATAATCCAGCATTTAAAAAAATGTCTGCATTATCCATACAGTTCAATTTTCCCTCATCCAAAACTGCAACACCTATTCTTATACTTACAAACGATCTGCAACTTAAAGCATTGAACATGTCAAAAAAGACAAAACATGTGAATGTCATGGTGGTGTCTCTTGGTGTGATTTTCCCATCCTCCATCTAGGAGAGAAAAAAAAGGGGGTTATGGTTGGTGAGCTATTTGGTTTATGAAGGTATGGAAGTGAAATTTGGGATACAAATGTATGGAAGTGCATTTTGGGACATGAAAGTAAGGAAGTGCAATTTAGAATATAAAGATTGGGGGAAAAGCGGGGTAAAACAATAATGATTTGATTGATACAAAATTTAAAGAATGTCAAATATGGTAAAACAACTAAAAGATGGATCATATTAACCTTAGTCTATTTAGTACTACATAGGCAATTATATGACTTAATAAGACCCCAAAACTATAGCACAAATAACACAGGGGAAGATAACCGATAGTGAAGATACTCGACAGACAGTCTGAGATAACCTGAGCTCAGAATACAAAAAATTGTAGCAGGATGATGAAGCAGAGATGTGGAGAGATCTCCATGCAACTGAGCAAATACTGACCAACAATAATACTGGCAGAGGTTAAGATATGAGGACTGACCTCTTTGTGTAACACCCACAGGGTACCAGCTACTATAATACTGGCAGAGGTTAAGATATGAGGACTGACCTCTTTGTGTAACACCCACAGGGTACCAGCTACTATAATACTGGCAGAGGTTAAGATATGAGGACTGACCTCTTTGTGTAACACCCACAGGGTACCAGCTACTATAATACTGGCAGAGGTTAAGATATTGAGGACTGACCTCTTTGTGGAAGACCCACAGGGTACCAGCTACTATAATACTGGCAGAGGTAAGGATGTTGATGATCAGATTGCGGGTGATGATGTTGTCAGTTATCTTCCGCGGGGGTTTCCGCAAGACATCGTGATCAACTGGCTCAACCCCCAAGCTGCAGAAACAAAAATTAAAAATTAAATTAAACCAGCCATTTAATTAGCCATGCATGTAATATACTCTTGGTCAATAGCCTGGTAGGGCTGTAGTGTACATGGTAACACAGGGGACCTGAGGTTTGTGTGTTCAGTTGTTGGGATCAAGTTTAGCTGTTGGGATCAAGTTCAGCTGTTGGGATCAAGTTCAGCTGTTGGGATCAAGTTTAGCTGTTGGGATCAAGTTTAGCTGTTGGGATCAAGTTTAGCTGTTGGGATCAAGTTCAGTTGGTGGGATCAATTTCAGCTGTTGGGATCAAGTTCAGCTGTTGGGATCAAGTTCAGCTGTTGGGATCAAGTTTAGCTGTTGGGATCAAGTTCAGTTGGTGGGATCAAGTTCAGCTGTTGGGATCAAGTTCAGCTGTTGGGATCAAGTTTAGCTGTTGGGATCAAGTTCAGTTGGTGGGATCAAGTTCAGCTGTTGGGATCAAGTTCAGCTGTTGGGATCAAGTTCAGCTGTTGGGATCAAGTTTAGCTGTTGGGATCAAGTTTAGCTGTTGGGATCAAGTTCAGTTGGTGGGATCAAGTTCAGCTGTTGGGATCAAGTTCAGCTGTTGGGATCAAGTTCAGCTGTTGGGATCAAGTTTAGCTGTTGGGATCAAGTTCAGCTGTTGGGATCAAGTTCAGCTGTTGGGATCAAGTTTAGCTGTTGGGATCAAGTTCAGTTGGTGGGATCAAGTTCAGCTGTTGGGATCAAGTTCAGCTGTTGGGATCAAGTTCAGCTGTTGGGATCAAGTTTAGCTGTTGGGATCAAGTTTAGCTGTTGGGATCAAGTTCAGTTGGTGGGATCAAGTTCAGCTGTTGGGATCAAGTTCAGCTGTTGGGATCAAGTTCAGCTGTTGGGATCAAGTTTAGCTGTTGGGATCAAGTTCAGCTGTTGGGATCAGGTTCAGCTGTTGGGATCAAGTTCAGCTGTTGGGATCAACTTCAGCTGTTGGGATCAGGTTCAGCTGTTGGGAGCAGGTTCAGCTGTTGGGATCAAGTTTAGCTGTTGGGATCAAGTTTAGCTGTTGGGATCAAGTTTAGCTATAACTGACTGAAGCCTAACACAGTGCAGACGACACAATCCTTGCACAAGAAACAGATTGACTCTGCCTCTTCTGCTCTATGGACATTCAGGTATGGGAGGGTTCTTTATTTCATTACTACTTTCAGTTACTTTCATACTACAATCTAAGCCTTAGTTCGAAACTAAAAATTCAGAATAAATATATAATATTTGAATACCTTTGAGCAGGTGGGCCATCCATAATGATATTAATCCATAAAATTTGCATTGCATTTAATGGGTTGGGCAAATGCATAAGCATAGCAAATGCAACTAGAGAAAGGGCAGCTATACTCCTGCAGATAGAATAGTGTTAATGATAATTACATCTTACAACAGCATTTAATTAACTTATGACAAAAAGTATTTACAAAGTAACTTTTATTATAGGTAATACATTCATATAAACAAAATATTGCTATAAGCTCTAACATTGAAATTTAAAAAAAAAAAAAAAAACAGCAATTCACTTGAAAGGCTATTAACCCATATTCTGCTAGCGTCCCACTTATGGGACGCTTGTAAAAAAAATTGCTAAAATTCATTAAAAACTAGTAAAAACACAAATTATGCTTCATTGTATTTGAAAATGGTTAGACTATTGAATTTGTGTGTGTTTTGTGAAAAAAAATAATTTAGAAAAATGTTATAGCGCCGGCTTTGCAGGACTTGTCAAAATGGCGGAAAAAAGAAAACATGCGCACAGGAAAATGCATATCTTCTAAAATATTAACATTTTAAGTGCAAAATACATTTGAAACTTGTAGCAGTACCATATTTCTATTTGATGGAAATGTAAGAGTAACAATTTCTTTTAACTACTTGGTTATATCAAGTGTACAATAAGCGTCCCATAAGTGGGACGCTAGCAACGAAAGGCCCCATGTAGATTGTTACACAAACGTCACATTTATTGGACACTAGCGAGAAACACTGATGCAAATGTTTATGTTAAATGGTAATTTATGGTGAAACAATTGTTGACTTTGTTAACTGTTGACTTTGGGGTGTTAAGTAGTATTTATAGATATTTAATTATGACCTTGACCTATATTTATGTAGATTGTTACACAAACGTCACATTTATTGGACCCTAACGAGAAACACAGATGTAAATGTTTATGTTAAATGGTTATTTATGATGCAATAATTGTTGACTTTGTTAACTGTTGACTTTGGGGTGTTAAGTAGTATTTATATATAATGAATTATGACCTTGACCTATATTAACTTGTATATTATTGTATAAAAAAATTGAAAATATTGAAAAAGTTACATTTTTTTTTAAGTTTTCAGAATTACACTAACTGAAGTATTTAATACAATTGAATATAAACTAATTTAGTATTGCTGTTAATTTACTAGTGCGTGATATTAAAATTATAACAAACCAGAACAATAACAATGGTCAAGATTTAGATGAAACGATTCAGTCATGGGGGTTGGTTAACACTCTTCATATATGAGAGCTCAAGCTACATATAGCAGAAATGTGAATTAGCTATGTACTGTTGTCATTCCCCAATCATATTCCCCTCCAAAGGTTCCCAATACCAGTTTTACTTTGTTAAATATTACGAGGCTTTGTAAAGGGATTGCTGGTGCTAGATTGGGAGCTGTTCGAATAGTGAGGTGCATACATGGATGAGAGCCATGAACACTCAATACAGGCCTTCAGAGACTGATCTGGGCCCTAGAAATAAGATGTCTGATGTCCTAATGTACGCCTGTGAGAGGGGGGGGGGGGGGGGGGGAGAGCGAGGGTAACAAAAGAGAAGTTGGCTGGATGACATCTGCGACTGGACCAGATCGTCTTTTGATAATTCACTGAGTTTCTTCCAGGGGAAGGGGGGGGGGGGACTCACAGAACAAAATGGAATTTATATACAAAACATACTTCTATCAGTGTCCACCCTCCTCCGGAAATTTAAGCCCCCCCCCCCCCCCTTGCAAATTTCAAGTACGCCCCAAAAAAAAAAAATTATTTATATTTAATTATATTACATTTTCGATGAATAATAACAATATTGGTGATCATGTGTGTATATTTAGATGTACCAGTCACAGCTTTACTTATTTCCAAGTGTTATTCACTTTGATGGATACTAAATTGAAAGAAAACTAGACTTTTCAACATAATTTCTGCATTTTAGACCATGGTATGGCTAACCCAATTAATCATTATCAGTAATTTTAGCTGTCCTAAACAATGAAATCATTGGCCTAACAATACAAAATCAGTATACAGCTTAATTTTTGCTAGATTAGCCATATTTCGTGACAAATGATTTTTTTTCTCAATAAATGTACATGGGGCCGTTCGTTGCTAGCGTCCCATTTATGGGACTTTTTTTAAAAAATCGATATTTAAAAAAGTATTGATTTAAAAAAAAAAATCTATAGCCATTCCTTCATTCAGTGACCAAAAGCTAAACCATATCAATAAATTATAAAAATTTGAGACCTTGGGATAATATGGGTTAAGAAAAATATCACCTAATCCTCTAACAAAATTGTTAATATTTTTAAAAAAATATTTTTTAGAAATTGAAATCTCTTCTTACGTGCTCAATTGAAATCTGACAAAATTTTTAATATTGAAGAAAATTCCTTTTCCTTCTTCAATAGCTGCTCTGTGAAATGAGAAAAAGAATAACATTCTAAAATTAAACTTTTACGTGATTTTAAGTAAATGACTAAATAGATACATATATTGATAATGGTTTAATTAAAAATTAAAGATAATAAAAAGTATTTGGATAGAGAGAGAAAATGCTTTATAATTTTAGCTCAATGTAAATACAAAGTAAACAAAGGTCAGTATAGAAAACTTACAATACTGTGCTCAAGTCATCGTCCACTAGAATCATATCTGCTGCCTCTTTAGACACATCAGTGCCTGTTTTACCCATGGCAATGCCAATCTCTGCTGTTTTAAGTGCCACTGCATCATTGACACCATCACCAGTCATACCAACAACATGGTGGTTGGCTTGTAAGGCCTGGTCAAGTACAGAACATTAGCTTAGGGGAGCAGTCAAGATGTGGAACATTAGGAGAGCAGTCAAGACATGGAACATTAGGGGAGCAGTCAAGACATGGAACATTAGCTTAGGGGAGCAGTCAAGATGTGGAACATTAGGAGAGCAGTCAAGACATGGAACATTAGGGGAGCAGTCAAGACATGGAACATTAGCTTAGGGGAGCAGTCAAGATGTGGAACATTAGGAGAGCAGAGAAGACATGGAACATTAAGGGAAATGCAAAGACATAGAACATTAGGGGAGATGTAAAGACATGAGACATTAGGGGAGCAGTCAAGACATGGAACATTAGGGGAGATGTAAAGACATGGGACATTAGGGGAGATGTAAAGACATGGGACATTAGGGGAGCAGTCAAGACATGGGACATTAGGGGAGATGTAAAGACATGGGACATTAGGGGAGCAGTCAAGACATGGGACATTAGGGGAGATGTAAAGACATGGGACATTAGGGGAGATGTAAAGACATGGAACATTAGAGGAGCAGTCAAGACATGGAACATTAGAGGAGCAGTCAAGATGTGGAACATTAGTGGAGATGTAAAGACATGGACCATTAAGGCAGCAGTAAAAACAGAACATTAGGAGAGCAGTAAAAAAGATGGAACATTAGGAGAGCAGTAAAAAAGATGGAACATTAGGAGAGCAGTGAAGACATAGAACATTAGGTGAACAGTAATAAAGATGGAACATTAGGAGAGCAGTAAAAAAGATGGAACATTAGGAGAGCAGTAAAAAAGATGGAACATTAGGAGAGCAGTAAAAAAGATGGAACATTAGGAGAGCAGTAAAAAAGATGGAACATTAGAACATGAGAACAGAGATCACACAACACCCACCTTGACAATCTTGAGCTTATGCCTGGGTGTCATGCGGTAAAAGATGGTGATGTTGTCTATAACTTTAGCCAGGCTAGCGATGTCCATGTCCTCCAGGTCATCCCCAGACATGCAGACACCACCCTCAGCGTACAGCCCTATCCTGGCAGCTACACATCAATAGGGTGGCATTATAGCATGGATGCAGTACAGTATTATTTAGCTTTTAAGTCAGCTATTTATTTTAAAATTAATTTTTAAATTCAAGTATAATAAAAAAAAAACAGCAAAATAAAAATATTTTAATATTTATAACTTTGTAGAAATAAAAAGTAATAGCCAAATATTTTATTGATAAAATTAAAAATTGATTTTGGGTGTTTGCATTTAACCGTAACATAAGTTTTTAAGTAAAGTATTTAAAAAAATGTACTTTTTAAATTCAGTATAATAAAAAAAACAACAGGAAAACAAAAATATTTTAATATTTATATCTTTGAAGAAATAAAAAAAAATAGCCTGATATTTTATTGATAAAACCAAAGTTAATTTTGGGTGTCAACATTTAACCTTAACGATAGATATCAGTACTAGGGGTGTAAGCAGTAGATAAGTGGAAAAGAAGGTTAGGACATTTGAAGGTAGGATAGTCAGTTTGGTATTTGTTAGACAATAACTGTCATATGACATTGCATTTGATAGACTGTCATGTGACTGTATTTGATAGATTGTCATGTGACTTTTTTTGATACATTGTAACTTGACTTGCTGACGGTCACATGACTTGGTATTTGTCAGACAAGACAACAGCTGTCCTTACTTACCCACTGCCTTAGCTGTATCCTCCCCGTCCCCTGTCAACATCTTGACCTTGACCCTCATCCCTTTCAGCAGCTGCACGGCTTGTCTGGCACCCTCCCGGGGTGGGTCCATGATGCCCACAATCCCAGCAAAGATCATTGAGGTTAGGTCTTTACCATATGCCATAGCAAGGACTGGAAGAGATGGGCATGTGAGATTGTTAAACTGGGACATATGGTCATCACTGAATGCTAAAGCACATTTATGGGACGCTGTTGTCGAATGGTACAGCATTAGTCTGCTAACCCGAAAGTCTCCAGTTCAGGCCCAGGCTAGAATTGTAGCATGCCCAGAGTACACCCAACTCTGATGGGTACCTGACTATAGTGCTGCCCACATTATCCCTACAATAGCTGAGATCACAGACATAGGTGAAGTAGATCACAGAAGTAGGTGAAGTAGATCACAGAAGTAGGTGAAGTAGATCACAGAAGTAGGTTAAGTAGATCACAGAAGTAGGTGAAGTAGATCACAGAAGTAGGTGAAGTAGATCACAGAAGTACGTGAAGTAGATCACAGAAGTACGTGAAGTAGATCACAGAAGTAAGTGAAGTAGATCACAGAAGTAGGTGAAGTAGATCACAGAAGTAGGTGAAGTAGATCACAGAAGTAGGTTAAGTAGATCACAGAAGTACGTGAAGTAGATCACAGAAGTAGGTGAAGTAGATCACAGAAGTAGGTGAAGTAGATCACAGAAGTAGATGAAGTAGATCACATAAATAGGTGAAGTAGATCACAGAAGTAGAGAAGTTTTCTTCACCTGCCATGTGGGCCACTAGGAGAAGGAAACTTTACTAAAGGCACATTTAACGGCAGACAACTCTGTGAGACACATTGAATGGAAGAGAACTCCAAACAGTAGGACACATTGCATGGTAGACCAGTCCTTACAGTAGAAAACATTTGTGATATGAAACTAGACTGTATGGTCAGCAATATGCCCAGCCATCCTTGCTTTAGGTGACCAATAGGTGGACCCTACCAACCAATGAACACCATAAACCTTGACATTTTCCTGCAGTTTTCTACCACTCTACTACTATTATATTTAACTGTTAAATTAAAATGTGCCAATCGTTTTTCAACAACCTACCTCTTAAACCAGTTTGACCCAGACTGTGTGCATAGTCCATAAACACCTCTTTGTGTTTGTCATTCATAGCTTCATTGGCACCATTATTGCGAAACATCACGCATCGCTCTAGGACACGCTCCAATGCCCCTTTGGCAAAATAAATTTTCTCAGTCTGTGGAATAAAAACATTTAATTTAGAAAACAAAGGAACAGAAATAGTTACAAATACTTACATAGCACTCAGAGCATTAACATACAACAAGAATTATTACTGATTATGTAACATCAAAACTTGTTTTGAAAATTATTTATTATTTAAGATATTTTGAAATCCAGAAAACTTCATGTCCGTACTTCATCCAAAAAATAATGACATTTGACGATCATTATCTTAGTGTCACTGCTAAAAGGCCACTCCTCTTCCCGAACATATGTTTGTCTGGGATCTGGGAGCTTGAACTGGAAGTAAAAGTGAAAGTAGGAGTTACCAAATCTCAGCAAGCTGAAGAGTTACAACACCAGGAAAAACAAATATGGAATCTCAGAAATTGAAGAGTTACAAAGAAGAGTTACAAACCTGGAAGAAAAAATATGGATCTCAAGAATTTTAAAATTTATGTAATAAAAAGCTCAACATCCAAGGATACAGTTGTTAAACAAGCATATCTTTCAAGAGAGTGAACAGTTACCTACACATTTTTTTGTGCCAAGCTATAATTAAAAAACAACACCAAAAAAAAAATGCCCCAAATAAATTAAAACAAAAGTTAAGTTTTAACTTTAAAAATGCTATCTCACCTTCTTATTTGCCCTTAACATTGCTCACATGCTTATTAAAAAGGCCATCTAAACTTTTATCCTCTACAACAAAAGTAACTCCACAACTTGCTGAAAAAACAATCTTACCTTTATAGCTGCCCCCAAAAGAGCTCCTTCAGTAGGAGACCCTAACAACCCATCAGAGGTGATCTCAGCATTGTTGCACACACAGCCAACCTATTGATGAAATCAAATTATCTCCCATGTTAAATGTTGTATAGAATTTTAACATTTTTAATTTTTGTTTTCAATTCTCAGCTCTATCAACCAGTTTGGCAAGGGGGGGGGGGGGGGGGGGGGGGGGGGGGGGAGCGAGGGGGGGGGGGGGGGGGCACACAACACATGAAAAATTCTTGCCTAAGCCATTGTTCTCAACTCTCAGGTATAAGATATCTCACACATCATTTCTACAGATATAAAACTAAACACCCTCAAAGAGAGGTCTAACAGATTCATATGTATAGCATAGATAGAGGAAGTAGAGTTAGCCAGGTGTGGCAAGCAGAGCTAAGTGCAAGAGAAGAGATGCCTTAGGGAACCTGTATTTAGAAACATTTTTTTTTAAGTTACAAAATATTCCCATCTTACCTCGATGACTTTCCTGAATGAAAACACAGCCTCGTCTTGATCCAGTGAGACGGCTGACTGGACAATGTGGATTTCTCCAGATGTGTTGTAGCCTACTCCTGTCACCTGGAACCACATAGCTCACTAACATTACATTTCTACATCAATGAAGACAATCAACAAGCATATATTGTGTCTCCAGTGTGGTATCTCATCTGCTCATTAACAAACCATGATTAAATTTGTATTTCTACTTGAGTGTTATCTGTTATACAAGTTAACCAATTATGATTAAACATGTTTATCTAGAAGCCAAACATTGTAAAAGGACTGAGATAAACTGAAATTAATCTCCTACCTCTGCATGGTTCCCGTCTGAAGTTATTATGTGTGTGACTGTCATCTCATTTTTTGTTAAGGTACCTGTCTTATCACAGCAAATGACATCAACACAGCCTACAGAGGAAATCAAATATATCGTAAATAAACTCTTAACATTATTTAACATCAAAACTTAATTAAATATCTGAAATAGCAATAAAATTTCAAGCAATCTATTTCTGTGATTTATTTTGTAAAATAACCAACAGTGAGCAAACTAAAATGTAATAATAATTAGGTTCCACAATGTTACCTAATGTTTCAACAACAGGTAGTTTTTTAATGATGGCCTTGCGTTTGGCCATTCTCATAACTCCAATGGCCAGTGTGACTGTCACAACAATGGGAAGTCCCTCAGGTATTGCTGCCACTGCCAAGCTGTAGACATTGCCATTTTATCTAATTATTAGTATAGACTTAGGTTATGCCAACAATCCTAATATATAAACAAGGATCCAAACATAATATATAAACAAGGATCTAAACTTGATATAACAACAATATATCCAAACATGATATATAAACAAGGATCCAAACATGATATATAAACAAGGATCCAAACATGATATAGAAGGATCCAAACATGATATAGAAACAAGGATCCAAACAATGATATATAAACAAGGATCCAAATATGATATAAACAAGGATCCAAACATGAAATATAAACAAGGAAATATAAACAAGGATCTAAACATGATATATAAACAAGGATCCAAACATGAAATATATAAACAAGGAAATATAAACAAGGATCCAAACATGATATATAAACAAGGATCCAAACATGATATATAAACAAGGAAATATAAACAAGGATCGAAACATGATATATAAACAAGGATCCAAACATGATATATAAACAAGGATCCAAATATGAAATACAAACAAGGAAATATAAACAAGGATCCAGACATGAAATATAAACAAGGAAATATAAACAAGGATCCAAACATGAAATATAAACAAGGATCCAAACATGAAATACAAACAAGGATCCAAACATGAAATATAAACAAGGATACAAACAAGAAATATAAACAATATATCTAAATAATGATATATAAACAAGGATATTTTAAATTATATATAATTAAAACCTGTATAATAGTTTCAATTCAAATATTTAACATAATAATTGTTTTAAAAAGTATAAGAAACATTGAAAAAAATCTACAAGAAATGCTTACCTGACACCAATGGTAAACATATCCAATATTTTCCTCCCTTGTATCCAGCCTATCAAGATAATGATCCCAATCACAAGGAAAGAATAAAAGGACAACTGCTTGCCAAGGGTATCCATGCTCTTTTGTAGTGGAGTTTTAGGGGCCTAAAGAAAACTTTTTTATAATACACAGCGCTGTATTTAAATTGAGTACTACATATTAGAATTTCTTCTGGTATTCTGATATTGTTTGTCTGCAATAACTACAAAATGGTTTGTCATGGGTGCTTGCTTCTAGTAAAAAATGTATTCATTTTTAGAAGCTGCTGGATATCATGCTAATAATATTCATGTACTGGCTTGATGTATTTTTATTTATTGCGCTGTTTGTCCAAGTTTGTCAATCCAATAGTAAATATAACAGGAGTGAGCTCCCTTTAACTTTCTTGTATATTCCTAAAAAGCAGTAAGGGTTGGATTTGGGCTATAGAAATGGTTGGTAAGTTTGAAAAAAACCTTACTTTAAAGTTACTTTAGTTTTATAAAACCAACAAACCTCTTCTGCTTGCATCATCTTAAAAATTTCTCCAAATTCTGAATTTGACCCTGTGCCAATAACAATTCCCTGTATGAGATGGAAATAATTGTACATTAGCATTATTAAATTAAAATGTTTTTTTTTATTTTTTGGGGAAAATAAATATAATTTTTTAGCAATAATTGGTAAAAAGAATACTTTTATTTTAGAAATGATTAACATTTAAGAATATTTTCATACCGCTGTTTTTAACATGAGTTAAAATTATGCATGTATCATAGAATATATTGAAAATAACCATAAAGAAAACAAAGACAAATCAGTGCTATTTTGGAGTTAAATATATCAAAAATTTTCTACATTAAGTATCTAAAAATTTATATTGGATAAAATTGTAACATTACAGAGTAGCCCACAGATCATTATTCCCTTGCACACTGTTTTCAATTTTTCTTTCCATGTCTTAGAGTTTACAGAATAACCCTTTCTTAAACAACAGTATAATGTAACATAAATCTATTGTAATGTGACTTCTTTTCTAACATAATAAAACTATTCTATTGTTCTTCTTCGTTCTTAATTTTAGTGTTGGAAGGGATCCCCTCCAACACAATTAAGTATACATGTTAACTGGTTATGCGCTATTGAAGCCATTGACTCTGATTTCAGCCTGCTTTCCTTTTTTGGATTTGCTTCCAACCAAGAACTAACCATGAGCTTTACAGAATCGATCATGCCGTCCCCTTTTGTGATATTCAACTGCTCTAATGTGACACTTAACTATTCAAATGGCATAATAACTAATCTGATGTGAGATAATTTTCCTAAAGTAAGAGTCCAACAGCTAGTACTATTTAATGTGCCATACAATGTCCACTATACATACCTTTCCCTGTCCGCAGCGTACCAATGTGCCCATGAATGCCATATTCCTTCTGCCAGACAAGTTAGAGGCATCAGATGTGGACAGGGCTTCTGTGTATTTGTTGACTGGCTCTATCTCCCCTGTGAAACTTGATTCATCTATATACAGCCCTGACGACTGAAAAAAAGATGGAGGAAATTTTATTTATGGTAAACAATCCTGAAAACTGCCAGGAAGCCTAACTAAATGAGTGATAATAGCAATCTAGTTAATTCAATATACTGTAACGTACACTATAAAAATCTGCTTTATGTGTTGCGTTGAGAGCAGAAATTAAGAAGAAATATACTACTTACAGCAAAAACATGAATTTATAACTTGCTTTTTTTTAAAAACTAATTAATAAGCATGAGAGTAGCATAAAAAAAAAGATGATTGACTTAAATGATTAACAAAGTTGAGATTTTTTTTTAATTTCAGAAGCCCTGATCCATATGATTTTTTTTCAGCGTCAACACTGTTGTCTTTAAAGATTTAAAACAATTTCCATGTAAAGAACCCATCAGGTTAAATTAGTTAACATCCTTGCATACAAAGCCTAAGAGCCAAGTATCATGGATTGGAACTCAGAACAACTGGGTTGGTGATCCTATCATCTACCACACAACCACCTATCCTCCAACCTCAGACGGAGATTATCTGGGATTAGAACTCTTGACTAGATTAGGCTGATGTTCCCCCTCTCTCCCACATGACCTCCTATCAACCCACCTCAAACAGACGTAGATCTGCCGGCACCCTGTCACCAACAGTGAGATGAATGATGTCCCCTGGCACCAAGTCCTGGGCTAAGAATGTTGTCAGATGACCATCTCTAATACTGGAGAACAGAAAGTACATTGAACTGCTCAACACAGCTATTGAAGCAACTGATCTTAATGTAAGAATGTCTAACTCACTACAAAACCAAAACCATGTGGAGGTTACAAGTTTGATATGACATCTCCCAATTTGAAAAAAACAAAAGGTACATTTAACACATCCAGCCAAGCCTTGGACTAAAATAAAACAGTACATCTAAAAACTAAACACACAGCTGTTCTCAAAATTCCTTACCAATGACATTTTGGAGGTACTAATTTGGTTAAAGCTTCTAAAGACTTCTCAGATCTATATTCCTGAAAATAATTTTAAAATATTAAAAACAATTTTAAACTTAACTAGTAGTATAACAACTCTTTTTGATTATAATTTATTTATCCATAATTTAAGTAAAACAAAGCTGTACTTAAACATGTAGAAAACAAACAGTTAACAAGTAGATGTAGCAAAGAATTACCTGTACAAATGCAACTGTGACAACTATAATAATAGCCTAGATTAAAATAGAAACATTATATTAAAGACAGAACAACAAAATTAGTGTCATTCATCACAACTAGATTTTATGATAAGATGTAGCCTTAACTGTACTAGTAAGGTACTAAAATATTGCTAGTCAATATTTCATCTAAATACATATTTTAAGTACTCTCTGAAAAGATATATATATTTTATTGAAATTGCTGAAACAAAACTATATTCAAAATTTTAAATGAGCCAATCTGGCAAGTATGATTAACAAAATCAGCCCAGGCTGATAACAGGTTTTACAGGCCAGACTGCTACACTGCATTCTGGATGTTGTTCTGTCACTAACTGAATGGGTTGCTGTTGCTGGCTAAAGGCCTTGTAATAAGACCATCATTGTCGAGGGGTTTTATGATCAAATGGTAGTTCTGCTGGGCGAGGCTATACCCTAACCGCTTGTGAGATCACAGAGAGACTGAATCTCTGACTGGCCAATATTTATACCTGTCACATCCCCCTAGATACTCCCACTGGACGATGGGCCCAAAACTTGTGAACTAACACCCCCCCCTCCCATAAGAGCTAAAAAAACCTGGTCACTGGTCATTATAAAAGGCAAATATTGTCATGTCAGAGCTGTTGATCTCTGCGGAGTAGCCTTTAATTATATATATGTTGCCCATATTTTACTTGCGCAATTTTAAGCCCTACAGAGAGTTGAGTGTAGGTACTGACCATGGTAATACTGATAGCATCATCAAACTGTCTCATGAACAAGCTGATTCCAGCAGAGGCTAGTAACAATAAAATCAGAGGGTTCTTGAACTGAAATAAAACAATTGACTATCAAATATTTGTACATTACATGAACAAGCTGATTCTAGCTAAAGCTATGAGCAACAAAATTTCAACTCTCTAATCCTAACACAATCTCTAACCTTAACCTTGAGGGTTGAAACTACTATTAGCTGAGACACCTTTTACACAGATTAGTGTGCATGGCTAATCAATATTAACTGATGTTCTAAAGGTATATATTAATATAACAAATTATCATGACAACTACTTTTAATTTATCCTAGTTCACAACACAAACCAACACAGTTCACCTGGTCTAAATATTTCCTCCATAGCGGATCATCAACAGAGATATCAAAATTGTTTGGGCCATGAATGATAAGCCTGCGGTAGGCTTCATCACTGCTGAGGCCATACTCCAGGTCAGTGCGGAACAGATCCCTGATCTCGCTGACCGTCAGAGAAGCAGAGCCTCTAGATCCCAGCTGTGACATCATGGCTGTCCAGTCCACTGAGCCGAATCCCTCAGTCACCTCTGTCATCAAATAAGATTGGCGTGGTCAATTAAAATTATGAAGCATCAGATTGATATGGTCAAATAAATTTACACATGGCTATTTTTATCATCAAATAAGATTGGTGTGGTCAATTAAAATTATGAAGCATCAGATTGATATGGTCAAATAAAATTACACATGGCTATTTTTATCATCAAATAAGATTGGTGTGGTCACAGTCAAAGAATATCATGCTTTTAGTGTCAGGTGTTTATAAAAAATATGTTCCTTTTTTAAATTGAAATTAGTATGAAATTACTTATACAATATATATTGGCCCAAAGTAGGCCATAAGAACAGCATTTAAGTTTTCTTTTTAAAATAATTTACTGTAGAGAAATAAATTATATTATAAGTTGTATTGAGCTAATTAAACTACTAGGTTCTTCACTGTATATGTTTCAAGTGACCTTACATTTATTAAATTCTAGCCTAACATGAGAGAAATCATACCTCACCCTCTAATCAGTAGCACTTGTAGGGCAGGAAATGGAGTCACAACATTAAAACAAAACTAAAGTCAATAGGGTAGGTGAACTAGAGTTGACCTGTCTACATGACCGTGGCACATGAAGGGATAGTGTGGCCAGTTCTGTACCCAGCGGCATTTACTTTACCTAACGTAAGTCAGGTACTTAGCTGTGCTGAGTCGACTCAAGAACACCCTACAGACATCCAGTATCCAAATCTGAGACTTTCTTATCAGGGGTCAGGCTCTCTACCGCCTGACCACGCCATTCCATCTTACAACTCTTGAGTGCCATTATTCTTATATAAAATAATACAACATAGACTAAAATTAAATCACCCCCCCCCCCCCATGTCCCAAACATACAGTAACCTAGCAATCTACACATTGGGTAAACAAACACACCTACAGGTCCAGCACCACAGATTCATGCACATGTTTAAAATAATACATTAACATTTCATTTACAGAAACAAAAATAGCAATCACACAATGGGAAGACAAGGCCTGGATAAATTTATCAGCAATTTTGTACTGTTGTTAACATCTGAGATTACTTTTAAAAAGTAACAAAAACTGTATAGGCTGTGTATTAACAGAGTTGTACTATGACAATCTCTATCACTAACAGAGTGTAACCGAACGCTAACTCAACACGTATACAGAAACTTTTTTTTTTACCAGCACATATGTTTCTAGTTGCCATCTTGGAATATTTTAACAAGATTTTAAAAAGTTAACAAGCTCTGTGAGAATACAACAGTAAGTATGGCAATCCTCCTCAAGAACTATGCAAGAATGTCACATTTCTCTATTGAACACCACACTACAATGTAGGTTACATAGGAATGTCACAATAACACCATCTGCATCAAATACACTACAATAGCACTTTCCATAAATAACCATTTAGGAATGTCGCAATAACCCCATCTGCATCAAATACCACACTACAGTAGCAAATTCTCATCAATAACCATGCAGGAATATCACAATAACACCATCTCCATCAAATACCACACTACTAAGCAAATTCTCATCAATAACAATGCAGGGATAACAATAAGACCCTCTCCATCAAATACCACACTACATTAGCAAATGCTCATCAATAACCATGCAGGAATGTCACAGTAAGACTTTCTCTATCCCTCGCTAAGTAGCAATGCCACACTACAATGACAGTGTCCCACTCTACACCAGCATGTAAAATCCAATGAACCCACAGCCCCCCACTACATTATAACACCCATAGATTTTCTGATAGAGCAACAGTCAATGCAAGGGAAAAAGATACTGTTGCAGGCCAGCCAATGTGGTAACAGGTGTTCTAAAAAAATTTCACCACGTGTGGAGTCAAACCACGCTCACAATTTTTTTCTAGTTATAAAATAACATAATGCTACCATGTGTAATTCATATGCCTTAAACTCATAATCAATAAACTGTTGTGTGTGGGGGAGGGGGGGAATGTGTATGGTATCAAGTTTAGTTGAAAGAAAAGGGGAGTGTTTTGTTAACTGGGAAAATGGCCTGGCATATAACTAATTTTTTATTACAAGTTAACTGAGGTGAATGGGCTTTTTATCTGAAGTGCTCTAATACAAATAACAACAGCACTGTGCTGTGACATCATTGTGAAAATGTACTCACATCACAAGACAATGTAGGTGTAGCTGGCCAAACGAGCTTTACAAAGGCAGTGGTCTTAATAACAGATGAACTCTACTTCATCTGTCAATGTGGACCATCAGGTTAACCCAAGAGGTAATTACTTTTACTTTTTTAAAGAGTATTTTATTGTAATTAATAATAAATACAAACTTGACTGACGCACACAAAAAGAAATACAGCACCTTAATTAATTCCGCCCCCCCTCCCTACAACTTACTTCCCAGGGACATACATAATTGAAAGTTCTTAACATACTATTACGTGAATCACCTTTTTTTTTATCATGCTTTACTACCAGCTGTAGATATGATCTACCTTGATTTCAAATTAAGTAATACATTTTTTAAAAATCACTAATAAAAAAAAATGCAAAACCAAACCAGTAGCTTGCAACATAACTCAACATGACAATTATCTGCCCTCTAAAAGCTTTCATCTTAGTTTTTTTAATTTGTAAATTATAAAATATGCCAACTCAAGTTTTTTACCCTTTATTATGTAATATTATATTTGGTAAAAATTATTGAAATAAATTTTTAATGAATAACTTAAATATCAAATTTAACTAAAAATTAGATATTTGTGTATTATCATTAGATAATACTATCATATACGAAACTTGAAAGACATTGATGTTAGAAACTAGTCAAAATTGAGTTACAAGATTTGACCACAAATCTGACAACAAACAGACTTTATAACCAAAGAAAACGCTTGTAAAAAGATTAAGGCAACAAGCATTTTTCTATTTACTTACCCCAAGTCATTGTTTACACAACAAATTAGGCTCTGCAACTTATAAACAATGCTTACAGCTTGTAAAAAAAAAGGCTCTACAAATTACAAACAACTTCACAGCTCGAAAGCAAATGTTTTAAAAAGAAAAATACTAATACCAAATGGCACGCAATACAACAAATAGATTTTCTTACGTCATTTATCTATCTCAGTATTGAGAACATACGCAAGCTTATTTATTCTAGATAACTTGGTATTGATCCAGTAGTAAATCACTTCGTTGATAAATAGCTTTAAATGAAAAAGATGGAAACGGGTTAGAAAATAATGTCCACAGTCATGAATTATTGGTTTTTTTTTGCCCTCTATCAATTAAAGTTTAAAGTTAAAGATTTTTGGCACAGGTTTTTTTTAACTACTGCATGATGGACAGATGAAACTTCAGAAATGGTGGTCAATATTTCGACGCATAAACATTTCAACAAAACACTGAAATAAGCCTGTTATGATAGTCGATTTTTCAATTAATCAATATTTGAACAAAATAGTGAAATGAGTTGATCTACTGTTATACTTGGCTACTTTCATCTGTCAACCATACATCCAGGGAAACTACTCCATCTGGATTCTTAGATCTGAATGTGTCTTACAATTGTTTTTACCGTTTTAAACTAAAATTTGTTAACATTACTTCTAATTTGTAGATTTTATTTTAAATTACTAACAAATACTTTCTAAAGGCTACTTTACAATAAATTGGTCTGTCAGTGTCCTTAAAGGGTGTAACCTAAGAAATATCAAACACAGAACAAGTCAAGAAGATAAAGGCTAGAAAAGGCAGACAATGATTTTCCAGGTTTAATATTTTTTCTTTTAAATACATGATGTCCAACAGGCTTTGCTGCTTGTTAAATGTAACTAACAAATAATTTTACGCAGGGGACTCTTAATTAAGCATTCTGTCATTTCTATGAACTTAAAAAATAAGAATATACTAATTATACACTTGTAATTATATTTACCTTTAATTAGGTAACAATGGAAGTCAATTATACCAAAAAATATAAAAAATATATAACATGAAGGTACACCGGAACAAAAGTGAAGTTCATCTGTCATTTGGAAGGGTTAATTGCCCTTTTGGACCTGGCAGTCCAAATAGCAGATGAAGTAGAGTTTATCTATTTCTGTGACCTCAGCATATTAAGGGATAGTGTGGTCAGGTCTATTTCCCTAACATAAGACAGGTTCCCCTCAAGCCTAGGTTGACTCAGGGATGTTCTACACACTCAAGTTCATTACTGAACTCAAGACTTTTGGGCAAGCAAAATTGGAAGATATGTTTGAATAACCATTTTCTATTGATTGCAATAATGAATGATCTACAAATAAGTTTTATAGTGCTCTTCCCTTATCTTACTTTTGTACGATAACAAGCTTTGTCTATAAGGTCTACACCATGAAACTTTCTTAAAATAGTTTGTTTACTACAATAATTAGTAAGACATTGAAGCAGTCCAATTAATAATTTCTTCAATTATTAATATTACATTCACAACATAGAACCATGAAAAATGTAAATATTATTTCAAAAAATTTTTATTTTAAATTACGCCTAAAAAAAAACTGGAATGATAACATAACCACAGGCCTAAAGCATTTGTTGTAATCCATTATTTAATGACACGCACAGTGGATCAATTACATGATTAAGTCACCTAAGCCATTATGTATTGAAAACATTCTGTGTGTAGGAAATTGTTTTTTGGCACAAACTTTATTTTCTGTTTTTGCCCTTCATAGTCTTTCTACCCAGACATAGAGTGGTGGATTTTGTTCTAATATTAACAGATTATAACCATTATTTAACAGATTTCTTTGTTACATCCAGGATTTTTTGTGATCCTGTACTGGATTTATTTATGAATTTCATGGATTTCTTACTTTACAATGTGATGTGTTTTTTTAGTAGAGTAAGTGTCATTAAGTACCATTTTTTTCTGTTATAATTGGCTGATTTTATATTTTACTCTTTTTTTTTGTAAATGAGGGAATCAAAATTTATATATATATATATATATATATATATATATATATATATATATATATATATATATATATATATATATATATATATATATATTTGTTTATTTATATTAATATATATTTATTTATATTAATATATATTTATTTATATTATTATAGATTTATTTATATTAATATATATTTATATATCTATGTGTGTGTGTGTGTGTATGTTACTTTGAAAATAGGTTGATTCAAAAAATAGCTACTAATATTGTATATATATTTGGCAGATAAATCTTTTTTTTATAAAGAAATTAAAACAAATCATTTTATTTTATTCTTAGTAGAACATAGTAGAAAGCTTGTTATTACAAAAGTTTTTTTTTTGTATCAGTTTTTTTTTTTAAAGATAGGCAATTAATGTAAAATGCCAAAATAAGTGATGGTTGAAGTAGCCTCCCTTTACTATAGATTGCATTTTCAGTGATTCTTATATAAGTTTTTTTTTATTATTTTATAACTAGAGCTAGGTATTAGAGAACTAGAAACAAAAAACAAATATATTGTTTGATTGCCTAAATTATTAATAACGAAAACAAAAATACATTGAGTTTTACAAAAAGGATTTTAACTGCATAGTTTTAACTAACTAATCAACTTTACGATAATAATTTAACTGCAAAAAATAATTTAAATATTTAAACCTCACCACTTTGAGATTGGACTACAACCTATATTACGACATTATGATGAAAAAATTATGAATATCTAAATAGTTTAAAAAAACTAAAACAAAATGTTACAAACAGGCCCACTATGTGGTACAAGCACATAGATGCTTGAATGAATGAGTTTTGTCTAAAGTCACATTTAGTTAAACATTACCAGTATTAAAATGTAAGCTATACCTTTTATGTTGCACTGACTGTTTTCTTGTGGATTTGTTAGTGTTAATATTTTACCTGTTTTGTAGAACTAAAACTTCAATGTAGCATTGTTAAAAATTCCAGAATGCTGTTGTAGACTGTAAGTCATTGTTTATGTAGCACTATCAAGTTTTTAATGTGTCAGCATTATTATCAGTACACAGCACTTAAAATTATGTAAACCTTTTTATAGTAATTTGTTTGGTATTGTATTTCTGAGTAGTCCTTGTAGTGGACTCAGACTGTTTATTGTTGCATGTTTATATTATATTTTTATAAAAAAAAAATAATAATTTAGGCCTAATATTTTTAAAATTTAATAATAATAGTTGGCAAAACCATGAGCGCCGATTTCATTAAGCCAGCACACAATGAACCAAACACACAAATTCGACAAAAAAAATACAACTATCAAAACCAAATGAAAAAACAAAATAGTTTAAAGAGTAGACCTAGCCTAGGTCTATAGATTTATATTTTAATAAAAGTAACGAGAAACTATATATCGACCTTAAAACCTGGTCAAAATAGTGTTTTGGGCAATTTCACGATATAGCATCAGAAATTATCCGGCAATATTTGTTCAGTTTCGTAAAAAATTGTTACTGTAAACCATAGTTTGACTGTTGAAATTTAAATAAAGTCAAGTGCATTAAATTAATGTTTTAACTTAATCGTAAGTTTAATTGATAGAAAATTAGCAACATTTAGCCTAGTAGATCTAGATCTAAATATTAATAACAATGATTAACAAAGCTGCTAGATCTATATTGTAAGATTATCATGTTCCATAGCTATATTCTACATAGATCTAGGCTACATAATTTTAATTAAGTTAGGCTACATAATCATATTCTGTCCAATTTGATTTAATGACAATAGCCACTTTGAGATAATGATAAAAAACAAGTTAATTAAAAAGTCTAGTGACATTTATGTGAAATTTCCTTATGTTATCTAAAAATAGCTCTGTCGTAGCGTAAATCAAGAGCAGGGTTAGTAAAACCATTGGTTAGTTATTAAAACGTTTTATTTACAACAGAGTTACATGACTAAAAACCATTGCGCGCCTAGCTACTGAACGTGATGGCGCAGCTATTGTACGTGATGACGCGTGTGGTGTGGTTGGATAAAAATGCCTACTAATTCGGTCCAAATTTTAATTAATTCAAAAAAAAATTGTGACCGAACGAAAGGATATTTTTGAAAACTTTCTTCGGCAATATTGTTTTAAATTATGGTAGAAATCGATTGGTACATGTTTCAAGTCGCTAAGTGGTCTGGTTGCCGAGATATGGGCTAAAAACTGCATTTTTTCGGGTTTTTTTGGCTTTTCCGGGAAATCCATGAAAGAAACCCGGAATTTTTTTGGCCTATGTTCATCCTCGTAACTTGCTTAACATAATTGCTTTTGGAACTAGTCCTCGATATCGCTTCGTTGAGGAGGAGATACGACTTAAAGCTGCGGACACACATTCATCCATACATTCATTCATCCATCCATTCCCAGAAATGACGAGTTAATAAACACAATTCTCCAGAATGGAAATTGCGCTAATAAGCTGGAAGAAGATACGCATGCACAATGAAGAGAAATTTCATTTGCAGCGTGGTTTTCGATGGTACTGCGCATGCGTGTTTACAAACAAACTGCAGAACTCTAACCCTAACCCTAGCCCTAGCACAGATATTAAGGTCACTGCGCATGCGCATAACTGTTGAGTTTCATATTTTCTGCCAAAAAATCTTTTTCCGAGTAGTCACTTCGAAAAAAGAAATGCACTGTCATCATAACATTCATAGAGCCTGGTTACAAAATTAATATTTCATATGTTCATTACCAAATCTAGAATTCAATGGACTAGTAAAATAATAGATTCTAGAAATCTAGTCTACTAACGTTTGTTTATTAAGGTGACTTGACTTTGGTTAGGATTGGGTCCAAAGGAGCCGACAGTCTTGTCAGCCTTTGAAGTTTCCAGGTTTGTGATTGTTATAACTTGTAAGTGGCATTAATCAAAGAACAATTCAATCACGAAGCGTTTTAAACTTTATATTAACAATTTACAGGTAGAATGGAATCAGTAAAAACATGTTGAGGCAACATTTTAAGTCTAGACGTTAAAATAATTGTGTCAAAATTACTTGTTGGCAATTCCGGTAGCTACTTAGTTATCTTCCTATGATGAAAAATTTTGTAATTACGGCCCTTGTTGTTAGTGGCAATTTTATTTTGGTAGCCGTTAAAATTTTACCCGTATTCATAAAATGAGTTATTAATTTATCCAGGATATTAAGTTTTCGTTAATATTAACAAGGAAAAACTATAAATATAATATAGATCTAGATGTGCGGGGGAATGAATATCTAAACCAATAAAAAAAAATAAACTACGCACAACGATCAATTTTTAGAATTTTAATCATATTGTTGAACAAACTTAACCTATCCCTACCCAACGATATTCCACGCACCAACCTTGATCAGACTAGGCTTATAATTCTAGAGAAAGTTAGCATGACATACTCTTTAAGTGCGTGCCATACTACATATTAATCTTCATAGTAGTGATCAAGCCAGCCCAAACCTATTTAAACGCCCTTTTAAAAATGGAGGGGGCGCTTTTTATCGGTGACTGGGTAGGCCTATATTTGATTTAGATAATACTTAAATCGGTATTTATAGTCACGTGATTGTGTGTCTATTTCATGTGTGTAAAGTAGCTCAAAAAGAACTTTCTGATTGTTTTCCTAGTTTTTGCCATCGCCCACCCACCCCCACCTCCGAGGGTCGGCGGTGATACCCCCCCCCCCCTTCCCTCTCTTTAATCACTTACGTCAGTATTGAATATATCGCTGCATTCGAATATATTGTCAATACAATAATTATAACTATTAAATTTAAATTAGGCTTTCGCTAAAAACTGACGGGAATAGCCCTAGGTCAGTTTTATGTCAGGTATCTCTTTGTCGCCTACCCCCCCCCCCCCCCCCCCCGGACGAAATGAAAACTATACAAATTATGGAGAAAATATAATCGGCTCCATACTTAAATCAGCGTCCGCCCCTTCACAGCACCCCCCCCCGAAAAATGTGAAAGAAACCCTTGTTCCTGTAAGTCCTATACAGCCTAAACAAATAAATATTAGCAAATCGTGTAGGCATTAAGGGGGGGGGGCGCTGATGAATCAACTTCAAGATAACTTGAAGCCTAAACATAACTCTAATCATTGTAGTTGCGATGTCCTCTTATCTTATACTATGTTATAGCAGGCACTATAATTACTGTGATCGATATAAAACATACAAAGGTATGTGTTTTAAATTAAGGTATGCCTTTAAAAATAAAATAAAAATAGTATGTTATTATGCTGTAAAATTACTTCCAGTACAATAATTAGAAAGGAATTAGTAGGATTATTACTCTCAGTGTTTATTCCAGACTTTTTTCTCCGGGGGGCACTTGAAATTTTCGGGGGGGGGGGGGCGGTAAATTTTCTTCGGGGGGGGGGGGGGCGGACACTGTTAAAAGTATATATTTTCTATATAAATTATATAAATTTCATTTCGTTCGGGAGGGCGGTCAAAATTTTTCGAGGGGGAAAACTCCCCCCCCCCCCCCCCGAAGAGATGCCTGGAAGAAACTCTGATTACTCTACCGATTTCTTTTAAGTTATAGATCTAGGCCAGGGGTTCCCAACCTTTTTTTTACTCTAGAGCACATTCTAAAATATCGGTAGGGTGGCGGGCACCACCTATTTTAAATCGACAAACTCCTTCCAGGGGCATAGCGACCCTTCCCGTCACCCGGGGACAAAACTTTCGATTTGCACCCCCGCCCTCAAACTTTCGATTTTCACCCCCCCTCAAACTTTCGATTTGCACCCCCCCCCCTTACGTTTTTTTTTTTTGGGAAACACCGGTATCAAAACATCTTTAACTTCTGTTACCATTCTACGTGAAAGTAGATCTACTGTTGCAGACTAGATCTAGATAATGTTGAGAAAGTGGACCAAGGCCACGGATTAAAAAAAAAATTTAAAGTACAAGGTCACAGAATATATTCCCTACGAACACGTCTCTGTACTATTCATCGACGTAGGTCTATTATCCCAAACAGTTCCGTGAACACATTGTGCTATTGCTATCCCCCCTATATCTCTGCTCAATGATTCTTAATTAATCTTAATCATCACTTTTTAAATGGCAAACTTTAGTATGGAAGGTGGGGGGGGGGGGGGGTGTCAGCATCCAGGGGAACTGATGGGGGGGGGGGCTGACTTGGTTACCATTTGCTAAATAAAAAAGATTCCGCATTAAGCCTAATACGATCTTTTTTACTTTCTCGTATATACGAAGTATAGAAAAAGTCTTGTAATCGTGCAAAAAAAAAAAAAAATCGAGATTTTTGCAAATCTCGACGTTTTACATCTCACTGACACGGAAAAACATAATTTTGCAATCTTGTCCGTATGTCTCTCTCTCTCTCTCTGTGTGTGTGTGTGTGTCCGTGTGTAAACACGATAACTTGAGTACCGTTACAGTTAGGTTGATGACATTTCATATATAAGTATTTTATCAAAATCGTAGATCCGTATCAACTTTTGAGCGATTTCCGATAACCGGAAGTGGTACTTTTTCTACTTTGAATTTTTCAAAAGCCTATAACTTTAGTACTATTTCAGATAGATAAATGAAATGTGATATGTAAGTAAAAGATCTAATTCTCTACCTTCTGTCAAATTTTGAGTAATTTCCGTTGACAGGAAGTACTTATTTACGCTATTTCCGATTTCTCAAAAAACGCATGTAAATTTATAAAGTACTAATAATATTCCGCACTATTATGCACGTTTTATTTGGCTTTCACAGGTGTGCAATTCTTTTTTCTAGGAGATTATATTCTATTTTTAAAAATTTGAGTAATTAAAATGGATTAAAAATCATGTCTAGAAGTTGCCATCCCCCGTAGTGTTATATTAGAATATTCGAGAAAGTTTAGGGGAGATCACTCCCGGTTTATTTTCTATTGGGTTCATGAAGTATAGTTCATTTGTTTCTTGACCTCAACATATGAAGGGATAGTGTGGTCAGCACTTTGCCCGACCGCCTTTACTTTCCCTGGGTTTCCATCAGGGCTGAGTGGACTCAGGGACGTTCCTCTGACTTGAAGCCGGATTCGAACTCGAGACTTTCGGGTTAGCTGTCTAGCACTCTACTGATAGGCCACGTCGTACAGTGTGTGCAACGTAGATGGTAAGTGGTGTAAAGTATCCTAGCTTTTAGATAGTAGAAAAGCACAATACGTCTGCTGATACTTGAGACCAGTGGCGTAGCGAGGTCGGGTGTCACCCGGTGCGGCACTTAATGGTGTCACCCCCAGAGGCGTAGCGACCGTTCCCGGGGACAAACTTTCAATTTGCACCCCCCCCCCTCAAGTTTTTCTCTATATATTTTGCAATTTTTTGCCTTGGTGTCACCCCCCCCCCCCAAATGGTGTCACCCGGTGCGGTCCGCAGCCCCCGCCCTCCCCCTCGCTACGCCTCTGCTTGAGACTAAGTGACGTGATTGAGTTGGAGTGGCGGCTTTTTGCGACAATGCGTGAAGATAAGGGGTGGGAATGTGGTGGGGGTTGGGAGTTAAGGTTAAAAGTGGGCCTATTGAAAATTAAAGTAAAATTACACTGCAAATGTGTCCAGCTCCTTAAAAGGTATCAGCATCTTCCGGTTTTTTTTAAAACATGAACTACTACTTGACAAACACACATCACTCAAAAAACATCCAATCCATGAAATTTGCTCAATATCATTTATTGCTCATTTTAGGTTGAAGTTACAAGTGAAGACATTGAAGTCCCCAGCTTCACACCAAGAGTTTAATTTTTTTTTACAAAATATACATACATTTCATTAGCATCTTTGCTAACTTATATTGATGTAACTTAACAATCAAGAAATGTGAACTGTCTTTACCTCTTACCTCCCTTGAATATAATAAAAAGAAAAGTTAATATCATATACAATATAATATGTATTAGTTAAAAGCTTATCTAACTACAAAAATCTCATATTCATTATGATCCATGTATGAAGTCTTTATTCAGATACACGATATTCCTAACCCTAACTAAAAAATCTGGATCTGAAAAAAAAAATCTTTTAAATAAGCTACAAAACAATAAAATTAATTTTTGCTTCTGTCGAGATAAATAATAACTTCAATACTGAATCACAGCATATCAATTAAATATTAAAATTTATAACACACCTTACCACATTGAAATTTTAAATTAATAAAATAATCTGACTATTTACAATTTATATAGAACTTTTGTCTTGAGTAATTACTGTCTGTATTTAAAATTTTCACACACAAATGTGAACAAATATGTATGTATGTATGTGTGTGTGTATATATGTATGTATATATGTATATGTATATATATATGTATATGTATATATATATATATATATATATATATATATATATATATATATATATATATATATATATATATATATATATATATATATATACATACTTACACACATATTTTGCTGTTAAAACACTTGGCTACCACAACAAAGGTGCTAGTCATAATGGGATCTAATCCAACATATCACCTATTTTACCCTAGAAAGACAGCTCTTAACCAGGAGTGTTGAGCAGAATTCAGTATAATTCAAATAAAAACTCATTTAAGGTGTTCAACTTTAATTTGTAAAAAAAAAAAAACAACTGCTCAGTCATATACCTCAGTAACATTTGACAGAAGCAGGAACTTGTGGTAAGTATGTTTGCAGTAGGGAGCGTTAATTAGAGCATAAGGTTAATTAGTGCTGGTTGTGACATGATACAAGGCATGTATCAATAGCCAGGTGATGATTGCTGGGTAGGCTAAAATACCCAGGTTGGCTAATGGTAATCAAGTTAGGCTAAATTGCCTGGGTGGTTTTGATGAATGCTAGGTAGGCTTATATAATTAGCAGAGGTGGCTAATAATTGCTCGGTAGGCTAAAATAGCCATGCAGGCTAATGATTACTAGTTGGGTAAAAACTGCCTGATAGAGACCAATAGCTAATGATTTGGCCAAAATACTTGTGGTAGTTTATAGATATCTGATTACAATAAAAACCCAAATATTAATCAGTAAGGTCTAAAATTATGGGTCTAAAAAGAAAAATATCTGGCAGCTATAAGGATGGTTTAAACTGAATAAAAATCAACCATGCTAGAATGAATGATTACCCACAATCCTAAAGAAACTATCTTTCTCATGTAAACCAATAAATTGTGACATTCATTGATTCAAGAGGCACAATACAAGCAAAATAACATTCATTAACCATTACCATAGTAAAATAACATTTTCCATGTACATTGCAATGAAATTATTCTTTCACTTTAATTTTGTACATATGTATACTATGTATATATTTATTTTATTTAGAAATACACATAAATATACATTGCTCTGGGTTTTTAATTATACAGTGTTGGAAAAGAATTTCTTTTCGTTTTCTTTACCTTGGCTGTTTTTTTCGTAGAACAGTCACTGTGTTTTACCTAATGCCAGATATAAAAAAAATTATACAGAAAAAATAATTACTGACATAATATATATATATATATATATATATATATATATATATATATATATATATATATATATATATATATATATATATATATATATATATATATATATATATATGGATTTACAAGATTATATAATCATTTTTTTTAATGTGAATGTAAAAGAAAATTATTCAATAGATATTCTTAATATGATATTTAACCCTACCAGACCAATGTGATTAATTTTTTATTTTCCAAATCTGCTCAACAGCTGTAGTTAATGTATGATACTTTGCAGAAAAAAACATGCATCACAAACTAAATTAAACAACGTAATGTGGGCAAACCTTGTGGGTTTTTTTCCATTTAATTCACAGGTGCCCCCATATATATAGGCCTATCAGATACGATAGGGTCAAGGTATGTTAAACTAAGAATTCTTATCTTACAAGTAAACAAACTTATATTATTAGAGAAACTATTATAAAATAAAGGCTGCAAATACTCACTCTTTTTTCACAATCTTCCAAAGTGTAGGCATTGTTATCATTATAATACCACAAGCGAAGTGTTCCATCCCACTGAGAAGTAAAAAGTATTCATTATAAATTCTGATTTGGTTGTCAATTTTAATTAAAAAAAATTCCTTGTACTTGATGCTTTTTAAGGGTGCCAGGACACACCCCAAACACACAACAGTTTTACTATGCTTGTAAGTACAAAGTTAGCGGGCTGTACTTTACTGGTATTGGTACAATAATTTTGTAAGGGTGCCATGACACATCATAAAAACACAACGGTTTTGCTATGCTTGTAAGTACAAAGTCAACGGGCTGTACTTTACTGGTATTAGTACAATAATTTTGTACAGGTGCCAGTCCATATCTCAAATTCATGAAATGTACATACAAAGATACACACATACATATTGTACAAGTCTTTGAAAATATAACTTTCTAAATGTTTTTGTTTAAAACAAAAAAGGGTGGTAGGGCATATCACTAATACTTAAAATTGTCAATATGTTTGACTTTTGGGATGTATAAATCTTAAACTTATGGAACTCTAACTTACTGATGTGCTGATGATGTTGTTTTTATATGGGTGCCAGGATACATCACGAACACAGGATGAGTGTCCATTCAGTTTTCTCACTATTTTCCCAGTTAGAATATCATACACTGAAAAAATACAATTATAGTATTCATCAATGCAATTCTCAAACCATTTACACATTGACTGAAAGCAATGGTCTCTAAAAGTACAATGCTTTTGATTAAATTCCTAGAGTCTAAATTTTAAATTTTGCCAACTTTTTTTGCACATATTAATAAAACCTAATATAACTAAACGCGATGTACACACAATTTTTGTGTGTGTTAGAGTGTTTATTTAAATTTAATGATTGAAAATGTAATATTTAAGTCTGTTATTATTTTGCTGATGTAAATGTTTGGCACACAGCAAGAAACTTAAAGCACACAGTGAAAATGTCTGACTCACCAACAACACTGCCGGTAGCACATCCAGTGTAAATGTATCTTTGCCCTGTACTGGCCTCTGGTGAAAACTTACAGCGGATCAATGTATGAAGAACACAGTGACCCCTATAGGTCATGACCGATGTGTCTCCTTCCAGATCTCGTTTCTTGGTCACTGAAAATTATATTTGTGTGTGTTAGAAAACTAGAAGTCATAAAACTTGATTAAGTGACGTGGTGTAGAGTTTTAATATATTTTTATAAATCTGATTCAATCAAGACTTTTTCATTCTTCATTGTTAATTGTCAGATTGAAGAGGATTTCCTCCAACACAATTAAGTATTACGTGGAAACATGTTAGGCACCATATGGCCATTGACTTTAACTTCAGTCTGCTTTTCTTTTCTGGTTTTCCTTTATACCCTTTGTCTACCCAAGAACAAGCTGAAAAGCAGCAGTTGTTTTGGAGTTGTTTCTCCAAGGTGGGTTGCGTTGCTAACAAACATTCTTTTGTGCTGCCACAGTTTCTTATTAAGATTTGAATCTTATAAAAATTTTTCCGATAACTAATTTTTTATAGCCGTCTAAACAAGATAGAAATATATGTATTTAAACTTTCAATAATTATCTATAAAACTGATATAATTTAGACTTACTCCTTCTAGGAGCTTTCTGCCAGCGGTAGTCCCATTGTTGGGAAGAGACAACTTTTTTTGTTGCCTGTAGACATAGGTACATCAATCAACCCATGCCCATTGTTGTCATTAAAAATTGTCTCATAATCTAACAGTTCTTATGATTATATTAGCTCCATACCTGCATATATTGGGCAGTTAAACTGGTCACATAGTCTAACAGTTCTTATGATTATATTAGCCCCATACCTGCATATATGGAGCAGTTAAACTGGTCCCATAATCCAACAGTATTATGGGACCAGTTTAACTGCTCCATATATGCAGGTATGGGGCTAATATAATCATAAGAACTGTTAGACTATGTGACCAGTTTAACTGCCCATTATATGCAGGTATGGAGCTAATATAATCATAAGAACTGTTAGATTATGAGACAATTTTTAAACTAGTCTCATAATCTAACAGTTCTTAAGCTATCAGCCCCAGACCTGCACATGTATGGATCAGTTAAACTGGTCCCATTATCTAATATTCATATGCTGGTAATCTCCATGGTAGGAAGTTTAAAACAAAACAAGCAAAAATTCACCTCAATCCCTTCTTGGTTAGAAAAACATCTGACGTCCCAGAGTTTCATAGTCTGATCTTTAGAGTTGGAAACAAAAAATCTGGCATCTCCCTAGCAACAAGAATAAAAAAAATCATCACAATACGTCATGTGTTTATCTCCACTCAACAAAAATGAAAAACAACAAAAATCACAATATTTCATGTGTCTTTCTAAAAAAAAAAAGTTCTTAAAACATCATTAGAACAGAAATAGCATATTAATTACTTCTATTATTCCATTACCATTTGCTTCTTTAGTTACCTTTGTATCAATGTATGTGATACCATCACAATGTCCAGCCATTATACCTACAGGTACTGGTCTCTCCTCTCTCAAAGTTCTTCTATCCCACACCTTTCAATAAAGTAGTTTACTAGTAACAATACGATAAGAGCAAAAACAAAGTATCAAACAAAACATACAAGTAACAACAATGTATAATTTATTTTTATATTTACAAGTAAATATATAAAGCTTAACTAAAACAAATAATACAAAAACAATGTATAATAGCAAGACACAAGTAAAAATAAATTTTTTGTAACTTGATATTAGGACTCAAGAAAAAATATGACATAAATAATAATTTAAATTATTATAAATTATTCATCATATTATAAATCATACTCTTAGTTAAAATAAAGTATTAATAAGACCAAGATTACAGTGAAATTTTGTTCCGATTGTAAAAACATTTTGTGTGACTGACCTTACACAAGCCGTCATCCCCTCCGCTGTACATGATCTGTGAGCTGGCGTCAGCAAACCTGACAGTGTTGACGTCATCGTCATGAGCTTTGATCTGTGAAAAACATGCAGTCACAGCTCATGTGGGAGGGTGTGAACAATCCTTGAGCACACTCAGCTTAAATCACTAACCAGCATAAGTCAGGTTAAATATATGGCTGCAGTGGAGTGCAAAACAGACCTAATTTTCTAAGTCTAAAATTACTATGATTAGCAAGAAGGACTAATTAGCACAAATCTGTAGTGAATCATTGAGCCAATTCAGCTCTCACTGGTACCTAGCATAAGTCAGGTAATATAAATGGTAGTTGTGAAGTGCACAGATCTTTTTATTACAGTAATTATCAGGGTCATTAGCTCAAGTCCAAAAATAGCTTCTCTGAGCCCAATCAGCTCCGATTAATACTTGGCATGTCCAGTAAAATTACTAGCAACTAGTCGTTATACCAGCACCATCTCTTAACGTATACTAAACATATGTCCTCTGCTTCATTAATTAAAGTAATGACCACATAGTCTATTGATAAAAAATCTTTAGGAGCTATGTTAATTAAAGATAAGAGCATTTGTATCCTATCCAAGTTAATCCAACTTACCTTGAGTGTCCTCTGATTAGACTCCCTATCATATACATACAAATGTCCGTCATTGGCACTGGAATAACACATTAAATATAGATAAAATAAGCAAAGTTTTGTATAAATCAACATAAAAATTATAAACACTAACCCTAAATTTTTTCTCAAAAGTTTAATCCAAAAACTCCAAGAATTTCACAAGTTTAATATTACATTTCAAAAGTTAAACACTACAATCTAAAAAAATTCAAAAATTTAACACCAAACCTAAAATTTTAGCATGAACCCTCTAAAAATTTTGAAAGTAAAAACTAACCCTCCTAGAATTTCTTTATTATCAGAGGAAAACATGAGTGAGAAGATACAAAAACTGTGGTCCCCAGGGTCAAAGTGTAAGGCCTCGTGTTTGTCATCATCCTCATAGATGCTGCAGAGGTGGACTGAAATGTACAAGGCAACAAAAGTTAGTCAAACTGCTGTGGGGTGGGGTGGGTGGGGTGAAACTGATACTGTTATATGCTGCAGAGGTGGACTGAAATGTACAAGGCAACAAAAGTTAGTCAAACTGCTGTGGGGTGGGGTGGGTGGGGTGAAACTGATACTGTTATATGCTGCAGAGGTGGACTGAAAATTACAAGGCAACAAAAGTTAGTCAAACTGCTATAGGGTGGGTGGGGGTGGGGTGAAACTGATACTGTTATATGCTGCAGAGGTGGACTGAAAATTACAAGGCAACAAAAGTTAGTCCAACTGCTATAGGGTGGGTGGGGGTGGGGTGAAACTGATACTGTTATATGCTGCAGAGGTGGACTGAAAATTACAAGGCAACAAAAGTTAGTCCAACTGCTGTGGGGTGGGGTGGGTGGGGTGAAACTGATACTGTTATATGCTGCAGAGGTGGACTGAAAGTTACAAGGCAACAAAAGTTAGTCCAACTGCTATAGGGTGGGGTGGGTGGGGGTGGGGTGAAACTGATACTGTTATATGCTGCAGAGGTGGACTGAAAATTACAAGGCACCAAAAGTTAGTCCAACTGCTATAGGGTGGGGTGGGTGGGGGTGGGGTGAAACTGATACTGTTATATGCTGCAGAGGTGGACTGAAAATTACAAGGCAACAAAAGTTAGTCCAACTGCTATAGGGTGGGGTGGGTGGGGGTGGGGTGAAACTGATACTGTTATATACTGCAGAAGTGGACTGAAAGTTACAAGGCAACAAAAGTTAGTCAAACTGCTATAGGGTGGGTGGGGGTGGGGTGAAACTGATACTGTTATATGCTGCAGAGGTGGACTGAAAATTACAAGGCAACAAAAGTTAGTCCAACTGCTATAGGGTGGGGTGGGTGGGGGTGGGGTGAAACTGATACTGTTATATGCTGCAGAGGTGGACTGAAAATTACAAGGCAACAAAAGTTAGTCCAACTGCTGTGGGGTGGGGTGGGTGGGGTGAAACTGATACTGTTATATACTGCAGAGGTGGACTGAAAGTTACAAGGCAACAAAAGTTAGTCAAACTGCTATAGGGTGGGGTGGGTGGGGGTGGGGTGAAACTGATACTGTTATATGCTGCAGAAGTGGACTGAAAGTTACAAGGCAACAAAAGTTAGTCCAACTGCTATGGTGTGGTGTGGGTGGGGGAAACTGATACTGTTATATACTGCAGAGGTGGGCCTTAATTTACAAGGTGAGAAAGTCTTAGTTCACCTACTATAAGGTGGGTGGGGTGAAACTGCTACTGTTATATACTGCAGAGGTGGACCTAAATTTACAAGGCAACAAAGTCTTAGTCCACCTACTATAAGGTGGGTGGGGTGAAACTGCTACTGCTATATAAAGGTGATCCTAAATTTACAAGGCAACAAAGCCTAAGTCCACCACCGGCAATGAGGTGGGGTGTGTGAGAAACTGCTGAATATTCAAACACAACTTTAGTCCATCTGCTGGGGGTTGGGACATCACTACTTCTAAAGAACTGTTTCAATCTTATAACTCTAATGTACTCCTTGTTTTACATGGACAAATGAACGTCATAGGCTATAAGAATTGACAGGGCAGGTAATTCAGAGTCATATCCCTTTAGTCAAGGCACATAAAGAAATATTTCAGGCAGTGGATCTACATGCCCTGCTGTAATGATGTGCCCATAATGAAACCTGGTCTACTCATGGGACGGAATGGTCAAATAGTAGGCCTTATGACTGCCAACCCAAAAGTCTTGAGTTTGAATCCCAGGCTGGAGGATATATGATGTTCCTTAGTCCACCCAGCTCTGATAAGTACCTGACACTTTAGGGAAAAAAATGTGGCTGGGCATGGTGCTGACCACAATGTAACCTTTTAAGCAGGTCACTAAAACAGAAAAACTCTACTTCATCTGCCCTATGTGTTTTGGGCAAGAACAGGAAAGCTGGACACCTTGTTTCTACAGCTAATTATATACAAAAACCAGAAATGTGCCATTAGATGAAAACTTACTGCAGTCTGACCAGCTTGAGTATGCAGCATATAAGCCATCAGGACTGTAACAGAACAAAGAAAAACTTAATACAGTGTATAAATCCTTTATTTTATTGAACATGACTCGTGTAAATTGTATTTCAGTAATAATAACATATGTAATATTAACCCAACTCAGTAATTGCAAAAAAAAAATGTTTGTTTCATATTGCATTTGAGGGAGGGGGATAGGTTGAAATGTGACTTTTTTGCAGAGGGGTCTGACTTCTAGTAACAATGGAATAGGTGCTGGTAAAAAATGTCCAGAAAAGTGTGTAGTCATTTATTTAGTGTGATGAAAAACCGAATGCCAGATTTACCTAAAATCTTTGACTAAAACACTAGTATGCCAGATTTACCTAAAATCTGTGACTAAAACACTAGTATGCAAGATTTACCTGAATGCTGTATCTAATACACTCCAGCCCACATCTCTAGCCTTGATGGTCTTAATCAACTTGAAATTTTCTTTGCGAGTGTCATAAACTCTGATAAACTGATCTGGTAATGATATTAGCAATTTTAACACATTACAAGTATACATTTTTGCAAATAAAATGTTGCAACATGTAAAGCATTCAAAGTAGGTGGTAAATGAAGACAGAACTACTTTAACGGGTTTCAAACATCTAAACCTCAGTTGGTGTGCTAGATTCATTTTTATTTACTTCAAAATGCTTAGAAATTCCTGTTTCAGCTAAATACATTTTGATATCCATCAAGACTTGTCAAATACATAATGAATTAGAAACTAACAAAAACATACAGTACAACAATTATTTACATTTATTTTAAGTATTTGAGCATCCATAATTTTCAACTTAATATAAATTGTGAAAAATCATAAAACTCCTGCTTTAAAAAGGATTTGTATTTAGGGCTGTTTTATAAATGTGCTCAAAGAGCAGATTAGTTAATAAGTCTTTATACCTGCATAGAATCGTCATTAACAGGTTGTTGCTAAATACTTAATACTTGCCTAAATTGGACCTTGTTTTTTCTCACATTATATCCATGTACTAAATTTATGGTTATTAGATCTATTGCACTAGTAAAATACGTGATAATTATTATAAAAAAAATTACCTTGACACGCTGAGAGAAAGACATCACCGTTTTCTGAATAAATACCACAAAAAGCTTTTTTACGGTGGTACGAGGCTATTTCCAAGTCACAACAGGGGAGGAACCTGTAGAAATTCAATTGTTTTAAGTTGGTATGTAGATGAAGGAAATAACTGTTTTAAGTTGGTAGGCATATGAAGGAAATAACTGTTTTAAGTTGGTACGCATATGAAGGAAATAACTGTTTTAAGTTGGTAGGCATATGAAGGAAATAACTGTTTTAAGTTGGTAGGCATATGAAGGAAATAACTGTTTTAAGTTGGTACGCATTTGAAGGAAATAACTGTTTTAAGTTGGTAGGCATATGAAGGAAATAACTGTTTTAAGTTGGTAGGCATATGAAGGAAATAACTGTTTTAAGTTGGTACGCATTTGAAGGAAATAACTGTTTTAAGTTGGTACGCATTTGAAGGAAATAACTGTTTTAAGTCCCACGTAATAGTATATCTACAGCAAAGCTAGATAAGAAATCTCAAAATTTTTTTCATTTTACACAGGAGCTGTTACACAGCTTTTCTGTGTAAGCCATGTACTTATGATGGTTTTTACATAGACATGCATCTTAATACAGAAATTCCTGTGGAGATTTTCACATTAAAAAAAATGTGAATCTGGTGAAATGATGTGATGTGTAGGACTAAATACTAGGATAAACATATATCAAGTAGAGATCATGACTAAGATAAAAAGAAGAACTATATAGGGCATAAGACTAATGAAAGTATGTAGACTGCATGTGTACAGTGGTTTTTTTAAACATCAATAGATATCAAAACAGTAAGGTCTGATTAAATTAGATATCTATTTAAAAATTTTACCATACCTGGAGTTCAAAACACATCTGTCACCATGTGTGAACTGGCACTGGCGCTTCAAGCCAAGCTGTCGCTGAGAGCAGAGTTGGCATGTGTTAATACACAGATATTTGCATGTGTTCATAATACACAGATATATGTATGTGTTCATAATACACATATATATAAGTAAACGTTTAGTGGCAGCCAAGAAGCATAAGGTTCTAGCAGGTTTAATAAAATCACAGAGCCTTGTGAGTCTAGTGGGAGGGCGTGGCCTAGAGGTAAAGCGATAGACTGCTAACCCAAAAGTCTCGAGTTTGAATCTGTGTTTAAGTCAGTGGAAGGTCTCTGAGTCCACCCAGCTTGGATGGGTATCTAACTCACGTTTGGGAAAGTAAAGGAGGCTGGGCACACTGCTGACCGTTCATATACTGAAGGCAAGAAATATATGAACTCTACTTGAACTGCTCAATAATAGATAGCTAGGTCTAAAAAAAATTTTTAACTTGTAATTCTAGGGTGGCATACGAATGCAGCACCTTTATCCTCACAAAATGCACCAATTAATCAAACACAAAATTGGGAGGTATTTTGAAATGATATGTGTTTTCTGAAAGAATGTAAAGCTAGCAGGGAGAATAAAAATCTGGCAATGCTGAAATGTGCTAACCTGCACCACAATTTCAGAAACATACTTAATTCTTTCACAAACACTAGCAATTTAAAACAACGAGGATAATAAGGATAATATTTCTTGGGCGTTTTTTTTTTTAAATCAAGTATTCTTTAAATTACAAATATAATAATAAGAATGTACTCTTTAAGTCCATAATGCATAACATAATTTTACCTGGGCTATAAAGTTGGGAACTGTAGGAGAAAATTTGGACAACCATTTTTTGTCTGTCCAACGTCCTGAAGATTGCATAACTAATGCATATATATCACTTTCCTAAGGAGAATAGAATACAATGCATATATATCACTTTCCTAAGGAGAATAGAATACAATGCATATATATCACTTTCCTACAGAGAATAGAATACAGTGCATATATATCACTTTCCTACAGAGAATAGAATACAATGCATATATATCACTTTCCTACAGAGAATAGAATACAATGCATATATATCACTTTCCTACAGAGAATAGAATATCACTTTCCTAAGGAAAATATCAGAATACAATGCATATATATCACTTTCCTACAGGGAATATCAGAATGCAATGCATAAATATCACTTTCCTACAGGGAATATCAGAATACAATGCATATATATCACTTTCCTAAAGAGAAAATCAGAATCCAATACAAAAGCATCCTTATGGAAATTTAACTTAGACTTTAAAATTTCAGACAGTTTTATTGTTATTTCATGCTATTTTGTTAATTTAACTTCGACCTAAAAGCAATGTTCAAACAAAAAAATTTAAAGCAAAAACCTTTTACTGACCATTATTTTTTTGTTACTCGGGTTAGCATCAACTGTCAAAAAAAAAATAATAATTAAATAATTGATTAAACAGATATTAATTAAGCTTCCTTACAAAACAATTTATAACATTTTTTTAGATTCCAAATATTTCTAAATGGGGTGGGGGGGGGGGGGGGGGGGTCCTGGATTCGGAATATAATATATGCTGGTCTATGAACCTGTTATATAAATTTTTATGTGAGGGGGAGTGGTGGTTGAAAAAATGTCCTATTATTGTGTTAAACAATATGTGCACAATCCATTAAATGCATTTATGATTCCAATCCACACACAAATTTCCTGTAACTATCTATTGAAAACATATACACAAAAAATATTTACACTAGGACCATTTTTATACAAACATTTAACTAAACAGTGCAACTATCTGTGCCAGAAAGATAATGCATAAAATACAGGGGGAAAACCTATTGTGAAAAACTTATTGGGATTTTAAAAATTGTTATTACCAACAGAAGCTAAAGGGCTGGGGTCAACGACCTCATTCTCAGATTCTCCTTCACTGTCCGAGCCACCGGTATCTTGTGTGATGAAACGTATTTGACCACTGTCCACACAACAAACATCATGTTTTTATATTAGCCTACAATGTTGCCCAATTTGTACAAGTAAACAAAAATATAACAAATAAAATTAGAAAATTGATGCCTGCTTTAATGCATTGCCCACATTATTTTTTTTTTTTAAAATATGGTTATAAAGGTATTACTAAACCTCGCTATAGAAACGTTGTAATAGTTTTAACCATATTGATACAGTGCAATATATTGATGTCAACATTTTTATTTTAACAGCAATAAATAAAAGAATTCTTTCACAAACAAATAATAAATAGAGAGATCCCCAAGTAATGTGCCTATTTACCAAATATTTAATGTGGAATTGTTTTAATTGGAGTTACTATTAGATGCAGTTTTAAATTTTCATTTTAAGTAAAAGTAGATATATATACTGCAATGCTAGACACCTATTCAATACATAAGTATTACATTTTTTTTAAATGTCTTAAAATATCTCAAACATTATAAAGAGAAAAAAATAGGCACAGGTAAATAAAACAGCAGATTGGTGATGAGAAGAACAATAAGATAATGCACATTTTAACATCAATTAAGCCCCCTCCCACATCATACACATTTAAAAATAAATTAAAGGAGTACTTTGAATTTTTAAACATTTTTAAAAAAAAGCTTTTACACTGTTCATTTCATCACCAAGATATAAAATGAAAAACAAAAAGTATTTTAAAAAATTAATTAAAATATGAGAATTTTCCAACCTTGAAGTGCAGCAGTGCGCCCCCATGTTCAAATATTTTTCTCATTATACATGTTTCATCTTGGTATTTAGATTGAAGTACATCAAAAAAATTTACCGAATAAAATGTCTTGCTCGTTTTCTTACAAGTCACTTTGAAGAAAATGATACTTGCATAGATCTTTGTGAATACCAACACGGATTCAAAAAGGCAGAGATGGATGCTAGAAAATTTAAAACTATGGACCACAAGTCTACCTTCGTATGAGATAAGCCACTATGGAGGGTAGGTCTGGTTCCGCATCTTCTTGACCACTGGCCGGCTGGAGCACTCTATGAGGCTCTGATGGATCGGATTCCTGATCACTACCACTCATTCTGGGAGTCAGCCGTGAGTCGCCTAGTCCCATCAACTCTTAGTTTACAAAATGCTGGCAATGACCATATGTTTCGATAACACAACTGTCTTTCAGCTTTAAATGGTAAATTGTTAAAACCAAAGCACAGAGCTTTACATGACTCCTTTAAAACAAGATCACTTTTCAGCAGGTCCTTAAACAGTTCACCATAGTCTTTTATTTAAAGTTGAATAAGCAGGCCTCTGAAAAATAAAATAAATAATAAAAGGTAATTTATATTTCCTGGTATAAAATTTCTGATCATGACAAAAACCAAAATAAAAATAGTATTTACAAAATGATTACAAAGTAGAAGAAAAGAACATTTGCTGAATACTTATCTTTGACCTGTGTTGGAATGTTGATGAATAGCACTGAATTTAATTTAAGTAAAAACATTCTTAAAGTTTTAGACCTAGAATTCTAGTTCATATCTGCAAGCCAATTAATAAAACACAAACCTGGATCATGAATTTAGTATAACCTTCTGAAGCAATGGGTAACACTCTTTTAGATTATCTGAAAACTTGTTGTGTAGACTAAAACACATTTTCATACAAAAAAAAAAACAACAACATCAAAGCCTGGTTAAACGTTACAGAACCACAGCAGCTGAGAAGAAATTAGATTAGCTGAATCATTGTTGGTGAACTTTAAAAGTGGGTCAAAGTTCACCACTTCAGACATTCAAACTACAGGATACACTGATACACCTACAGCTTGAAGAAAACCTGGACCAGGATTTGAATAGGCAAACTTTGTACTGAAAATGGATCAGTACACATTACATAATTCATAAGAATGACTCAGTAAAATAAATCCCTTTTTAAACTAACTAGGCCTAGAGTGTAGTTGCTAACAAATATATAGATCTAGATCTAGTTCAATTTGACATTCTTTTCATACAAAAATAATCAACCATGAACATTAGAACTGAAACTAGATCTATACCCTATACAAAAAAAGAGATTTAGTGGAGACATACTGAACCATATCTAAGTTCAAGCCTTATGAACAGTGATTGTTGCTATAATTGTTGAATGGTTTTACTATACTTTTCATATTCTACCCACCTCAGTTTTTTTTTAATTTAAGGATATAACCTGCATTAGGTACATCTGCATTGAGAAGGCCAGAAAAAAAAATTCTCTCTTTACCCATATATGTATAATATATATATATAAATATACATTGAGCTAGGCCAATGCCGCTGCCGAGAAAATCGGACAAATCGGCTTTTCCCTACCCCCTGCATGTTTAACTCTGTTTTTTGCATGCTTTTATTGTTTTTATTTTAACATGTTATACATCATTCTGTTCGTAATTGAATAACCTTTTTATCTGTATTAGTTTGATTTCTGTATTATTTCAGACGTTGAAGAAATCGCCGATTAAATCGCATTTTTTACCCTCCGCGGCGACGTGCCGATAAGGGGGGAGGCTTTTTCACCTTTTTAAAAGGGAGGTGTTACTTAGAGTCTATAGACTCTGTGAGTTTTCGTACTACAACTGTGAAACTTGGTAGAAGAATAGATTAAATGTACACGTATAACGCTCAGGGTTCTTGGTTAAAATATGTTAAATACTTTCGGAGATATCGGACCGCAAAGTTAAACTAAGTTATTTGAGCTATTTATGGACCGATTTTTTATTTGAACCCTGAGCTGTATTCCTGAATTCTCGACGTTTATTAATATGTATCATATGTCCTATAAGGCCCTATAATAAGGACGTCTATAGACTTTGAAATGGACCGAAAATATAAACACGACGCGCCGACCGCTGTTCGACTGAACCGCCCTGCTGTGCTTCGAATCGCCGTCTTTAACCTGATGACGCGTTACAAAATTTGTATACACGTATCGAGTTTACGTACTACAACAGTTAAATTGGCAGACGAATACATTAAATGTAGACGTATAACGCTCAGGGTTCGTGGTCAAAATAAGTTAAATACTTTTGGAGATATCGGACCGCAAAGTTGAACCAAGTTTCCCGGTCTATTATTGGACATATTTTACATTTGAACCCTGAGCTGTATTCCCGAAATCCCGCCGTTTATTTTAATGTATGACATGTATTATAGCGCCTCGTAATAAAGCCGTCCATACATTTTAAAACCGAACGAAAATAAAAATTAACGCGTCGGCCGCCGTCCGACTGAATCGCTCTGCTGTGGTGAACTACACATCGTGTGGCACAGCCGAGTGTGTGGTCACGTGACGCTAGGCGCTTGATCCGATTGGATGATACTATAAACAATGTCTAAAGATAGATACATGTGTTCCCGTGTTTGACTCGGCGGCTATTGCTACTTTATATTTATAAGCACACAGACATGTTGCATAACTTTGTCTTAACCCATTGAAACGTCAAACAAAAGTTTTGTTAGTATTTACGGCTGAGGACTAATCGTCAAAATTAATCTTCTTTAGAAATTAATCCGAATAGCTTCGGCCCGCTCAAACAATGCTGTGATGTGATTCGTGTAACGTTTCATAATTGTGTACATTACTTTTTCGTAAAATTGGCTTTAAAAAATAAATTAAATTATATCCGGGGCTCTTTTCTACAAATTTTAATACCACTAGCTTGCCAAATCGACCAAAATGGGGTGGGGTGGATGGGGGTACCCACTGACCATCCTACACCGTATGTAACACCCATAGCCTCACCCCGCCCCCACTACTCCGTGACGCGACAAGCCGACGAGCATCGCTTTTGATGTTGTATAACACCCGTACGGTACCCGAGCGGCTCGCGGTGGTTTCATACCCCACCTCCCTCCCCCTTCACTTTGTGGAGTTGATGTTACAAACCCTCGGGCATAGATCAGGAAATCTTGCCAGACTTTTGTCTCTGAGATTACATAATATTCATCTGACACGTTCATCGGGTTGGCCGACTAGCCTATCCAGCGGTAGTGTTTACGTAATAGGGCAATAAAATTCGTTGGTCAGAAGACCTGGTTACCCACATGTCTGATTGAACTAAATCTAGGCAAAAGCTGGTGGTGGTACACGTGTCTGTGTATAGCCAAACACGGCAATCTTACACAATTTCTAGAATCTACTAGATCTACACAGTCAAGCACTCAAACACGTGCTTTTTTCTTAAGAAAGTTGTTAATTGTAAAAGGCCTACTGGTAGGCTTACAAAATACATAAACCTACTTACTACTAGCCTAATCATTGAGCATAAATATAAATTTATGTTATATATCTATAACTTACACTATACCTTGTGCAAGTTTTTAAACAAAATATTTTCCTCCCAAGTTTATTTTATTGACATTGTAAAAATGATTAACTTTAATATGGGTAATAATATTACGTAATTACCATAAAGCACACTCTGATTCTGATCAGACACATTTGTAACAAGGCTAATTCTTTAGCAAAAAGGATTAAGATATTTAAAATAACAAGAAATATAATTATAATGAGATAGGCTTATATTTTTGGAATAGAGTAGGCCTATGGTATTGCACATAGATTACATAACATCTTTTAAGAAGTTACATAATCACAAATTTACTATAGCATTCTTGTCTTTGTATTGAAAAACTTGATTAGTTATATTTTCTTCTAGTAGGCTATTAACTTGAAGTTTACTGACAATAAGCAAAAGTGATTTTAAAACAAATTCATGGTATATTTTGAGCAAAGGGTGGGATTACATAACCTTAACATTTGATAGTTATGTAACAATGTTGGACCATTTTAAATCTACCATTATCTTGAGCTTATACAAATGTCATATTTTAGATTAAAACAGCGTTACATTTAAAAGAATGACTTCTTATCACATTGATTATTAGATGTTTAAAAAAAATTGAAAGGGGGATATTACATAATCTATGAGATTAGTAGGTTGAGTAATCGAATGACACTTTTTAAAATAGCATCATTGGATTCAGCATACAAAAATCTATAAAATGTCTTAAAATTACATCAATTGATAAAGTATTCTGGCTTTTATACCACTTTTAGTGAAAAACGCTTAAAAATTTGGTCCATACCCTCCCAGTATTTTTCCTCTTTCAGGGTCTACCCCGGTTGTCTGAAAAAACTGCTGTTTTTTAATGACTAAAAAAATCATAACTTTTTTGTTTATGGTCAGATTTTGAAAATTCAAACTGATCTGTAATCAGATTGACAGCCCCTATCCAAATATGTAACTATTATATTGTTTTACTGAAATTAAATTTTTGCATTGGCCTAGCTATATACATATTAAATACAACACACACACACACACACACACTACTGGTTGAATGGGGATTCAGACTTCCTGAAACAAGTGTGATGAGGGGGAGGGGTCATTTCAAACAGTGTGACTACACACTTTAATATTTTAAAAAATTAAAGTTAGAAACTGAAGAAGGTTGTTTTTCTTCATTTTTCAGAAGACTTTTTTTTTTAAATTGTAGGCCTAATAAAAATGGATACATACAAAGTTGACTGAGGTCAGGAAATATTTTCGAAGGAAATTGCTATTGTTATTATAAAAAAACAAAAATTCAATTTAAAGTATTGTGGTAGGCTAATGTATAATGCAATTTTCTGTAAGATAAGGTTGATAATAAGGGGGGGGGGGGAATACACGACTGAATTATGATAGTAAATAGGCTATTAAATTTAAACAATAATGAAATCACCCCCTGGGTAGAATCTCACAAGGTCTTTTAATTTAATAATTTTTAGAATCATGTGTGGTGTTATTAACAAATTAAAACAGCCCTGGATATAGATCTAAATAAAACTTGTTAGAGTTGTTTTACTTTTAGTAAGACTTTTAAAAGATTGGACGTGTTTCATTTTATTAGCATTTTTTTGTAAATAAACAAAATTAGAAAAATAATTTGGTTTTTTCATCTTCTAATTGAAAATTAGCACAGAAAAGTAAGTTTTGAGTAAAATGTGGTGCTGCTGAAATGAAATCACTGCCAAATATTTCCAATCAAAGTTTGTCTAAATCTTACTCTTACTAACTAAAATGTTAGCTGCAAATAGAAATGTAGCCTTAAAAATAAAACCCTTCAAGCAAAAAAATATTTTCAAGTTCTCAGCCATGTGTATGTAGTAGGCCTATGTAGTATATAGATCTAGCCCCTCCCCCCCCCCCCTATGAATTATAGGGCTATAGGCCCTAATAATGTGGCAAAAATGACAAAAACATTTTTAATGATTTTTCATCCATGATCTGTGTTCTCAGTGTTAAGTGTTAATAATTTAATAGGGCCTAATTGGCTAATATAATTTTATTAATAATCATACTCATCATAGACCTATGGATAGGCCTATAATATTAGTTAGGCCTAAGAAGTAAATAGTGTAGATAAATAGTTAGGCCTAAATATTTTTAAATAGAATCTAGTAATAAATAGACATAGGATTCCTAATCATTAGCCTAATGGCTAATGGACTAATGGTGTTCAGTGTTCGATGTTCTCATATCAAAAATATTTTTTAAATAATGATGGCAATGATGGGGTAGTAAATCTACCATAGTAGAGTAAATCAGTAAATGAGTAAAGTCAGTGAGTAGTCAGTAGAGTTCAGTAGTGAATCAGTAGTTCAGTTTAGAATAGTTTAGAAAATAGTTTAGATTAGAAATTAGATTTAGATCTAGAATAGTTTTTAGATTGAGATAATGACCTACAATAATAATATTCATATTCTAACGTATTTTAAACTATTTTTTACTAATCTAGAGGTCTAACTATTTAACTAAATTAAAGTAAATTTGCATATTTACTCACATATTTATTATTTAGATCTAGACGTCTAGTAAACAAACAGGTAATCCAAATATGTCATTGCTTTGTTGTCACAAAAACATACATGGCTGGCTTCTTCTTTGATTAGAAGTGAAGAATACTGTCAAGTTTCCCTACTCTTAAAAACTATCATAACAGAGAATGTAGTAGTGACGCGATTAATGCCCTTGAAGTGTATCATAAGACATGTACATAATAAAAGTACAACTAAAAGTATCAATAAGATCGACTGTAGGTTTAGATCGCATACTTTTTTCCCTGTTGTTGTAATTATAATTTAAAAAAAAAACTTAATATAGAGATCTGCATAATAAATGAATCTGAATACAATGCGCCAGCTTAGTAACAAACAAAAACTTTGTTATAGGCTGTACAGGCCTATAGACTATAGATTATACATATCTACAAAGCAACCTGATAGGCTTATAAGAATATTTCATTTAGGTTAGAATGATATGAGGTTTTGTTTCTGCTCTTGTTAAATTATAAGTAAGCTATTCTACGTTAATTTAAAATATTTTATTTTCATTTACATTGGTACATCAATCAGATTTAATCATATTATTTCTTTATTTAGATGCTTGAAATATACATCGATAATATTGTTGATTATTTTGTATGTTTTGTATTAAATAAAGGACGCTTTTTAACCAGTAACTATCCCTAAACAATTGGTATCTTGATGTCACAATTGATGTAAAAACAGTTAAATAAGTCTGTAAGCTCAGAATGAGATTTATATTATTTTTTTCTACCTCGTTTGATGCCCCCCCCCCCCCCTAGAGTCACCCCATCCGCCGTCCCTTTATCTAGGAAGCTTGAAAAAAATAGTGAACCATCCTGAATAAAACATAAAAGGGGTAAAACTGACCAGAGGTCAAATTTCCTTAAGTAAATTTAGCTGATTTTCGTAAAAAAAAAAAAAAAAAAAAAAGCCAACTTTTTAAAAAGTATTTTTCAGGCTAGACTTTTATATTATGAAGCTTAGGGGCGGGGGTCGTCCATAAATGACGTCACACTCGTAGGGGGGGTGGGGTGGGGGAAGGGTGGTCCGTAATTTTGTGACGGTGTGTGATGAGGGTGGGGGGGGGGCGGTCAGATAGTGTGATGTCACTTTTTTGCAATATTAGGAAATGAGTTTTTACCGTTATTTCGCGTTTTGAAAAACGGTTTTAATAAATTGTAATAGGGATTGATCAAAATACTCTATGTTGACAGAGTTCTGACAAGATTTTGGAAAATATCGATGTTTTAAGAACATTTGAACAGCAATTTTGAGGGGGGGGGGTGTAGGCTGACGTGTGATGTCATTTTAGGGGGGGGGGGATCTGGCTTTTTGTGACGGAGGGGAGGGGTGAGGTAAAAATCGTCAATAAAAGCGTGGCCTCATTTATGGATGACCCCTTATGGACGGATGGAGGGGGGGGGGGTAATGTCCTGCTCCTTGTGATGTGTGTTATTAAGATGGTTTTTGAATAAGAATCAGAATAAAAACAAATTATTCTAATTTTATTCAATTCCAATCTCGAATAGTTTAAAAAAAAAAATCTAATGTTATGCAACATTGTTTTAAATATTTCTTTTGTATATTCAGTAAAAATGTTTAAAAAATTTTACTTTTATATATTAAAAACTTGTATTAGAAAAGCAACAAAACTAGTAACAAAAATGAGTCTAGCGCTAAGGTAAACAAAATTTGATCTTTGGATTTTGTAATATATTTTTTCCTAATTTATTATACTTTTATTCATGCCTTTCATTGTTTTTATGTGTAATATATTCTTCATACTTTGTTTTGATCTACATTTAACTTAAGTTGATTAATGTATCTTATTAGATGAGCTTTCTTTTCATTCTTCACTTGTCTTGTCTTAGGATCTGAGTTCTCGATTTCATGTTTAAACATGATCTGTTGATCATTTCGGGCTACAGTAATAATAGTAATAAACTGTAGGCCTAGGCTTAGCCCTAAAGTATAGTTAATATTTAAGAAGTTGTCATTTCTAGTAATTGTTTGTAACTAGAATCTACTCATTTTATAGCACCTAGACAGGGCCTATTAAAATAATATAATATTCAATATTCTGGCTATAGGCCTAACAATTTAACAAAGCCTTTTTTTATCCTTATCTACTAAATATCTACTTTAAACCTAAAGACCTAAACTCTAAAAGTCAGAAGTGAAGTTCTAATTGTAATCTGCAATTTTTTTTAAGTATTAAAAATTTTAATTGCTACTAGATCTAGGTTCTACTTACACTTATGCCTACTTTAATGTTGTTTTTTTTTAATTTCAAATGTTTTACTAAATCTATAAGTCTGATTGTAAAGCCCTTTCTAATAATTTTTCTAATAAAATGTGTAGATTATTATTTTTGCAGCACTAATTCACCAGTGTACATAAATCTAGGCCTACTTTCACATACATTTACACATTTTTTTAATAACAGAGCTGAGTTTGCCTTAGATAAAAACAAAAAGAAGAAAAAGAGAGAACTAGCAGAAGAACAGAAACAAGAAATTAGAGAAGCTTTTGATCTGTTTGACACAGATAAAGACAGAGCTATAGACTACCATGAACTAAAGGTAATGTGTTTAAAAACAAAAAAAGAATTTTACAAAATTGAACTCTTTGTTTCCGATCATGTTGTACCTTTGAAGCAATGTACCAGCCAATCATATTGATTGTATATCAAAATATTTGATATTGATACATTAAGTAATCAATTTTTTAATAATTCACAATAATATTTATAAATACAGGTCGCTATGAGAGCGCTTGGCTTTGATGTAAAGAAGGCAGATGTTCTGAAGATTCTGCGTGATTATGACAGAGAGGGTGCAGGAAAGATTTCCTTTGATGATTTCAATGAAGTCAGTAAGTATTTCTGGCTCACGGCTGCACAAAATTTTCTGTTTTTATTTGTGGTTGCTTTTTTTGAACATGTATTTTTAAAGCATGGTCATTCATTTGTTTTTGGTCATAGCATTATTTATTTTAGTAGTTTTTACTTTCTTGTATAACCTTGTTTATATCTTTCAGTGACAGACATGATGCTAGACAGAGATCCACAGGAAGAAATTCTCAAAGCTTTCAAACTATTTGATGATGACACCTCAGGAAAAATTAGTCTTCGGAATCTCAGGCGGGTAGCGAGGTATGTGAACAAATTATGCAGAGAAGCTAGTCTTCAAACACAAAAATGGATAGTTTCACAACTGAAGATCTAGTTCAGAAAAAAGCTCGAAAAAACTAACAGTCAAAGCAAATTTGATATTGTAGAAAATCCTGTTACATAGTGTTTGATGATAAAGTAAAGTTCCCTTTCAAACCTGACAGGCCATAGGGCAAGTGAAGTAGAGTTCATCTGTTTCTATATCCAGCTGCCTTTGCTTTCCCAAACAGGAGTTAGGTATCCATTAGAGCTGGGTGGACTTAGGGATGTTTTATGTACTGTGTTTACACAATGTTTTTGATGTTCAAATCAATCCATTTTATTCCTCAGAGAGCTGGGAGAAAACATGACTGATGAAGAACTAAGGGCCATGATAGATGAGTTTGATAGGGATGGTGATGGAGAAAGTGAGTATTGTTTAACTCTTTCAGCCATCATCATAATATATTACTGATGATGAACAGGAACATGTTTTCAAATATATTGAAATTTTTTTTTTTACATCAAGTAAAGTGGTTTTACAATGTAAGAAAAGTAAATCTTTTTTATGCCAAATATTTGTCATTTTCTAATTTGTCATAAAAGCAGACACTGCTATTTGAAACCTAGATCAAAATTGTCTGTTTAAAAGGGAAAATTTTACTAGGGGAGTCATTTTTAAATTTTTTTGAAGATGAGTTACCATCTTTGGCCTACATCTGCAGACATGCACCTACCAAACTGTCTACTAAACTGGAATAGATTGATGAAGAAACTTTATTCATTGCTATGGAAAAAAACATCCACCAAATACAACTCACATTTCATATTCATAAACAACAAATCATAAAGTATTTATATATGTGCATACAATCATTTTTTCTAATTAAAAAAGTAATATTCCTGAACATTCATTTTTATGGTGTATTTAACATTTTTAAAAACTGCACAGAATAAACAGCAATCGTGTTTTTGTTTTTCAGTCAATGAAGAGGAATTCATAGCTATCATGACAGGTGATACATGACCGACTGGCCAACCAATAGAAACTTCTGTCAGTGAATGAGCGACCCACAAATCAACCAATGACAATTCTTGTTTGTGTATGGCCAACCAATGCCAACTATATACGAGAGGGATGAAAGGTTACAATGTAAAACTGCTGTACAGATATTTACAACTGTTCTTTGTCAAAGTGTACAAACTCATTGCTTGTATGGTTTTATAAAATTTGTGACCGATTTGTTATGAAAAAGTATTTTTCCATGTAAAATATGTGCCGTAAATAAATGTAAATTATGTATTAACTGTGGCAAAAGTGAATTAAAAATGAAGGGACCAGTGCTGAGAATGTACTTGATAGTGTTGTTCATCCTTTTGTTAACATGAAGTAAGTTATTATTTTTATGATTTTTTTAAGCTGCTTGTAAAAGTAGTAAAAAAAAATTAAACCAAGCAAGAGTTGTAGTACTTGAGCACTATACTCGAATCTTGGTCAAAGTGTTGTTTTTAGTGATAAGTGAATGTGGCTCATCTGTTCAAGTTTCCTTAACAAATCTGACTCCATGGAGTAGGTGAAGTAGAGTTTACCTGGTTCTTTGAATCTTTCGTGCCATCACTTGGCACTTTGAGGTTGTGGGATTAGTTGTTGGATAAATAAGATTTATTGAGTGCTGCTCCCTAATGCATTTTTAAGAATTATAGATTTATAGCAAATGAGAAAAAAAAAATTTCTGTGTAAAATTGAAAATTTAAAATATCTCAGTTTGGTAAATTTTGACTCATTGTGATGTTGCTAGTTGCTAATCCAAGTTTTTTTTTACCCTACACCATCACAGAGAGACTGCTTCTCTTTAAAAATTAGGTCACAAAATTCCCTTCCAACCACTTCAACCACATTACCTCATCAATGAAAAATAACGTTTATCTGATTTTGTACAAAATACATGAAAAGGGGGCGCACATGTCACTCTTTTTTGACGATTTTTACCTCCCATTCACATTGTCACAAGATATCACTATCGACTATAAATGTGACACATTTAATACGTCACATTTAAGTCTTAAACCGCTCCGAATTACCTTTTTTTAATTTGCATTTTCTATCTAAAAGTAAAATATTAGCTAAGCTGTGTGACGTCATTAATGGTTGACACCTACTGCGCGTCACATTTCTCTCGATTCCCTACACCAGGGGTCTCCAAACTTTTCAGTCCTGGGGCCGCATTAACTATCAAATTTCAGTTTGGGGGCCAGTTTCTTCCATGTATGTCTTTGATTTTTCTGGGCAAACTTCCTCAGCCATCACCAACAAACGATTTTTCATTGGACAAAAAAATCTCCGCGGGCCGGATGAGAGGACTTCGCGGGCCGCATCCGGCCCGCGGGCCGTAGTTTGGAGACCCCTGCCCTACACCAACAGCACGTTCTCCTTCGATGCATGATAGGGGGTCTTCCATCAATGACCTCACGCTTTTTTGGGACGATTTTTACCTCCTCCCCTCCGTCACACATCGTCACAAAAAGCCAGACCCCCCCAAAAATGACGTCAAGCTTTTTGACGATTTTTAACCACATAATCTTCAGAACAGGCCACAACAGACTAAAACAGCACATGTATAAAAAACTAAAAATTGGGTGTGGCGAAATATACCCTTGTGGCAAGGCCCCGGAGAATACGGATCACGTCCTTCAGGACTGTTCCTTATATAGCCGGGCGCGATCCTAACACTGGCCCCTATACACCCCACTCAAGGAAAAACTATATGGGGCACCCGCTGATCTGGACCACAGTCCAGAACTAAACTAAGGGGTCATCCATAAATGACGTCACGCTTTTTTGACGATTTTTACCTCCCCCCTCCCATCCGTCACACGTCGTCACAAAAAGGTCAGACCCCCCCCCCCTAAAATGACGTCACACCTCAACCTACAACCCCCCTCAAAATTGCAGTTGAATTTTTTTAAAACATCGATATTTTTCTAAAATCTTGTCTAAACTATTACAATTTATTAAAACAGTTATCTAAAACGCGAAATAACGTCTAAAATTCGTTTTCTAACATTGCTGTTTTATAATGCAAAAGAGTGACGTCGCAACATCTGAACCCCCCCCCCCTCCCCCTCATCACACATCGTCACAAAATTACGGACCCTCCCCCCTACGAGTGTGACGTCATTTATGGATAACCCCTAAGAGAAGAACGCAGAAGAAGAAGAACCCCTCCGCATCGTCACATATCGTCATAAAAAGCGAGAACCCCCCCCCCCCCCCCCACTCTTATTATGACACCAGTTTATTACTTTCTCCTTTCTTATATTTCAGCCTTTTAAAAACGCGAAAAAAAAACGGCTGAAACTCAGCTGCTAACATTACTTTTTAAAATAAAAAATAAAATTTAAAACGTGACGTCACACTTTCTGACCACCCCCCCCCCCACCTTCACATATCGTCCCAAATTTCCCTCCCCTCAGCCCCCTATGAGTGTGGCGTCGTTTATGGAGGACCCCTAAACGAAACATTAAATTAGCGTTTAATTAAATGCATTTGTAGAAATTTGATCTAAATAAGTGCCACCCAGAGCACTTACGACCAAATGAGCCCCGCCCCCCCCTCTCTCCTTTCCTCAAATACCCCCACCCCTCATCCAGGTAACAGTTGACAATTACGATTGAATTTCAAAATTGTGGAATTAACGTTAATTTCTTTGGCCGTCGCTTGTGATCAATTAAATCTATTGAAATTTAAAACCTCACAAAAAGTACTTAAGCATTAAAACATGCTTTTAAATTATCTGGGGGGGGGGGTAGGTTTCGAGGGAATAGGGAATCTAAACAATGACATTTTTAAAAAAAAAAAAAGCCATCATTGATCGCAATAAAACTGATGGGCAGCTGAGTACCGCGACCTCGCTCATTTACATGAAGTCGCGCGCTCGAAGAGAAATGTAGAGGCTAGCAAAGAAAGATAACCTACTATTGGAATTTCCCCATTATTCGTGGATAGCTTTCGGTTGTCGCACACACAATGGAAATATTTTATACCGGACTCGACATAGACAAGTAAGTTGAATTTTTAATTATGTAATAAAAAAATTAATTAAAATTTTATAGATAAAAAGACAGAAAACTTCCATTATTGTAAGTTTTTAATGCGAGTTAATTAAAAAAAAAGCAACGAATCAATTTAGCATTAACATTGTCCTACGTTTCTGAGCAGGCAGCTACGATAGCTTTAAGTTCTTAGAATTAATGGATACCCAGCGTACTATTTATGCCGGAATGAACGTTGGGTCATTTAATTAAGCAAGGGGTCTTTGATAAATGAAGTCACACTCCTAGTGGCAGTGGCGTAGGCGGGGGGGGGGGGTTTACGACCCCCCATAGACCCCTCTTTATATATATATATATATATATATATATATATATATATATATATATATATATATATATATATATATATATATATATATATATATATATATATATATATATATATATGTTACGGTCAAAGCCCGAAGTGCGGCCAAACCCCGGATTGGCCGGCCAATGCGCGGATTGGCCGGCTCTCTTGGCCAAAGCCCGAAGAATTTACAACTAAGATCGTATTTCGTACATTGGCCGGCCAATGCGCGCACTGGCCGGGGCGTACTGGCCAAAGTCCGAAGTACTTAAACTTGACACCGTATTTTGTACATTGGCCGGCCAATGCGCGCATTGGCCGGGATGTCCTGGCCAATGTTGTATCTAGACTAAGTTGTGATCGCGTTTTAATTATTCTGGGTGCGGTTTCATTGTGAGTAACGTATTGTTTAGCTCTTGTTTGTATAGCATTCTATATGCAAGGCGTAATAGATCAAAAGGGCCGCCAGATCATGAGACAGACATAGCAGATTTCTGTGAAAAGAAAAAAATGTAAATCCATATTAGTTTCCATATATGGGCTACAACTGTATGTGACAGCCTCCTCCATGATGACGAGGTGAGACAATCATCAAAGAACAAAATCAAAGACAGTCGGTGTCACCGACCACGTGCAACAAGACGGAACGTTCAAAAGACTTTTCCGCGTTCCTAGATGTTTAAAACATGATGATGACATGGATGCAAACAAATGAATCAGCTCATTGGGCTGAGAGTCTCAAATTCATTTAATTTATGAAAAATCGTTCTTTTCATCAAGGAATCCAACAATCACCATACGAAGCCTTGTTTGGATGCAAAGCAAAAGTGGGACTTAGCACTTCAAATCTACCAAGAGAGGCTCTCAATAAAATAGTTACTGAGGAAGATCTTGAGAACATTGAACAAGAAATGGAGGTTGCCATAAATGCAACGACATCCTCAGCTAACACATCTGCTGCCGTGGCGGAACGTCCAGACCAGTTGCGTGACAATAATGTGGCCAATAGATTCTGTATAGTTTGTGAAAAACATTGTAGTGCAGCTCATTATTGTGGATCCTGTGGCAACGATGTGCATGCTATTTGTGGAATACCCAATGAAGCAAACGAGGTACGGAGGGAACATTACCTGCAGATTGTGTCACAACAAACAAGACATCATGGAACACAGGTCAGCAGCTCATACTGGCTTGCAAAATCAAGGTGCTAAGATGCTTAAAACATCAAATACAAAATTTAAAGATGGTGAAGTGGGTGACAATGTAGGTATCCGTGTTCCAGATGTTGACAGAGGTCGCGGTGATCCCCGAAGCGTGATTGCAGTTGTCATGAGCGTCGAGGACGGTTTCTACAAATTAGGAACGGAACATGGTGTTCTAAAACAACTGTATGCTAGAAGTGAGTTTTCAATTCTTCACGAAAAACTGCTCTTATTGTCGTCAGTTGGCACTTCATCGCATCTTCACAATCATTGACTGGGGGCCAAGGCTACACTCGCTGCAATTGCACAACCAAGTGTACAACAAATCGCTGCAAGTGTAAAAATAACAAGCTGCTATGTATTTCTAAATGCCATAAAAGTTCAACTTGTTGTAACAAATGATAATATTGATTGATTGAGACTATAGTACAATAAAAAATTTGAATGTTTCTGTCATTTACTTTAATTAATAATCAATAAAGACTTAATTTCATGATCCTACCGGCATAAAAAAAAACAAAATCTGCTCATGATCTACTAATTAAGACTTTGGCCGGTCCACCATGGCCAGTCCGCGGACTGGCCGGGACTGGCCGGCCAAAGGCCGAAATCAAGAGCTATTTCAGACTTTGGCCGGTCCACAATGGCCAGTCTGCGGATTGGCCGGCCAAAGGCCGAAATGAAGCAAAGTTTCGGACTTTGACCGACCTATGGGAGGCGATATTGGCCAATGCGCGGATTGGCCGGCC